AAAGCAGTGATCTCGAGTCAAGCCGACAAGAACACGGCAGCGCTGAGGCCAAGGAACCAACCGTGGTCTGAAGATTCAAGGGGAGAGGTGGTCGGGGATTCTCAATTCAGGGGGAGCTGCGAATGCGATAGTCGGGTCTGGAGTTGGCAGTGGGTCGCTTGCGGTCGATGCTTCGGTTGATCGGCCTGCTCGGGGAAGTAAGACACAGATCTATAGTCCATCAGACCAGATTGAAATCAAGCAGTTGACATGGTTATATACTGTCAGGTACCCCAGTCGACGCAGGCCATATCAGAAGCATCATCAATACCGCATGTTTGCCTGAAGAATCACTGGCCTTAAGGCTGCTGCAGAACGCGTGATACGGTAGGTAGCCGCTAGGTTGGATTACGGGCGGCAAGCAGGCCAGCCAGCTTAAGCCAAGGCGCACGACCGATTCTCATTCCCCACAGTAGTTCAGGGGTTACGGCAAAAGATACTAAGAATGCAGTTTTCTCAACTCTCGAGTCTTCAGGAAGACTGACAGCAACGAAGCCTTTGAAGGACCTCGGTCTCGACCTCGACTCTGAGTTACCTAGAGACCGGACTGAAACACTTCCTTTCTTTGCTGACACCTAGGCGCTTCACTAGTCGACAAGGCCGGCTTATGCGCCCACTCTCCACCGCATGGGCGTCAATAGCTTCAACAGCCGCCTGTAACAGGTTATAAATATCCCATGCATGTGTACTCCGTAGGTACTCCGTACTACTATCGAGTAACCGCTCCAATATCGGCCACCCGTGTAACCGAGTTCCAGACCGTCTATTTATGTATGACAGACATGGGCCCATGCAAAGCAAAGAGCTCTCTGTGGATGGATCTTGGACACGATTCGTCGAGATCCAGCGAAAGCTGCGTTTAAAACAGGAGTGCTCCCTGTCCTTGCTCTCCTTGCAGCTTCTGCTTGGGCGTTGAGGCTGGCACTAACGCAGACTAGAGGGTTCGTGCAGGTAAACAACATGATAACAAATCAACTCGTCACCTCTGCAGAAACAAGCATCAGCCATACGGAGTACCTAGGTAGGTAAGCAGAGGGGAGCAGACTTGACGAGTCGACACTCGTCCTCCGAATAGAGTTGGCGCATTCCTCGTATTCTCATGTAGTGAGCATTCTCCCGAATCCCGATCTCTGGCACATTCTTGACTTGACCGTCTTGACGTATAGAAGAATATCATTAAAAATAAATCATAATCGCTGTACTCGCTATCACTAAACCGACTGAGCGCCATAAATATACCCGACCCGTGGCACCATATCCATTATCATATCCAACACCGCATAAACATAAACACATATCTCAATAATCTAGTAAGGAATAAAGTCAAACCGCATCCGATCTAGAGTCGTCAGTAAGCATTTTCCGCAATGAAGACGACGAAGCATACCTAGGAACCGATTCCAACTCTCATTCTCATCCAGCTGGTGAGCCCAGTACTCCTCCAAGAACTTCAGCGACTGCAACACATTCGGCACGCGAATGGTATTGTACAACTGTGTCAACAGCTGTCGAACACGATCCCGGTCGTAACCCTGTGCCTCGCAGCCGGCTATGAACAATGGCGTCGTAAGCATCGTCCACGGGCTAAGACCTGGTGACGGCCCTATCTGCTCGGTACACTCGATGATTTTCTTAACGGAGCGCTGTACCGCGGGTGAGGACGCCGGTGCCCGGCGGAGTCGACGCTCGATCTGAATCAGCGCGCTGTGCTGAAATGCAACGTTGCACATTGTGAACCGGACAATATGATCGTTTGACAAGCCCTCAGCGACGCCCGGATAGAACGTCGGGGGTACCCGCTCTCCCTCGTCAATCAGCTCAAGAACTGACGATTCCAGTGCTGTTACTTCCTCAGCATCTGCTGGTTGATCCGGGGGAGTCTGCCAGGCTGCTGCCCCAATACCACGGAACACAGCCGACAGACTCACGGTGAAGCCCCAGTAGTCATCAAGATAGTCTGGTGTGTCCAGGTTCGGACTGACAGGAGTCGAGATAGTCTGGCAAGTGACGCCACCAATAGGCGGACCGTTCCCCGTCAATGCTGTCAACGAAACAATCGACCGATACCACCGATCCAGATATCTGCGGAAGCCCTCCGACGAGTCCGGAGCCCACCCGTCCTTCCCACGAGCCGCGATCATCAAAGCCTGCGCACCCTCGATATGAGCCCGCCATGAATTTGGCTGAATTGCACCAGAGTGTATCTCTGCCAAACAAAGCGTGCGTGCTGTTGCCAGCAACGCATCTGTCCCTCTTGTACCCGGACTCTGGAGCTCCTTGCGGAAATGCTCTAAACTCATCGCCATCAATCGCGCAATGTCCGGTGCTGATTTGACGTTCTCGGTCTGGTTGTTGAGGGCTTGGATGTGAATTGCGGAAAGCGCCATTGTCGCGTACAGTAGCGACGGAGTCTGCAGGGCCATTGGCACGAGCATGCGGCAGATCTCCTGTTGCATGCCGGAGTGGCAGGCTGTGATTTGTGAGGCATCGGAGAGGAAGTGGTGGAGGAGGGATTTCTGGTTGGTATTAAGGGAGGAGAACGGGTCGACAGATTTAGGGAGTGTGATGGCTGGTGGTGTAAGAGGTGTAGAGGGCGCGGTGATCGTGGTGACCGCGGTTGGAGAAACCGGTGAGATTGGTGTTGTCGGTGTTGTCGGCGATGCAGTAGCGGTGGTATAGATGAATTCTCCCGGGGAGTACTCTGTAAAATTCTCCTGTTAGGCCATCCGACATTGCTTGGGCAGAATCATCAGCTTACCTAGCTTTTGCATGCATGCTCCAAACCTCGACCTCGAGAAAGCCCGACCACCCCACTGCAGCTGCATCGCATACCGACACTGGGTCCCCGCGGACTTGCACCGGCCACAAGTAGGACGTTCCTCGTCACATTTCTGCCGCCGTGACTTACATCGCTTGCAACCGCCGAAAGATCGTGACATTGGGAGGGTATTTTCTCTGCTTGTTGCGTATCAGGAGATGACTGGGATTTCGTTCTCGGCGTGCGTGCGCGATTTTTTCCTCCCCGCTTCTGGGGTGCCTCGCGAGTCTTCCCCGGCGCTGAACAGATGAAACGAGTGACAATTAGAACAGTGTGAAGATTGCTGACAGGACGGAAAAGGGAGCGAGAGAAAAATATATACAAGAAAACCGGACAGCGACGGGGTGAGTCGTGGGCTCGTGGAGGCGTTAAGTGGCAATCATCCGCGATAAGCTGCAGAACCATGGGCGATCTGTATAGCGGCGATCATCGGTCCACCAATGTGTCCACGACTGGCCCTCGCCAATTGCGTGTCCAATTTTTTAGCGCCTAACGGGCGCTTCGTGCTGGGTCTCATGTTGAAACCAACTATTCGGTGTCAAAATGCCTCAGTGCTGGACGCTTGGCGTTTCGTGCGGGTGAGACGGACTACTCCGTAGTTCGATCAAGCACATACTCCAAATCTTATCAATCAGTTGCTCTAGGCTATATGAAGAGATTGCAAGTACTCCGTGTTGACAAGACGACGCTGCGAATGTTTACAAGCTGCAGAACAATGGTGGTATACTCCTTATCAACATGTGACAAGGAGAGAAATGTACAGATCAGTCATCAAATGTATAACGGAGCCACTCTCCAACCGCTCGCAAGCTCTCCCATCGCACCGACTCGTCCTTGTCGGCCATCAGCTCCATCACCCGGGTCTTCAACCCTAGCTTTTCCAGCTGTCCTCGCCTTTCAGGCAGCTCCTTGACCAAGTGCCCCACGTCGTTGCAAGCAATGGCAAGGACTTGTTTATCATTGTCCCAACTCTTGGAGATTATCTCCTTCAGCTTCTTGGGCAGAGCTCCGCTGTTCTCATCCAGGATTCGGCGGGCGTTTTCTTTCCAGAAAGTGGGGTTTCTGTGCGGCGGGGACCACCGGAGATGGCCAGACTGCAGTTCTGCGGCATACTGATCGAAGGTAGTCTGTGTCTTGGTATATTCATCAAGCATCTCCGACAGGTATTTAAGGTCCTCCAGGAGGTCCGGGTCTGTGAGGTGTCGGCCCGAGATGGTCGAAAGTAGAGCAGGAAGGCGCACGAAAACAGCAACGGGGAGGAGACTGGTGCGGTTGAAAGACAAGAGGTTCCGGAGGGTCGCGAGGAGGAGGCGCGTGGTCTTTTCTTTCGGAGACAGTCGTAGGAGGTGGGAGTACAGTTGCAGAATCTCATGGTCCCTAATCATGTCAGTAACAAGCGCATGATGTCATGTCTGAGAGCTCACTCTTGTAGGTCATCCCCGATGAGGTCGCCTTCGAAGCTCAGTTGCCAAAGAACCAGAAGTACTCGGTATAGAAGTTGTAGGCCGATGCCACCAGCAATTCCTACGTCGCCGCGCGAACTGCCGGCCAGGGTGGTGCTGGAACTGCTGTCTTTGCCGCCCGCGGCGGTACGCAGAATCTCAACAAGAGGATCAACTGTCTCCTTCCGCTGCGCCCAGAAAATCTGCCGAGCTCGGGATGTGCGCAGCAATGTAGATAGCCCCTGTACTCCGATGTCCTGAAGTCCGCTGTCCTGGTTCTGAGTCAGAGTAGACAGGTAGTTGTACAGCTGCGGAAGAGCTTCCTCATCCTGCGACGTCGACTTCGAGGTAGAGGTGATGCTGGTCGAGACAAGGTTGGTCAAGAAGGTAGAGGTGAGGAGCGGAATGGGATCTTCGGCGTTTGTAGAATGGCGCAGGAGTGGAAGGAATGGTTTATATGGTTGAGGATGGGCTATCAAGGCGGACGATAGGGACGGGGCATCTAAAAAGCGCAAGTTCATCAGCCGCTATGTTTTTGATCAATAGTGAATGCATACCGTTGATAAGATCTGCTGCCAGCACCAGAATATACTGTACAATATCGTTCCTCCTAGCCGCCGATTCGAGGACACTCTTCCCATTTGAACCTCCAGCCAGCAGCGTCACGTATCCCGGAATATCCCCATCGATTGTCTGACGCCGTTGTTCCTTGCGGACCTTGTCTACCGCCTTGATCTTCTTCAAGTGGTCATCTGTGATGTTGCCAGCTCGGACAGCTCCCTCCCACGGGATAGGGCGAGCTCGGATGTTGTTCTGTAGGGAGCTGAGGTAGGTAGGGGGCTCCAGCGAAGCGGCCGACATGGTTTCTGGCAAGTAGTAGACCTGCCCGGCGGTTGATCGGAAAAGAAGGAGCTAGGGAGAGGCGGGGTGTCTTGAAGGGCTCGCGGGGGACAGCTGTAGACAAGGTTGACGTCCAGCAGACCGAATTGGGGAAGACGGCCGCCAAGCCCCATCCTAGTCGCCCAGTCCACGCAACCCATGTCCGGCGGATAACTCATCTCTCAACGTTCAGGCTAGCTTCAGTGCCTCGTGTTCTTTTCTCTTCTCACGTCATTTGTCGCGCTTCGCTTCTTTTCATGGATTTTTACTCCGAACCAGATTCTCGTTCCATCGTGCTCTTGTCTGCGATCGACGCAAGCAATCCGAGGCACGGCTGCCTTCCGAACTCATAGTAACGCAAGCAGGCAGCCTCACCATCGGCGTTGCAGCCGTTGCTGACTTCCGTGCGGTTGGGTTATACATGCTAAGAAACTGGAATTGTTCATAATTACTTCATTTCCCGTCCGCCCCTGTACAACACATTCGAAATCATGTCGCAAAACAGGTGGAAAGTCGGCTCTTTCTTGCAGCAGGCCGTCGCTGGCGTGGAGTCGCGACTGGACCAGATGCTGACCGAGGAGGAAGACGCAAAGAAATCGCAAGCCAAACAAGCTCACCTGAGGTCAACGTCTGGCGACCAGTCTGGCAGTATGCATCATAATAGCAGCGGATGCGATTCATTTGCTGACGCTTTATAGACATCTCGCGCAGTTCGTCCAACGCACGGAAGAACGACCGACTCCAAGAACGTCTCGCTCGTGCTATGGTGAAAAACAATGCACAGAGTACTCCGGATTCCTCCTCCGCCGTGGTTTCTCCAGTTGCCAGCCCGGTTCCGAGCAATGGCGCACGATCGAGTATGGACATCGAGTCCAGTCTCGGCTCTCTCCCCAAGGATATTGCTTCGCCTCCGGAAACTAGATCGAGCTCGCCTGCGGTAGCGCCTTCGAGGATGAGCCACGACTCCTCATCCTCCCCGCGCGTCTCATTGGAGGTCCCGGCGCCAACTTCTAGCGAGAAAGATACTACAACACCTGCACCCACCTCAGAGCCTGGCGCGGAAGAAACTGAACCTGTGTCAACACCAATGGAGCCCGCGTCGGTTAGTACTAATTCTCTTGTGGAAGGCAATAAAGCTTTAGCGGGCGAAGAGGAGACCTCGGATGAACCTCAGGAGTCGGAAAAGAGCACTGCTGAGTCCGAATTACAAGAAGAAATACACGGGTATATCGAGCGCATTGACGCTCTGCAGTCGAAGCTTAAGTATCTAGCTCAGGAAGCTGCGGAGTCGGCTCGGAAAGCCGCTGCTACAGCCGAACCTGGAAGTGCCGATAAGCAGCTTCGAGAAAAGAATGAGAGAATTGCGCTGCTGCTCGAAGAAGGGCAGAAACTTTCAAAGACAGAGATGGACCATAGGACATTGATCAAGAAACTTCGACAACAGCTAGCGGAAAACTCCAGGCTCCAAGCCGAGGCGAAGAAGAAGAATGACCGACTCGAGAAGGACTTGGCCAATGTTGAGGCTAGGGCAAAGCGAGCAGAGGCAGCAGAAAAGAGAGCGACTGTGTCGCTATCTGCCCAGACTAAGACCGGTCGGGACTTGGAAGCCGTAACAGCTGAACGGGATGCTTTAAGCCAAACAGTGCAAGAGATGAAGGGACAACTCGCTCGAGCGGTTTCTCGGGCGGATGCAGCAGAAGCTAAGGCTAACTCCGATGCTTTGGAGCGGGAAAAGCAGCGTGCCAACAATCTGGAGGAGGAGCTCTCAAGCGCTAAGATTGAGCGCGAAATTAATGAAGAGAAATCCAAAAGGGAAATAGCGGGCCTGAAAGAGAATATCGAACAGGAGAAAGAAAGGGCCCGAGCGTTGGAGGCTGAGTTGAAAGGGGAGCAGTCCGTGTTGGAGAGCAAGATGGAATCTTTGCGGTCAAGAGCGGAGGAAGCGTCTTCTGGAGTAGGCGGGGATGCCCAGGTTAAACTTCTCCGTCAGATCGAGACACTGCAAACTCAATACGCTGCTGCTAGCGAGAACTGGCAGGCTCTAGAGGGCTCTCTACTTTCGCGGTTGGCAAATGTGGAGAAGGAGCGAGATGAGGTCGCACGGCGAGAGGCTGAGGCACGGAGGAAGATTCGCGAGGTGGTAGGTATCCTTTCTCCGCAACTGCCGTTCAGAGGCTGACAGGACATAGAATCTCAAGGTGAAGCGACTTGAGGAGGAACTCGAGGACGCCCAAGAATCACAGCGCGACCTCGCGAACAAAGTAGAAGAGGCTTCTCAGGAACTACAAAAGGCCGAGCAACGGCTCAAGAAAGCCGCTGACGAGCTCACCGCAGCACAGAATGAAATGACCGAGCAAAAGGTCATTTCCGACGCAACATGGGCGCAGAAGCTAGAAGACGAGCGAGCAAAGTGGCGCGAGCAAACCATGCGCCCTATGAACCCTCTCCGGCGCAACGAGTCCCCTGTTTCCTCCCACCGCCCCAGCATATTAGAGACACCCATGTCGCTGTCTGACTACCGGCCAACGAGCCGCCGCTCGTCCGCTATACCAGGTGTCATCCCCGACATCAGCACTCCGCCGCGACAGAACTCCCTTCCCGTATCAGCCTCTCAGTCAGTATTGTCTCCAATACTCTCGGATAAGGGCTCGTTTCCGGCAGTTCCAGAATCACCCAAGTTGCTCGATCCAGACGAGTTCTTCACTGGCTCGCGGACACCGTCGGCTTTTGGTGGTACTGCAACTCACTCGCGGGGCATCAATGATATCATCTCCGAGTCTACTGTTGGTGCGGGGCCGTCGGTCCAGCTTGTTGAGCGTATGAGTGCCACAGTGCGTCGGTTGGAGAGTGAGCGCGCCGCTTCAAAAGATGAGCTGGCGCGCATAACCGCCCAGCGCGACGAAGCCCGGGCGCAAGTCGTGGACTTGATGCGGGAGGTGGAAGAAAAGAGAGCGTCTGATACACAGGTGCAAGAGTTACAGCAGAAACTTGAGGAGCTCGACAGGCGGTATGAGACTACGCTTGAAATGCTCGGCGAGAAGAGCGAGCAGGTGGAGGAGCTTGAGGCTGACATTGCGGATCTCAAGAAGATTTACCGCGAGTTAGTGGACAGCACGATGAAGTGAGCTTCATGTCTGTATGACCACAACCATGTATATAGATAACATCATGGTCGTCCCATCGACTGGGTAGAGTATTCAATCATCTCGCTTTAGCCAAGCATTGATAAGGTATAGCGACGCTAGAAATTCCTTGACTGCATCATCTTCTCTTGAACCCATATCATCCTAGCGAGCATTGACTAGGGTATATTGCCCGCCATTTTCACTGCATCATCCTCTCCACCCATCACAAGTCGATTCCTTCCCTTTCCACAGCTTGCAGAATATAAGTCCGAACCTGGACGGTCGAAAGTCAACACCCTCCAGCCTCAACAAAACAGAAGCTTGCTTACCTTCGAATCTGGTGCCATGTCAATCGCTAGCCTTCCATTCGCGTCCTTCTTATCTGCCTCAGCACCAGCCTTCAACAACGTAAGCGCAGCATCGCCGTGACCTTCAGAAATCGCATGGTGTAACGCCGTAAGTCCATCATTGTCAGTAGCGTTCACGGGGCTTCGGCCCTCCTTCAGCAGAACATTGATTATAGGCGTAGAGCCAATTGCAGCGGCACGGTGAAGTGCAAGTTGACCTCGCTTGTCCTTAACTCGAGCACTGCATTTGTTTTCCAGTAGTTTGCGGATTGTGGAGATACTTGCTTTGGACGTTGCAAAGTGTAGCGCGTTCTAGAGATGTTAGTTTGGGTTCTTGGGAAAATCAGCAAGACTATGAGAGATATACCTGACCAGTGGTACTCTTAACATTGACGTCTGCGCCCTTTCGTAGAAGAAGATCAATGATGGGATCTCCTTCAGCGTTCTTCAGACTCGATGCAATCATCAGAGGAGTCCAGCATGATCCGTCCTGGGTGAAGGTTAGTTTGCGAAGGATTCCGCTTGGGCCGGAAGACATTTTCCGAATGAAAGACATACCTCGACGTCTGGATCGAAGTTCCTCGTGGCCACGAGGAGTTCGACAATGGGGAGGTGATTGTATGCCACTGCCCAGTGGATGGGAAGACGGTCATCGTCATCTTTGGTCGTGGCTAGTTTTGGGTTGGCCTATCAGATATCAGCTGGAAAGCTCAATAAATTCGCCTGCTATTGTAGTTTCCATAAGGCAACAGACGTTCAAAAGTGACTCGACCACAGAAACTGCCGCACTGTTAGTCGAAGTATATATATGTTTTGTCAGCGGGGAAGACAAACGTTTGCCGTCCCGAGCAGCTTCGTGCAATGGGAACTTTGAGTCGCTAGTGGCAGCCATAAGTACCACTCAGAAGCGTATTCGGATGGATTAGATGTGGTATTCAAGATATCTGACGCTGGTGGGATGAGAATATAGTACCCCGGCCAAGATGGCAGGAGCAGGTGATGACGGGGAAGATCTCCATGTGATGCCTTGGGGCCTCAGGCCTTTAACTCGAAAGCTAAGAAACTTCCGACATCTTTGCTCTCTACACTTACAGACTATTGACACCCCTCATCTCTTTGCTAATTATCGTCTCATCCTTCGCACTCCAGATTGCACTCTACTTAACTTCTTGAACACCTGCAGTTTCCCGAATTAGTCCCGCTCAGGCAAGACACGAACTCCGATACGAGACCGAGCCCTCCACGAGCTTGGTTTCCATCCAGGCTACTCGGACCTATTGAGGCCCATCCCCTCGACTCCCATCAGCCACAATGGACGTTATTCCATCAACCACCCCGGAAGAGGCCGTGCGCGCCTCCGCGAAGAGAACCGCAGATCTTTTCGGCCCCGAATATCTCATGGTCACACCCTCCGTCGCGAATGGCTCGATTGGCGTTTCCTATCGACGAAAAACAGAATATGAACACGTGAAGGAGCTCCCTCCAGCCCTTGCTGCGAAACAAGCACAAGCCGCCGCTGCGCGCTCCAAGCGGCCTAAGATCAGCGCACCGCCGCAGGGAGCGGGCACCGGGGATAAGAGTGGCGCGTCTACAGCCCTTGTGAGGAGAGGTGGTCGCGGCCCTGCGGGTGGTGCTGCGGGAGAAGACAAACCGACGAGCTTGATTCAGAGGCCATCAGCAACAAGGCAACAACCACCTGAGTGGCATGCTCCGTGGAAGCTGATGAGAGTGATCTCCGGCCATCTGGGATGGGTGCGGAGTTTGGCAGTGGAGCCGAATAACGAGTGGTTTGCTAGTGGTGCTGGTGACCGAACGATTAAGATCTGGAATCTTGCGACCGGTGCGCTGCGATTGACTCTTACGGGTCACATTTCAACCGTTCGCGGGTTGGCCGTGTCTCCGCGACACCCATACCTGTTCTCTTGTGGTGAGGATAAGATGGTCAAGTGCTGGGATTTGGAAACGAACAAGGTCATTCGCCACTACCACGGCCATCTTAGTGGTGTCTACACTCTTGCGCTCCACCCCCGACTTGATCTGTTGGTTACCGGAGGTCGAGATGGTGTCGCGCGTGTCTGGGATATGCGCACCCGAAGTAACATTCACGTCCTCTCCGGCCACACCGGCACTGTCGCCGATCTACAATGCCAGGAAGCTGACCCGCAAGTCATCACTGGATCCTTAGATGCAACCGTTCGTCTTTGGGATCTCGCAGCCGGAAAGACCATGGGCGTCCTCACACACCATAAAAAGGGTGTTCGTGGCCTTGCCACGCACCCTCGCGAATTTACCTTCGCGTCCGCCAGCACAGGGAGCATCAAGCAGTGGAAGTGTCCCGGCGGCGAGTTCATGCAAAACTTTGAAGGCCACAACGCCGTCATCAACACCCTCTCCGTCAATGAAGACAACGTCCTCTTCTCTGGTGGTGACAACGGCTCCATGTCCTTCTGGGACTGGAAGACCGGATACCGTTTCCAAACCATCGACACAACTGCCCAACCCGGTTCACTGGAAGCTGAGGCGGGTATCATGGCTTCCACGTTTGATAAGACAGGTCTTCGTCTGATTACTGGTGAGGCTGATAAGACCATCAAGATCTGGAAACAGGATGACCAAGCTACGCCGGAGACTCATCCCGTTACCTGGGCCCCGACTCTGGGGAGACAGAGGTACTAGCGACCTCGGTCTTGGTTCTGCTTCTATCCTTTTAATAAAAGAATACCCTACTTGAGGTCTTTTGGGACGGCTTGCAATGCACACTTGGAGTTCAGCGTTTGTGATGATTGTTTCGTTATTTATCTGGAATATAAGGTGAACTTGCACACGTTTTGCCAATGTACTATATGACCAGACTCAACAGAGTTCATTACTTGTTAACACAAGGGTATCATTCCATATAATACATTAGTACACTGTAATATGCTCCTTTTGAGTCCCAAATACCATGTATCCATCCCATGCTGAACGCCAATCCAATGCTAACCATGTATGATCTTCACACCTCCATCCCAAGCCCTAACCCCTTCGCCTCAACATCATCCCGAAACGCCGCGCGGACATCCTCGGCCGCAACCCTAAGCCTCACCTTTCCGCTGCGATCTCCTCTCGTCGGAATAGCCGCACTACCCAGCGCTCCGCGCGACCCAGAACTAACTTCCAGCGCAAGAACGCCCGAGTTCATCAGCTCCATCGCCGCAAATCCCAACGCGCTGACACGCGCCCCAGCGCCACCGGAAAGTAGGAAATCCTTGATTCCTGCACCCGCCGCACCGGCAACGGCTACCGCGGCGTCAGCGATACGTCTCGCTTCGTCGATGACGTCGCCGAATGTTGATTCTGTGATTCCGGTGCGCTTGACGCGGGCGAGAAGCGCGGCGAGGAAGAGTTTTGCGGAGAGAGGGAGGCAGCGGAGTGATTGTTGGAGCGGGGTGGAGGTTGCTTCTTGGATGGCCTGTTTGATGGTTGCGATGGTGACCCGGCCGGGGGTTTGTTTTCTTGGCGTGGCTGTCGTGCTAGGTTTCTGAGGGGAACGGGCCAGAGCTCTTTCCTTTCGCGCCGGGGTTTTGGTTGGTGTTGGGGGCATGGACTCGGTGTCGTCGGCGTCTAGGTCTTCGGCTGTGCCGGCTTCGCCTAGTGCGCTTTGTTCTGCGATCTCCACGGCTCGGCGGCAGATGTCTAGGGCTCGTCGAGCGTCACCGCTAACGGCGGCGACTTTGCGGCTGGCGAACTGGATGGCGTCGGCGTCGACGATGTCGCCGGGTACACTTGCTAATCGGGTCGTGATGATTTCCATCAAGTCGGTGTGCTTGTAGCCTGGAAATGTGATGCGAGTTAAACCAAGGCGACTAGAGATTTTATTGCTTAGGGTTCGCTCCGGGAGGTCCATAGTGTTGGCGACGGCTAGGACGATCAGGCGCGAATGGCGGAGTGCCGGCCAGTTGAAAAAGTTGTACATGACCGACTGGTTCTTGGTAACCAATTGGTCTAGCTCATCCATAAGAACGACGCATGATACTCTTCGAGGCGAGGGGTTGGAGAACTCCCGGTCTAACAGATCAAGAGCGTGGGAGGATGATACTCGATCGCCTTTCAATGCCTCCCAGAGCATGGAGTAGGACTGATGGGGATCTGTGACTTTCATGCCGTTTATTTCCACGAATATGAAGTCATCCATCTCCTCTGCAAGAACGGCAGAGTTCAACTGCGCGACAACTTCGCGGACGGTGGCTGTTTTCCCGGTTCCTGGTGTCCCGGAGATATAGATACAGGTACCCGTCCCTTCCATGATGGCAGCACTGAGATGGCTGTATACTGTGTCGAATTCCTTTTTCCGGCATGGAAGCGAGTCGGGAACAGTGGAAACATGAAGAAGATTACGGGCCTGGCGGTAGGGTGATGCAAAATGGGCGGGTGACAGCACGCGTGTACCGAGGGGCGTAAATTCGAGCGGTTTCTTGACAATGATTCTAGCCGGCGTCATCAGCAATCTCATCCATTACAGCAGGGATAGATTTACCTCTTATTGGACGGAGTGGTCATTGCTTTCTGTCGTCGAGATTGCGGTGTAGCGTTTGCTGTCTTTTGCCTCTTTCTGGGGGTTGTAGGTAATTCGCCAACAATATCTTCGGCCTCTTCTTTATCCTTCGGATCGACATACTACAGCTTTATTAGATATTGTTAGAGACTCAATGTATCGCGGACTCACATCAGTATCAGCCTGCTTTCGCTTCTTGGTCGCCTTCAAGCCATCCTTGACTAGGTCAACAAGGTCATGGATTTGGTCCGGTTGATAGACATCTTCCCACACGAACTCCTCCGTATATCGTCCCTGCACTTGGTTGACACCCCTGCGACAAACAATGCACTTATTATATTCAGCCAGCGCCGCCTTGGATTTCGGAGCAGTGCCGTTTGGGTATCGCGCGAAGAAGGCATCTTTGGACATGACCTGAGCCTTCCCATTGATTGAAGTCAGAGGATTGACATTGAAGTCTGTTGTCAGGTATTGTTCGTTCGGTAAAACGTCGGTTCTCCGCTTGTGCCTTGTCGATAAGAACTCGTCCGGGGAAGCGAACCACATGATGTTTGCCATTTTGATGGGTTCGTTGTCTTCGTCATCTTCTTCCTCATGGAAATCCATGATTATGCCAACCCAGTCTTTCCCAGGCTCTGGAGATTTCAGGAGGATAACCTCGCCTATCCTACACTCGAAGAGACCCATGCGAGCTCCGATAATCTTGCGTTGCGACTGGCGTGAAGAGCGTCTCCGCGCAGATTTTGGTGTCTCCCCAGAAGCATCTGCCCCGTTTCCAGCCTCCCCATCATTATCCGGTTCGGTATCGTACATCCACTCCCACGGATAGTCTTCATCGCCGAGTTCGTCGTCGGAGTCGTCGCGAATGATGCCTCCCTTGGTCATCCACTGCTCGGCGCGCTTGAGGGCATCCCGCTTGCGCGTCTGCGAGCTGACGTTGCCAGCTGCAACACTGGGAGTCATTTGGCTTGTGAATGTGGTTTGAGGTCGATTTTCACAGTACCGGGCAAGCAATGGCCGATAGTCTCGATGTCGAGCTCGGGGGACGCGGAAAACCGCGTCTGTCCACTTTGATCCTTTTCAGGACTAGGTAGTGTCACAGCACGTGAAGCTCAAGCCATTTTAGGCTTAGCTTTGTGCTAAGCGAAGGCTCGTGAAGTATACAAACCGGAGGAGAATAAAAAGCCAATGAAGACCGCAAGGGCATCTCCAGACAGAGATTCACTAGGCTGATTCTTGGAGTCTTCTGCAGGGATGAGCTGGTAGCAGGGATGATGCCTGTTTTCTTAACAAACATGACAGCTGCATGCTTCCGAGACACCATGCTCCTTCTACCAATGGGTAGTTCCCAGTGCGTTCACTGGCAGAAAGACAGAGTTATAGGACAGAGGAGCAGCTTGTTTTCTGAGATCTCCTCATATGTTGGGCGCGGTCGGTTTGCTAGGGCTGCGGCCTGTGACTTGGTTGCTCTAGGTGATCGCCCTCTCTTCTTCTCAATCCCCCTCAACTCTCCCTTCATCTTTCAAGTCACTCTCCTGCCTCCGAGAGCCAATGAATTTTGACAGGCATGTGACTTTTGTCTCAAATCTTTTTTCCCCTGCTGAGAAGCCACTCGTCCTATTTTCCTCTCCCCCTCCTGTCCCCGCTCTCTCCGCATCTTCTCAACTTCCTCGCTTCATCCACTGTCCCTCCCTTCGCGTTCCATGTGCCCTTTCAGTCAGTACTGATTAAATTGCATCAAGATGGAGTAAGTATTGGAACAATACCATTTTACGCGCAAACCACTAATAGACTGGCAGCCATGAGACTTCCGGAGCCCTAGGTACGAATCCCCTACAGAACCACCGCGTCCCTCTACCCAACGATCGTACGCTGAATCACTATAGAATGGAATCTTGTGGGCTATGGACGAGCAGCAGCAAAGAAAAAAGCCGTGGCTTCGGATACCCAGGCACAAGCTTCCCAGTTATCCCAGGCGCCTCAAGCATCGCAGAAGCCGCAGACTTCGCAGATATCGAGGGCTCAAGCGCCTCAAGCGCCTCAAGCATCGCGGGGACCACAGCCGCAGACACCGCATTTACAGACTCGCAGAGCTATGCAGTCAGGGCCTCAGCAACGGCCTCAGCCTACAGCTCAAAAAGTCACAGGTCCTCCTTCACGAGCTGTTGCCGTCAATCGAGAAACTTCGAATGGGAGGGCCCGAGGATTTCCGAGGGGTAGGGCAGCAAATCCCAGAGCAGCTGTTTCCGGCCAGCCAAATAATCCACTTGGGTACTCCCCTGCAAAGCTGAAGTTTAGTAATGGACTAAAGCCGGACGGTAAGAAGCATGATTGTCAGAACTTGGGTTTGGACTGATTCAACGCGATGATTCAGGCGTGGTAGACCTGTCTGCTCCTTTCGGGACGATCAAGCATGAGTAAGTGAATCGCGGCTCATTACAAACCACCACCTTTCATAACACTCTTCAGCTTTTTCGGCGCAGCAAGATCGGGAAGTCTTGGAAGACATGGTGCCGCAGGACACAATCGCACTGGGGTTTTCGAAGATATAAGCAAGCGAAGCGGTGCTTTTGTTAAGATGCCAGTATACGAGGACCGGGTTTGTAACTGACATACCGCTATGGAAGAGGCTTCTAATAACAGAAAATAGGTCATCAAGATTTGGGGCGAGCCGATCCAAGTCGCTGCAGCTGAAGGGCAACTCAAGAGTATTCTTTCCAAATGCAGCAGCCTTAACAAGCCCAAGGCTACGGCCCACTTCGCGAAGGTAAAAGCCTACTCTGAAAAGAAAGAGGCAAATGTCGAATCAAAGGAGAGAGGTGAAGGCATGTTGTTTGAACTTCGAAGACAACCTGCGCCAATCAGCACCTTTCCGGAGCCCGTAAGTACCTCTGAATTTGGGGATGTCTAATTATTGACGTTTTATCCACGCTTAGCTGCTCTTTCTATGGCCAGAGGACGGACCATCCCTGAACGAATGCTTCGGCCCCGACCTAGAATCTCTCGATCCAATCCGAATCAAATATAGTTGCTACCTCTTCGTCCCCAAAGAGCTGCCGGGATTCATATGCGCTCTTGGTGAGAACCATGATGGCAAGAAACAAATCGCGAAAAGCATTAGAATTCTGTGGGCCGAGGCGGCAGCCAAGAGCAACATCAAAACGAAGATTTATCTCGTTGAGCCGCCGGAGCCGAATGCTATGAAGAGAGAGATCGTAGTCAAGAAACAGAACCACAATCAACTGCACAATCCCGTCCTCCAGGGAGCCCGACTGAAGGGTCGCACTTTGCAAGAATGGCAGGGTCGAATCAGTTCGGTGCAGTCCAAGAACAACACGCGTCTTCTAACTGCTGTTGAGAGTTGCTTGAAGGGTCTCTCTTTTGTTCGTGGACATCTGCGGATGCGTGTTAATCTCGGTACCTTTGTGCTCGAGACTTACCAGAAGCCCGAAGACGACAAGTCTTGGTATGCATTTGAAGAGTTCCGTGGGATGATCTTGCATGAACAGACCCAAGGTCGGCTGATTCCGGGGTAAGGGTTGTTTCCAGAAACATGTTGGAGGTGACTAAATCTGACGGTTATTAGACTTAAAATTGGTCAAACTGAACTGCTAGAAAGGTGTTTCAAGGCGCGAGAATTACTCGAACCGCTCGACAAGAAGTCAACTTCTTTAGAAGATGCCGAGCTTGCGTATTCTGCGAACTTCGAGTTCGTCGGCGCAGACAAATCTATGCTTCGACTAGAGGCAGAGTTCGCAAAAAGCCCCTTAGCACGAGAGTACGAAATCAAGGAACGCCGCTGGCTTAGGCCTCGCACTGATGGTCAAACACGAGATAAGCGGCCTCCTCTGCACGCTGCTGTCATTGACTTCGAACGGTAAGATATGATGTGCTCTGGTAAGCTTTGACTTGACTGAATTTCGCTCTAGGTCAGACTGGCAGCTTGAGATAAAAGCACTCGAGTTCCACGAAGCGGCATCGATCAATTCAGCCCTCAAGGCATTCTCATACGACATCAGCTTCCAACACACAGAGAACGTGGGTGATATTCGGGCGAAGGCGGAAAAGAAAGTCAAGTTTCCCCGAAGTCCTCCAGTGGCCAGATACGTTGAGAAGTCCGCAGTCCGCTACCGGATCAAAGGCACAAACTATATCTTCGAAATTGCTCGGTATGATGAGTATAGACGTGAAGGAGTGCCGACCATCTATACCGGAGGCGAAATGCTTGGAAGCATGTCAGCCACTCCTTATACATCTTGGGGTGCATCGGTCTTTGACCCGAACTGGGACAACCTGCTCGGCGGCCATGCAAACCTAGGTATCGGGCAAACTGCCAAGTACAACCCGAATCTAGCCACTTTCTTTCCGTCCATAGAGCCTTCGCCTAAACCCGAAGATCAGGCCAAAGGCTTCTGGGAGTTTATCGGCATAGTCAAACAAGCAGCAGGGCTGTTAGGTCCTACACGCACCTCCACAGACCCCGAAGTAGATGCCGCGTCTGAAGCCGAGTCACTTTCGAAGAAGGCCGACCGCCCCTTGGAAAGCACTTCGGCTTCTCCCACAGCGCCTGCAGCAGGCCCTGTGCCGAGTCCCCGTATGCTGAATGCGGATCTTGGCACTTTGTTCTGAGGAAGTGGATATGGCTATCGATTCATTTCGAGATACTTTGCCGGGCTGGATATCGGTTGGAGAACTAATGGACTATGTTACATGCATTCCGATCCTGTTGGTGCTGCCTTAGATACTTCCTGTTTTCATCTGCCGCAATCTCTCTTCAATTTCGTGTAATAGTGCGCTCAACCAGCCGCCGCAGCCTGGGCCGATGACGCCGCATTCTCGCTCATCAGTTTTTGCCTCAGAGCTGCCGACTTGTTAGCTTCGTGTTTCTATAGGTCAAGAATAAAATTTCTTCACTAACCGTCTTCAAAGAGTCTCTGCTGAGAGCTCTTAGTCTGCACCAGCTTCTCCAACTCCGTAAGACTCGTCTCCAGCTCCTTAACCTTCTGCTCGTAGAACTCAACCGCCTTCGCCGCGGTCTGCGTGGAAAAAGACATCATCAGCCTCGAATTCTCCACCATCCACATATTCAGAATGGATCCGTACCTTCTCAACAAAGTACCCCGTCCCAACATCAACAAGCACCTTCTCCCGATCCGCAAGCCTCCCCTTAACATACAGCGAGCTCGTCAGGGGCACAAGAATCTCATCTGCCCCCTCCGTGCCCTTCTTCGCGGACCCCACAACGCCATCATTGATCGAGCGCACGCAGTCCCGGAAGCGCGATTGCGCTGCGCGCAGTTTTGTGTGTGAGGTGGTTAGGTGCTCGAGTTCGGTGGAGAGGCGCGTTTGCAGGGCGCGGAGTTGTTGCGCGGAGAGGGAGGAGATGTTGACTGTCAACAAAACAGATTGTTAGTGAGAAGGTATGGAAACAGATTGGGGGGTAGGGAGATACCGGCGCCGGGGGGTGCTTCGGAGTCTGATGCGGGGGTGGACATTGTGGTGGTTTTTTTCTCGCGCGCGTTCGCTCTGATGGCGGGGTTCGTTGAGCGGGCGCTGGGTTTGAATGTGGAGGTAAGGTGTAGCCCTAGATAGATCTGAGGGGGTTAGGGCGTACTGAGGGGCAGAAAATGCGGAATGGGCGTCAAAGGAATTCGATAAAGTCTTGAGGCGGAGTGGGTTGGGATAAAGTTGAAGCTGGGCTGGTGCTGAAGCTCGGGCCAACTGGGCCACGCCCAATGCGGTTTAGCGCTTCTAGTATAGACCCATTGCTATGACCTCAATGTTATGACTACGGGAAAGGAAGACAGGTTGGAAAAGCAAATTCTTGTTCATTAGAGTTGAGAGCTAGCCTGGTCTACATAGAAAGCCTGAGATATGGTCTGTGAGACAGCAAGATGGCAGCGGGTACATGAAGGTGCGAAGTGATCCAAGTATATCACGTATGAACGCTGAACCAAGGTATCTCAGCAGATGAAAGTCCTACGAGAAGAGCCACAAGAAGAGACGAGGGAGAGATCTAGCGAGTGTCTCTGGTAGATGCCGTAAGACGGGTCGCCATCCAAGAGGCCAAGGACATATTAGTGGTTCCCCCATGATTTAGCGGCTGGCCTTTATACCAGCAGTCCAGTAGTTCGCTTATTGAATCCTGCGCATTTTCATTTTAGACACACTGAAAGGGTACTTCATAGAAGCCATGGTTGACTGGAGGGCGCCACGATAGCGCTCCCTGTCCGGAACATTCACCCAGAGGTGAAATAGGCAATACCTATGTCCCTGCTATCAGTGGCTAGAAGGAAAGACACACTAAGCTCTAGTGCACTCACCATTGACGAATTTTGCGGTTAAAAATTTAAAGAATGCTTTGCCTTGTGAAGTAGCACTATTCTTCGCGTGCGCTTGTCCCGGTACCCACAATTCCTGATCTGTCTCTGCGTGCAACCATCCATCCCGCCAGAGTGATATGAGAGCCTCCCTACGGCGGGAATTTGGATCGGAGTCGAATTCGGAGACAGTAGAGACACTGATACCATTGTGTCTAAGTGCGTGTATGATTACCTCAGTGGCGGCTTCTCCGTGGGGTACGGCTCTGGCGAAGCACCAGCTTCTCAAGGATTTGTAAGAGAACCTCCCGAGCAGTTGCCCAACTCACTGGGCGATTGGTCTTGATGAGGTCCTGGACAGTCTATTATAAACGAATTAGCGCTGACACTGCAATGAAGAGAGAGAAGGGACGCACGTTGCTTTGCAGAAGCATATCAACAAGACCTTTCAGGATTCCTATGTGCCAATTGCTGCCTTCCAACAAAGCGTCGTGCAATGCCTTGGTAAAATTAATAGAGGAGGATGGCATATACTCCGAAGCATATTTAATCACAAATTCTTTTGCTTCATCGCTCAGCAGGTAAAGGCCAAATGGCTTCATGGACAGTGGGGTCAACTGTTCTTGCTCCGAGAGCATCCGCTGTGGGGAAATTTCGGAGTGATATTCGACGTGATGCGGCAGGCCGTAAGAAGTAAACAGTACAATGCGCGAGCTGGATGAAGAGCAGATTCGCCCAAAAAAATCTGCCCAGATCAAGAGATCCCCGTACAACTGGTGCGCCTCATCAATAAGCAGGAAGGCCGTGTTTGTGTGCCAGTCATTCCCCGCGACTCCAGTCACGGTCTTTAGATATGGGTTCCAGCCCCCTGCATCCGTAACAACGTCCATGTTCCAACCTGTGATGGTGTGGATTGGCAGTGTGTCGTCGTATTTCTTGAGCAGCGTATTGACCATAAGATGCATCATGGTTGTCTTTCCGGACCCGGGTATACCGTTGACTCTTATGATGCGCCGTTCTTCGACTTGGTCTATCAACTCATCAACCAACTCCTGCCTAGGAATTGTAGAATCAGGGAGAGCTGGGCCATGAGTACAATTAGCTTGGGTCTATCTTCAAATGACTTGGGTGGCTTCTTCATACCAAAAGGCCCAGTGACCAACGATCGAGGAGTGTCATGAAATTTGGGCGAAGAAGGTGGGGGCTCGCAATGAACCTTGCCCCAGGAGGTCGAGGGCTCGCAGTCAACCTCACCACAGGAAATCAAGGGCTCACAGTCAACCTCGCCCGAGCAAGTCGACGGCTCGCAATTAACACTGCCCCAGGAGGTCGAGGGCTCGCAATTAGGCTTGCCCCAAGAGTCCGATACATCGCCATGATTTGTGGACGCTGGGGTCATGATCTGGGAGTGAGTCGCGGACCAAGAAGTCGTAGGCTCGTGATAACCTATACCCCATGAGCCGGTACCTGAGTAAAAGCCATCACCGTGATGCTGCCACTCTGACTGCTGTTTTTGGGACTGCTGCTTCGTGGCTGGCTGCTGAGATCCCTCGTCTAATTCGTAATCCTCGTGTGTGGACAATGTGTGGCCGCAAGAGCGACATTTGAGGTCATCGTGTGTTTCGCCGAGGGACAAGATGCTGGAACCTGAAGTGCAGTGACACTTGAAGTCATTTGCGCCGTGCCAGGTACAGCGACCTAGAGTAACGAGCGCGGTGCGTTGCTCCATTGGGGATGGTGAAGATGGCGGGGCGAAGAGAATTCAGGAAGGAAGGTGGTTGGAAGGAGAAGTGTTGGGAGGGAAGGAAGGGAACTCAGGAGGAAGGGTGACTGAGGGAGACAGACGAGGCTTCCTTTCAGGTACGCGACTTTGCAGGAACACAACAGAGCACCGGGCCCGGCTCGTGCTTAGAGTCAAAGATTTATTCTCTCAACGGTCTCTGTTAATGTATTCCCTGATTAGGCTGATAAGAACCGAGTTAATCTGCTGTTCAAAATACACCACCGGTGAAGTCAACAACCTGCACCTTCTCAATCACATCCTTCAAGCTGCCCACAAACTCCAGGTGCGCGGGGTCCTTCTCGAGGTAGTACTTTCTATCCTCTTCACTGGCGAATTCAACTACAAAGGCATGGGTGATACCGTTCTTTCTCTATCAGCATAATGCTCTACAGACAAGTGACAGAAGTGGAGGCCTACCTGCATCCCTTCGGGCGAGTTATCTGCTCCTCCTGATGCGGACAGGATATACGGCTTCTGGGAGGTAGGATGGACACATTTGTCTTTGAGGGACAGCATACGCGTACACAGCTATTGAGCATGAGCATCGCTGGGAGCGCGCGGACGGAGGGTGCTGACTTACGTCCTTGACAGTATCGGCGCTGAGGCCGGATTTGAGCTGGAACATGACAATGTGCGTAATGGGCATGATGGCGGTTGGAGGCGAGCTTTGGGTATGATGGAGTAGAGGGAGGAAGATGTTGATTTAAATGTCTATCTAGGTTGACGTTATCCATGGATGATGTCGTGGTGGGGTTGTGCAACAGGCACAAAAGTGGGGTGCTTCGGCTACCTTTGACCGAGAATGATGGTCAGACATTGACTCAGGACCTATCTATCTCGATGCAATTCAAGTCAAATTATGTAGCTCCGGATTCCCCTCCTCTCAGGACTCTGGGAGCATTCTCCAGGACCAAGATAGCCTCCGTCCCAAGATACCCCTCATCCACGAGCTTCCGAACATAGTCCCTCAACCAATTCTGGCAATTCGGCGCCTATCACGTATCAAATTTTTATCTCTCAATCAACCCCGGTATACCTACAGCAGGATCGAACGGGTTCAGACTACGTCCTGGAGGCGCTACCAGGGTCGCCACAGATTCAAGTTGATCGCGGGCGACGGCATCCTTGGAGAGCTGCCCATTCCCGGGGGTGTCCGTCACAAATCGAGCATCAACCGCACCCAACTCACTGATCCAGTACGGCGTTGGAAAGTCGGCATAGTCGAAGTTGCGGAGGAATTCAAGCGAGAATCCGAGGGCTGGGTTCCCGTCGACGTGAATCAATTTGCCTTTCGTGCCTGCGTTGCCTGTCGGCATGAAGACAGATTGATGCGCTGGCCGTGGCCCGTTGGAGAATTCGGCGAGGTAGATTGTTCGGGACATTGCCTAGATCTTTGTAGCTTTGCTTACTCTGCTCTTTGAGGGATGATGGAGATTTGCAGTCGTTTAATCTGAAATATCTCTTGGTGCCTTGAGGCTGATCATGGATGCTTAACTGACCGAAGAGCAAACGCATGAGTTGCGCGGCTGTCAACAACTGAAGCACATCAAGCTAAGAATGCACTAACTGATGTATGCAATCCTATCATCAGCTATTCGAAAGTCACTAGTTTGATCTACTTCCATCAGCGAAGGCGGGCATAAACACAGAAGATGTAGTCAAGAGGCGGAGTCCTGAACTCTTACCACCTAAGAGGGAAGTGAGAGAAGGACCCCTGGACTTCTGTTGTTTCCTACTAAACTTCTCTAAAACTCATAACATTCAACTCACCATCACTCTTCACTCTTGTTCTTCCCCTGTCTTTCCACCACACGCTCGTCTTCTCATTTTCTCATATTCCTAACTCTAGGCAAAGGTACGTACAGCCAAAGAGGCGTGCCTGACATTTGTGCAGACACTAACGATGTCGAGGAAAGATGCCAGACACTACCATCTACTTAGTATATTCCAATCCGCCCAAAGAGGACCGGGTCCTAAACGACATCGAGAGTCTGTGTCCTCTTGATAATGGCAGGGATCTTGGTCCTCCAGCCTACAGCCTGGGACTACTCGACAGACTCCCCACTGAACTCCTGCATAGTGTGTTACTCGAACTCGACATGCGAGCACTGGCGGACCTCCGACGCGTCAACAAGCGAGCGCGGATTGCCATTGACGGAGTCCCTCAATATCGAAAAATCATTACCCATGCCCGGGTGATTGTCCAGGCCATTCTGAGCATTCGCACCGGCAGCACGTATTCACTGCGCGATCTCTACATAGAACTCCGCACGGCGAAATGCAGCAGTTGCGACGATTTTGGGGGATACATCTACCTGCTTACATGTCGCCGCGTCTGTTTCCAGTGCTTTACTACCAAACGGGAATACCTTCCGATCTTTGAATCCTCACTACATCTACCACGCGACATCGAGGCCTTACCTTCTATGAGGTCAATTAAGGGCCGTTACGCGTGCACCCGGGTTGGGAATATTGGCGCATCGACAACTGTGGTTGATTTCGTTTCTGCTTGCCAAGCAGGAATCGTTGAGGAAACCTTTGATGAGGCCGCTGCGGACGGGACTTTATGGATTCTTGACAGGGGCAATGTGCTTGAAGACGCAAACGATGTCAACTTCGCCCGATTTATAGCTATTGTACGGGCGCCAGTTCTGCGCGGACGGGGGGTGGAATGGGGAGTCCAGTGTATGGCTTGTAAGAACACAAGCATGCTAGGGTCTGAGCACTGGAGCCGAAAATTTACACCAGAAGGGTTTGAGGCGCACATGAGGGAAGAAGGAGAGATCATAATTAGGGTGAGTTCCATGGGACGCGCATACTACTGGCATAACGATGAGGAGTAAGACCTGGGAGGCGAGAGCTGAGCACTATGACGCCCACCGATAATTTCTGAGAGCAAGGCAACAGCGGCCAATGCACAACAATCTATCTTCAACGAGCAACGTCCTCGGCTCGCCTCATCGCATGATCACCCGCCTTCACTAAGTGCTGCATGCAGTAATGACCCTTTGCCGGCAACGACTCCGACTTGACTGGGTCGCATCTGACGTTCGTACTCAGCCTCTCGTCGAATTGTTTGAACTGCTCTGGTTTTTTTTGCATCCGCACGCATACATCCGAGAGTACTGGGTGCACATTTTGATTTTGGTCTTCATCAGGTTAGCAATGGCTGGGAATTCAACGGTGCAGGTAACCTCTGCTATACCTACTGCTACTTACCTTATGGAGTGCTGTTTTTGCGATTTCTTGGAAACGCACCGGGGGTTTCAGGCTGTAGCCTACTGCTTTAGTGTTTCTTCATTGGACCGTAATGGAAATCGTTGGTTTACTTACTCGCTTTCTTGAGAGATGGTTTGAGCAGGATTGATATGGCAAGGCGATGACGATGAGTTAAGTGGAAGGAACGTTGAGTCGTAGTTAAACCCAGTCAAAGTGGACGCTCAGTCAAACCACCGGCACCTACCTAAAGCGGCGTCACTCTTCTCTGTCCTCTCCTTCCGTCAGTGGACGCCATTTAGGCACCAACTTCCTTCAGCGCGAGCTGAGCCTTTACGCTGGGACCGAGTGCTGGCGCTTACCGTGTCCCCAGAGCTGTGGGATACTTATCTTCTCATGACAGAGACTTACATTGTCACTTTCTTCAGGACTCGTTTATGACTGTTCGAAGGATGGAAACAAACATCCTGGGACAGACCGGTGTTCCACGCACTGGTGGACTGACGCGGACGTCGAGCTCAGCATATCTTTCCAGCATCTATTATCTGACTACAGAGTTTATCTAGCAGTATGGTGACAGCACTGCGACTGTGCCTACCTCATGCTGATACTCCAATGTCCACGGGCGATAGCTTGGCTTGCGACTGGATTTGACACCGTTTCTCAGGTTCCAATATTGCACGAACCAGACTGCGACTCCAGCGGGAGCACGGGGAACATCGACAGCCTCGAGGGAAATTGGTCAGAGCACACGAGGGGCCAAAAAGGCTTAACATCGGGCTCATGCTGGTGCTTGGCCCTCCTCTTTTTGCCGTCCAATTTTCAATGTTTCCAGGTGAAGTTGGATACCTCAGTGACCGTCCTGCGCTAAATCGAGCATCACTTTCGAATTGTTAAGCTTTGCCTATGGTACCTTCCACAGTTCTGTCATGACTGAAGGTCAATAGTCTCCATGAAGGCCGCAAATCGCTGTCAGAGGCGCGGTCAGCGAATCTATTGTTTATGGTTTGCCCTGCGTGCCCCTGTCGTTACTGATTCCTTCACCAAACAATGACTAACTTCTACTTGTCCATAGTGCGTATATACGAGAAATCTTTTCCGCGTCTATTCAAAGTAGACATTCAATCCGCAGTCATAGATTGATAAGACCGATCTAATCTTATCCAAGCATTTTACCTCATGCCTACCACCTAGTCCACGGTCCAGCCCATTCCTATTAGCCGGTTCGAGAACCCTTGGAATGAGAAACACACCCCGAATTTGTCAGAAGGAATGCAGGCCAATCTCGCCCGGTCTGCCTGACATACTCCGTATACGCCGAGTCCTGCTTAGCATCGTGAGCCAAGTATCCCCATGTGAACGGTGAACACTGAATATTGAGGTCATGATTCACGGAGTCCGCGGATCAAAACGGCTGAGATCCGCGCCAGTAGGTACAGAGACACGCTGAGTCAGATTCCGAATCTCGACTACCACACCGGTTCCAAACAGGGAGGTGTAAAGGAAGCATTGCACATTGGCTGGGATTTTCATAATCGACAGCAGCTTCAGCCACGATTCAAGAGAGCAAGATGCTGGCCCTTCGCCTCCTCTTCACCCTCACCCTCTCCACCCTCGCCCAAGGCGACGTAACCAAAGACCACGACGCCCGCCTCCAAACCGCCATCATCCTCGACACCCCCACAACAGGCGCCAGCACGACTCCGTCGGGCCGAACCTTCCTCAAGCTCGCCCGTATCGACGGCACAACAGGCTCGCAGATCGTCGAGGTCCTCAACGACGGTAACTCCACCCTCGTCCCCTATCCGAACGAATTCTGGAACTCCTGGAACGCAAGCACAGACAGCCAATCCGACAGCGAGACAAAGTATGTCCGCACAAACGCGCAGCGCGTCGGGCCGGACGGGAATCTGTGGGTCGTTGATAGTGGTGCCTCGACCGACGGGTTCAGTAACTCGTCCAAGCTCATCTCGTTCAACCTCACCAAAAACGAGGTCGACCGAATCTACTACCTAGGCGACGTAACCACGAGACACGGCAGCCTCAACGACGTCCGCTTCAACGGAAAGTATGCCTACATAACAGAGTTCACGATCGGGAGCATCATCGTGCTAGACCTCGAGACCGGCGCCGCGCGCATGGTCCTCCGCGAGCACAAATCCACCGTTGCGCTCATGCCGCTCTCAGCCGAAGGCCAGCTCCTGCGCTCCGCGTCCACCGGCAAACTCCAGTACATCCACGCTGACCAGCTCGAGGTCTCGCCGGACGGGAAGTGGTTCTACTACCAGCCAGCCAGTGGGTACATGTGGCGCATTGAGACGAAGTATCTCAATGAAGCGCTGCATAATGAGACGATGGCGGACCTGCTACCGGACTACGTCGAGACTTTCTCCTTAACGCCCAGCACGGGCGGCACGGCTATTGACGCGGACGGAAACATCTACTACAGTGATGGTGACCGCCAGGAGATTCGACGGCTCAGTGCCAATGGATCGACGGAGCTGCTAGTGCGGGATGCACGGTTGCTGTGGGTTGATGCGTTGTGGATTGATTCTGACCAGAGGCTGTGGATGTGTGCGAGCCAGTTAAATCGTGGAAACATGTTTGTCCAGCCGGGGAATCAGGCCATGATCATCAAGAAGCCGATTTATGTTTATACGATTGAGGCGGGACATTATCCGTCGCCACTGGATCATGCCTGAGAACGTTTTGCTGTTTGCGTTGAGTTAGGGCTAGGGTGCTTGAAGCTTACCGCTCAATCCATGGTGTGAGAATACGGTCTCAAGCCTCAGGCGGGACCGGATTGTAATGAGCCCGAGGCGGGGAAGACGGAGGCTTGAACTGCCTTGCCCTCTCAAGTGTGTCCACATTAGCAGAAAGGTCCCCGGATTTCAGGCGCCCGGTATTCCGATACCTCCATAGGCATAAAACCCGAACGAGGTAAGACCAGGGTAGGGCTAGGGCTACCCTTCGAAGCAAATCCGGCATCTCCTTGCCGGGGCCCGGGACTCCCAATACAGCTGGCCAGGATAGAGGAGATTGCCTCATCGTGATTCCAAATACCTTGAAAAGACTGCAGCTTTATCTACTACAATGCCACGTGCACAGTCTGCTTTGCCTCACGGGCTCCTCGTGGACGAAGCTCAGTCCATCTTCGCACATGAGTCAGTTGATCCCGTCTTCAGATAACCCTCCTCTATGCGATTGGGGTGACGACTCTGCAGGTAACCCCTCGCAAGATATGGTACTAGATACGCGCGTCCTAATCGTCATCCCATCCAAGCTCCAACTGTAAGCAACGATGCCAGCAGCAGTCTTCCAGCCATGCCGCTGCACTGTGATTGAAAGGGTAACGGGTTGCCTTTACGATGAGATGGCATAGTCACTGCGCCTGACTGATAAGAGTCCTATCCCAATTGGCCCTATGTTGCGGTTTGCAATGGCTTATCAATGTCCAATTGCCTGGGCTCAAGGGCTTGTAACCCATGCGCGTCGGGTCAACCACAGCTTGAGCACTGAAGAAATCATCTGAACTTCGGGGAATGCCATCGTTGAGTCATGCGAACTCACAAAGAGCTAGTACACCGGGTGAGCAACGAGACCGAAAGCATAATTGCTTCTTTCAGGCGCCGTGTTATTCTCTATGGCCTGAGTGGAGCCGAGCTGAACCCGGCTGACGGGCCAGGGGTCTCCATGGGCAGATAGGGCATATGTCCCTAGCAGCTGAAGCGATACTTCATGATCAAGATAGTTAGTGTCTACGAGTACGATAAAACCTAGGTGGTAATTGTGCCCGATCCACATGCATGATTACGATGCCATGGCTGACAGTCTGCATAAGCTGACAGATCAATAACCAGGACACTGGAACGAACCTGTTACACGTATACGCAACTAGGCATGGCAAGCTGCAATACAAAGCAGGATCTCGAGCAGGGATTACCCCCGGCCTGCAGAAACATGGACAACTTGACAAGGTTTCCCTCGTGTGCAAGAACCTGCCTCGATTTTCGGGTTCCGGGAGAGCTTGACGTGGAACCCTGTCTGACACGCCGATCACTGCAGACGATCGGTACAGACACCAATGACTCTTACCGTTGCAGATACGAACTGGCGGTATCGAATCCCTTTGTGCACACTGCCACACTCTCAGCGTGCAGGTGAGTGATAGGCTTCGGCTTGCCGGGTGCTCGCCTTCCCGATGCGCCAATCTGGGCGCGAAGGAAACGTTTTCTCACAAAAGCTGCAGGCGCTATCAAGATCATCATCCACTGAAGAAACCATTCAGTCAAGGGTTGGCTGCTTACTATTAGGCCGCCCACATGACTCGCAGAGCAGAAGTGTGATTGGGGCCAGCTATACGCGCAGGAATCAGCCACTGCTTATCATATCTCTGCAGGATCCCCCGCAGATACTCCGAGAGATACGGAACCGGCACAGGCTCTATAGATGATGCAGATCTAACTAGTGGAGATCATCATTTGTCATAGAACCAAGCAGCGTTCGGTCTTCATTGGATCGCTCAACCTAATCTCACCACCATCAGGCACTATGGTAGCGCCAATCTGTCTGCAGTCAGCAGCCATTATGTGCTGCTTTGGGAACACAGTGCATTGGGTCCACGGCGGCTATGCTTCGATGCGATGCCGAAAGACAGGTACAGCGGCCTCGTGGGCTGAAGGGGCTCCCTAGGTAGGTACGGCCACCGACACCCCAGCTGGCAGGGTTCGATGCATCCAGCGATGCAAGGATATAAGACGCAGGGTCCGGCCTGTGTAACTAGGGAAGAAATCAGCATAGACTCCACATCAACTGTGGTCCCTGTTTGTGTTTTCAGCATTCATTTCTCAATTTGTTCACCTACTACTCACCTAGCCCTACCCGCCGAGGCGTCATCAAACGCAGCCCTAACGATTGAAGACTTCCAAGCGGGCCCCTGCTCTGCAGTGCAACATGGAGGCCGCAGGCGCCATCCCTTCTGCCTCCGGCCATGTTGCCGTTGTCGGAATGGCCGGTCGCTTTCCGGGCTGTGAGGACCTGGATGGGCTTTGGGACCTGCTGCTGCGGCGAAAGGATGTCCACCAAGAGGTATATGCATGCCCTAACTTGGGCTCCGTGTATGTTCTGACTAAGGGGCCACCTGCACTAGATCCCACCGAGTCGCTTCGACATCAACGAGTTCTACGACGCGTCAGGCAAAACGAAGAACTCGACCCTTACCCGCTATGGCTGCTTTCTCTCCCACCCCGGTCTCTTTGACAACCGCTTCTTTAACATTTCTCCCCGCGAAGCTGCACAGATGGACCCGTTGCAGCGCATGTTCCTGACGACGACATACGAAGCCCTTGAAATGGCTGGCTATAACCCTTCCACTTCCCCGATCGATCCGTCCAAAATATCGACGTACTTTGGCCAGTCCACCGACGACTGGAAGACCATCAATGAACAACAAGGTATCCAGGCTCACTACCTTCCAGCCACAAACCGGTCATTTGCACCGGGACGAGTGAGCCACCACTTCAAGTGGGGTGGCGGACATTATAGCATCGACACGGGGTGTTCCTCGAGCATGACGGCAATCCACATGGCTTGTGCTGCTTTGATTTCGGGGGAGTGTGACATGGCTATTGCTGGAGGCGGCAATGTTTGTGTTATCCCAGAGTACTTTTCAGGCTTCAGTAAAGGCAGCTTTCTTTCGACGACCGGGGGCTGTAAGACATATTCGAACGACGCCGATGGGTACTGCAGAGGAGAAGCTGTTGGCACAGTTGTCTTAAGGCGACTGGAGGATGCAGTGGCAGCCAAAGACCACATCCTTGGTGTCATTGCGGCGACCGCAAGGAACAGCAATGCGGGGGAAGGCTCAATCACTTATCCCGGAGAGTCGGCGCAGAAGAAGCTCTTGGAGGAGCTGCTCAGGAAGGGGAAGACAGCGCCTGAAGAGATTGGGTTCGTTGAGATGCACGGGACGGGTACGCAGGCGGGGGATGGTGTCGAGATGAACACTGTGCGGAGCGTCATTGCCAAACAGTCAAGAGACCAGCCGCTGTATGTGGGTGCGCTAAAAGCGAGCATCGGACACGGTGAGGCAGCAGCAGGCATCTCTTCGCTGATCAAAGCGCTGCTGATGCTGCGACATGACGCTATGCCGGGGCAGCCGGGGAATCTGTCACGATTCAAAGATCCTGCTGCAGCTGGCATCCAGATTGGTGGTGCGGAAGGACTGTCCATTCCGCGTTCCGCAGTGGATGGGAGAAGAAAAGTCATTGTTAACAGCTTCGATGCAGCGGGAGGAAACACGAGTCTTCTCCTGGTGGATGGACCGACCCCTACACCTGCAGAGGGAAGCCACGACCCGCGCACCCATCACATCATTGCCTGCTCAGCCAAGACAGTCGAGTCCCTGCGCCTGAACAAAGACCGTCTCCGGAGGCACTTGGAGCAATCCCCTGAGACAAACCTCTCCAGCCTGGCCTATACGACGACCGCACGGCGCATGGACCATGTCCACCGTGAAGCATACGTTGTCGAATCTATTGACCAACTAATCACATCGCTTAAAAAGCCATCATCGCCATCGCCTACTCGGGTCTCTCCCTCTTCGCTCGCTTTCATGTTCACAGGCCAAAGCTCCCAGTACACAGCCATGGGCGCAGCCCTCTACAACACGTCTCTCTGGTTCCAGAAAACTCTCAACAAATTTGAATCTCAATGCTCGCATTTTAGTTCAGCTTCTTTTCTCGATGTTGTCCGGGGCTCTATCGACATTACCTCAGCCACAGCACCACAAGTCCAGCTTGCCCTCGTTGCGCTGGAGATTGCTCTTGCGTACTATCTGCAGGAACTTGGGCTAAAACCTGCTATGGTCATGGGGCATAGTCTTGGCGAATACGCTGCTCTCTGCGTGGCTGGAGTTCTGTCTGTCAAGGACACCTTGTACCTCGTGCATGAGCGTGCGGCATTACTTGAAAAACACTGCACTGCTGGAAGCTGGGGGATGGTGGCCGTTCCGCGTAGTGTTGAATGGGTCAAGCAACTTCTCCAGCAAGAAGGCTTGGATAGCGAGCTGGAGATCTGCTGTCTGAACGGGCCGACTTTGACTGTGGTCGGTGGTCCTTCGGACTATATTCAGCAGTTGCAAGACCTCGTCGGTGGTAAAGGCGTTAAGGCAACTCGATTGCAACTTCCATATGCTTTCCACTCGTCTCAGCTGGACTGTATTCTTCCGGAGTTTGAGGCGGTCGCAGAGAACGTTGCCTTCCGAAAGCCATCAATACCTGTTGTCTCGACCTTGACTAGAAATGTCGTCAAATTCGAAGGCACATTCAACGCATCCTACCTTGTCCGGCAATGCCGTCAGCAAGTGGACTTTGTTGGCGCCCTGGAGACCGCCCGGAGACAAGGGCTGATCTCAAATGGTTCGATTGTGGTGGAGGTTGGACCTCATCCTGTGTGCACCAGCTTGCTCTCGCTGTGCCTGCCAGATACTCAAGTAGTTGCCGTTCCAACTCTGAAACGAGGACACTCTGACTGGGAAAGCATCTCCAAATGCCTGGCAGCCGCATATGTCCATCACCAGGAAGTCGATTGGGAGAAGTTCCATGGCGACTATCGTTCTTGCTTGTCAGTTGTGAGCAGTCTGCCGAGTTATGCTTTCGAGGAAAGCGAGTTCTGGACTCCGTACCAGCGACAGAGAAATGCCGAGGGCTCGAAGGACGACGGGTTCAAAGGGACTGCATGTCTGCAACAGATCGAGTCCTTCAGTGCAGATAAGCGCTCGGCGACATTCGTCTCTAAGATCCAAGAACCGTCGTTGCTGGCAGCTATACAAGGCCATCTTGTGGACGAAGTTGCCATCTGCCCGGCCTCGTTGTTTATTGATATGGCCTGCGGGGCAGCCCAGATTGTCACGGCCGGAAAAGGCACAGCTGTTGAGCTTGCGGACCTGCAAATGATATCTCCTTTGGTGGTTTCGAGTAATGTCGAACAAACAATCAGGGTCAATGCCCGTCTCGAAGAAGCCAAGGCGAGTTCTGTTGAGATTCAAATCACCTCTACAATTTATGGGAACTCTACACAGCATGCGATATGTCGAGTGGTAATGCATGAGAAGCCAACAGCCAGTCTTTCCATCTGGCCCCAAATGCAGCGACTAGTCCAACTGCGAGTCAGCACTCTCACAGCCGCCCCGAGTAATGACTCATGCTACAGACTGACGAGGGCACTGTTCTATAAGCTTTTCGATAGCATCGTTGAGTACAGCGCGCCGTTTAGACTTCTTGAGACCATCACTATTGATGGTGACGCGCATGATGCCGTGTCCGAGATCCGAATCCACACGAGGGACGCAAAGCACGGCTCATTCAGTCTTGACCCGTTCACCATGGACGCCCTTGTCCACCTACCAGGCTTCTTGCTGAACTGTGACTTCGACAAGCCCAAAGGGGACCTTCATATTGCGAAGTCCATTGGCAGGCTTCTAGTGTTTGATAGTTTGCAAGCTGAAGCTGGGTCCAGCCCTCTTACATGTTACACTACTGTCACTGCGCAGGGTGAGGATGGAGCCACATTCTGTGATACATACCTGTTCACCAAGAGCAAAAGACTTGTCGCCCTAGTATCAGGGATCTGTTTCCAAAAGATCACCCGTCAGATCTTTGGCGTCATTACCAGCAGTTCGAAAACCACGACCAGGAGCAACCATAGCCCTAACCACTTGGTGACTACGCCTTCGCCTGTGCCAGCAAACACAACGACGTTGTCTGACGTTGATACGAAGGCGGAAGGAGTATACGCAGTATTTCTCCGTGCCGTGGCAACGATCACAGGGGTAGATATTGAGCAAGTCAAATCCGCCGAATCGTTCGAAGCCTTAGGCGTCGACTCACACATGGCCATCTCCATCATCGCGGAGACCAACGCCGCCGCCGGCGTGCTTTTACCTGCTGCATTTTTCAGCAACTGCCCGACTATTGCTGATGCGGAGCGAGAGCTGGAAGGAAGTGCAAGTAGATCGTCCAGTCCGTCTGGCGGAATCCCCACACCACCATCAACCGCCTCCAGTGACATATCAACAGAACACGTCAAAGAGCCCATGGGCAGAGCAGTTCTCCTCCAAGGCAACCCTAATTCGCTGAAGAAGCCTCTATTTTTCGTCGCCGAATCCAGCGGGTCCGTGGCCGTCTACCTCCATCTCCCTCCCCTCCCAGACGGAACCCCAATCTACTGCCTCGAGTCGCCGTTCGCTCACTGCCCTGAGAAGAACACATTATCAATCCCCGAGATGGCAAGAGCTTACATCACAACAATGCGCACCGTGCAGCCACACGGCCCATACCTCATTGCCGGGTACTCCTTCGGCAGCATCTTCGCTTACGAGACGGCCTACCAGCTCGCCCTGGTCGGCGAACGGGTCCTCGGCCTGCTCCTGATGGACATGTACGCGCCTCCGCCAGCACTTCCCAATCTCGGGGCGCACCGTTTCCTCGGCGGACTGCCCGAGGGCCCGATGACGAATATGTCTAACAGGCTGGTGGCCTCTGGCCTCTTCAAGCTCACTGATATTGAAATGACGCATATGGAGGCTGTGCTCAAAGCCGCAGCGTCCTACGAGGCTATCCCGATGCCCAGGGGCTTCGAGCCAGTCCAGACACATATCGTCTGGGCTAACAAGGGGATTAACGACAACGAGCACGCGGATGAGCATGATACGGGTGTTACCGGGATGAAAGCATTTATGGGGCTTCTTGAGGATGGAAAGACGTGGGAGGATGTAAGTCAGGATGAGATGGGAATGATGCTCAGGTCTTGGTTCTTTGCGGCTAGGGAGGACTTTGGGACGAACGGGTGGGAGAGTTTTGTTGGGTGTGTTGATGCGATTACGGTTCATGAGGTTGATGCTGGTGAGTTCGCCTTGAGTAAAGTTGATTGAGACACTGGGTACTGATGCTCAGCAGATCATATTTCTGCTTTGATTCCGCCGGAGGTGCAAGGGTTGGGCGAGGCGATTGCGCGTGCGGTGGAATCTTGTTCGAGGACATAGGATGGTCTCTGTTAGGGCAGGTTTTGGGATTTGGATATCTGAATGTGTAGGGCCGTTAGACCCGAGTTTTGATTTAATAAATATACAAATGCCACAAAATGCTTGGTATTAGGCCATATATATAACTATCCGGAGTTTAACGGGGATAAGCTACTATAATAAGACGCTATATCCGGCCGTCTCTAGATAAAGCGGGCAAACATCAGTCCGAGTCGCCTACCTAGCTGCCTATAAAGACCTCTAGTATGGATATACAGCTGTTGCGGACGATCATTCGCCCGCCGGGCTCATAAATTCCCCCACGTTGACCCTACCATAGTATTGGTATATAAACCTTGCCTAGCCCTAAGTACCATGGTTACGCCCGAATCAACACCCGCTATTGGGCTAGCTATACTCATCCATCCATCATCGTACTGCAAAATAGCGGAAAAATGGGCTCCATCTACAGCCAACTCTTCGTCAAGCTCTCATTACCTGACTCATCCACAATCAAAAACAAGACAATCCTAGTAACCGGCTCGAACACAGGCCTCGGCCTCGAAGCCGCCCGGCATGCACTGAACCTCGGAGCAGGCATTGTGATATTAGCCGTGCGTTCTGTGCTAAAGAGCGAGGAGGCAAAGACCGATATCACACGTGCCGATCCGGACTTGATGGAAAGGGTCCTTGTATGGCCGCTTGATCTGGAGTCCTTCGCTAGTGTGCGGGCTTTCATATCCCGGGCGCGGGAGTATGTTTCGAATGGAGGGAGATTGGACGGCGTGATTCTGAACGCGGGGATCGCGAGCCTTGCGTGGAGGGTTACAGAGGATGGGTGGGAGCGCAGTCTGCAGGTGAATGTTCTTTCGACGGCGCTGTTGGCGCTGGGGCTATTACCTCTGCTCTTGCAAGCGTCGAGCAAAGATCCAGACTCGAACTTGTCAAAGCCGCACCTTACAATCCTCGCAAGCGACATCCACAAGACCGCGATGTTTAATGAGCGGCATGCGGAGAATATCCTCTCGGTACTTAATGACAAAGACCAGTGGGGGAAATCGCAGCAAGCCGGTGGTGCGACGGAGCGGTACGCAGTCACAAAGCTACTCGACATCTACATCACGCAAGAGATCGCAAAGCTTGTTCCGCTCAGTGAGGACGGAGAACCACGCGTGGTGGTGAACTGCGTCGCGCCGGGATTCTGCAAGTCGAATCTGCTGTCGAGAGAGGAGGGGGTTCCGGTTGTTGTTAAGATGCTTCAGTGGGCTGTTGGAAGGAGTGTGGTTGAGGGGAGTAAGACGCTTATTTATGCTGTTGGTATGGGGAGTGAGAGTCATGGGTGTTGGGTGGAGGATCAGGTTGTTAGGGAGTGAGTACTTACCTTTCTTAATCTTTATAGTTTGCTTTTGGGGACTGGGCTAATTTGGCCCATGTAGTCCCGGCAGGATAGTCACGGATCCTGAGATGGTGCGTGTGAGGCAGAAGGTTTGGAAGGAGATACGGGGTGTTTTAAGTGTTGGGCCTGGGTTGAGGATGGGGTTGTGAGGTTTGCAGTATGGAATTCAAGCCTTGCAGTGTGTGGTAATGGAACATGCCCGGGAGGATTTTACCTGGACTACGAGGCATTGTCCATTTCGCCACTCATAGGCCATGGGTCGCTAGATAGGTGGGAAGACGTCCGAGGACGAGATGGCATTTGAAAAGGAATGAGATGATACAATGCAAACAGCCATCATGTTCATCATTAGGTACTCATGTAGTGCTTCAATAGCGGAGCAATCACCTCCACGGCCGCCAAGTTAGGGCCCGGGCTCCCGTTGCCCTACCTACCTGGGTATCTTGCTGGTATGGTATGGTAGTACCACCACAGTCCATCTCAACTTTCTCAAATACCGGCTCATTATCTCATGAGATCTTAATGGTTCGAATGTCAGTTCCGCAAAGGCCAGCTTGTGGCGCCTGATCGGAAAGGTTGATGTTCTACCGACGCCAGCTCCTGCCACGACCTCAACCATTATTAGCATCATGTACAACCGTGCTAGCAGCTCTTTCTCGCAGTATCTAGCAGCCGTTTACGTATCTACAGAAGGGGCAGCTATCATCCGGTCCAGATGTCATGCTTGGTGACGAGTTCTGCTCTGGCCTCTACAAGATTGTTCACAAGCTTGCCTTCGGCCGCTCCGTCACCACTTGGCTATGGGTTCAGGCTTACCTAGGTAAAAAGCTTATATACTAGACTCTGATTTACAGGTCAAAGTCAAGCATAGAGTTATACTTATAGTAGCTACTTCAAGAATACCCTCCAGTCTTCCAGCATAAGGTGTAATAGAATCTATCCCTTTTATCTTATAACTATAGGTGCTAATACTTCAGTGTTCTGCTTCCCCTCCATTTATAGGTAGGGTACACACCACAACCCTGGAATATCTACGTACTAAACAATCTCCAAAATGGCCACCAAAGACCCCTTTATTTGAAAGCTCCACCAGGCCATGCCAGTTACACCAGCTGCCCATGCCGCACGCCGACTTCCCGTTTCCGTACACAGAAAAGGCTAGCTTCTGCTGATCTATCCGCAATCCTTCCGGTCTAGGAATCTCGCGCATAGCCTTCTTCGAGGGCGTGACGGAGGGTGGACTGGCCTGGTCGTTGATTGGTGGCGGAGTTCTTTGTTTCCAAGGTTGCCTGGGTGTTCGATGTTTGCTTATCCCCCTCGTGGCAATACATAAGCCCTTCGACCTTCTTAACCCTAGCATCATCTGTCAACCATCATTTGTCAACCATCACATCCCAATGGCGCTCCGAGTCCCGACGGCGATTCTCTTTTCCTTTGCCATTCTGCCCCTTGCATTCTACCTTGGGCGAGACCGACAGTCTACCTCTTGCCGTTGCTTTCCGGGCGAACCCTGCTGGCCCTCCCCTGAGCAATGGGACAACCTCAACGCCTCCCTGTCGGGCAACCTCATTGCCACAGCCCCCATTGGCAGCGTCTGTCACACCAACACCTCCTTTGCGCCATACAGCAGCCAGAGATGCGCCGAGCTCCTATCCCACTGGTCCATCCCCGCAACACACTACCAGGACCCCTCCTCACCCATGGCAGCCTGGTGGGCCAATTTCTCATGCTCGCCTTTCTCCGCAGGCTGCACCCTCGGTCCACTCGCCCACTACGTCGCGAATGTGACATGCGCCCAGGACATACAGGAGGTCCTTCGCTTTACGACTAAACACAACATCCGCCTATCAATCCGCAACACGGGCCACGACTATCTCGGCAAATCTACCGCTCCAGGATCCATCGCTCTCTGGACGCACAATCTCAAATCCATCGAGTACAAGCCCAACTACACAGCCTCCTGGTACGCCGGCCCCGCACTGCGCGTCGGTGCCGGCGTACAAGGCCGCGAGGCTCAAGACGCCGCGCACAGATCCGGCAACGGCCATGTCATTGTGTCTGCGCACTCTCCGGATGTCGGATTCGCAGGCGGATACACGCAGGGCGGCGGACATGGCCCGCTAGCATCGCGATACGGACTAGCAGCGGACCAAGTGCTCGAGTGGGAGGTTGTCACGGCCAAGGGCGAGATTCTGACTGCATCTCCGGCGCAGAATGCAGATCTCTACTGGGCGCTTGCAGGTGGCGGCGGGGGCGCCTTTGCCGTCGTCCTCGGGGTGACGGTGCGGATGCATGCGGAGGAGCGAACCGCGTCGGCGTCCTTGGTGTTCCCGTTCGATGCTGCAGATGCCCGGGCTTGGGAGGTCATCAGGACATTCTTGCTTGCCGCGCTGCCGCTGGCTGACGCTGGCGGCACGGCGTTGTGGGTTCTCTACCCCGGTCCTACTGCTGTGACCTTTATTGGCGGGCCTTTCGTTCTCCCCGGGGCTGGGGCTGAAGACCTACAGTCGTACCTGGCTCCGACGCTCGAATTACTCCGGGAGTATGAGATGGGATATGGTATGTTTCAGCCTTTGCTTCTTGAATCTGGCATACTAATCTGACTAACAGACTTCTCCATCAACACCTATCCGACATACCACGCATCAGTGGCCACCGCCGCCGTAAACGTCACAGAGTTCCATGTCGGCGGCGCCCTTGTCCCTCGCTCGACGATCCACTCAAACCCCAACGGCTTCATCTCCACGCTGCAGGAGATCCTTCGCCACAAGGCTGCCATCTCCAGCTACTCCATGAATGTCTCGCGGCCAATCAACAGCCCTGTATCCGCTAATGCAGTGAGCCCAGCCTGGCGGAACGCTGCAGTCTCCTTGCTCCTTGGAATGTAAGTCTACCCATCCCATGACTCTGCAGGTAGGCTTACCATGCTCCAGCCCGTTCAACTACACCAATCGTCAGGTGAACGTCGAGAATCAAAGGTTGATGACCGACGTGCTGCTTCCGCAAGTCTCCGCACTTGTTGGCCCTGGCGAACAAGGCGCGTATCTGAACGAGGCGGACTTCAACCAGCCAAACTGGCAGTCCCTGTTCTATGGCGAGAACTACAACAGGCTGCTGAAGATTAAGCAGAAATATGACCCCAAGCAGATCTTCTATGGCCGCACGGCGGTGGGGAGTGAGCGATGGGTGGAGCATGGGAATGGACGGTTGTGTCCTGTTTGATGCCCAGGGTGGTCTCGTTAGTCCGTATTCAGAATATAGGGTATGTTTCCTGCAGTGACTGTATCATGGCCTAGATTTCGTATGGTAGAAGCCATTGTTCATCTCTACCAATCTCAATCCCCACCAAATCAAGCAACATAAATATCAGTCCGGACATTTATATCTCTCAGCGGCACGACATCATCCTCTTCATTCAACGTATTCAACCCCTCCCCACCCTAACCCCCTTCCCCGGTCCAATGCCCAACCCGGCCGCCTCCCTTCTAACAAAGGAGTTGATCTTCCCCGACGAGGAACCCGACCCACCACCTGAACCCGCCAAGTCGTTGAAGAACAGTGGCCCAACGTCGGAAGCGCAGCACAGATCATCCCAACATTGACCTCGAGGATCGAAAACAGGCCGATGAGCGCGATGGAGTACGTGACGTCGGCGCGGTTCTGCGTCACCACAAGGATTGTGCGTGCGAGGTTCCCAGGGTTCATTGCGCAGATACTGCCGTATCGTCATCAGCTACCTCATGTGTAGGGGGGGAAAAGAACTCACCATAACCCCAAGCTGAACACCCCGCTAAGCATGATCTTCCTCTTCCTGGCCATCTGCAACCCCCACAGAACGGGCAGTGGCAGAACGACAATGAAGAAATCCAGGATCATATTGACGACCGCCGTGGAAAGTTGGAATCTCGGACTATCGCCGCAGTGGCCGTCCTCGATTGTCCGGTCCCAGTTTTACGCGAAGGGCTGGCAGAAGCGCGAAGATCCCTAGGAAGATGCCGGACAGGGCAAGCATCACGCTGAGTGCTGCGACGATGGACGCGAGGATCCGGAAGACAAGCTCGGATTTGAAGAGCTGTACAGGCTCAGCAGGCAGAGTTTGACCAGGGTTGTTGCAAAGGCCCAGATGGAGGTGCTGGCGGCGATGATCTGGACATCAGGTTAGCATGATCTCATGGATGCTATGGTAGGTGCTATGGTAGGTATGCTTTGAGGTCAAAGAGCAGCACCGCACCTTTAGGGCGATCTCGAGTCTAATTGGGTACAGCCGCATGGCGTCTTGACAAAATAGGGGCCGGTACTCACGGCGTTCCCTTCGATGGCGATATGCTTGGCTAACTTAAGACTTATTAAAACTATACTAATTATACATGATGGACCTCCTAGCTAACTTTATGGTATGTGTCTTCGGGACTTGGCTTGATGCTATACTGTTGCATGAGGTGTGTTGACCTTAACACAATTCAGATGCTTGTTCATCGGGCTAATCCAGATACTATGCAGTTCACTCACGCGTTGCCGGTGGGATATGGGCGGACTCTGGATCATGCGTATAAATGGTTCCCCTGCATTGCCGAGCGGAACGTTGAAGTTGGATGCTATAATGCGGATTCGTACTCGTATTTTGCTATCGGTCAGTCAAGGGCTGCTCTCTACCTATACAAGGTTACTGACGGCTTCAAGGAACGCGTTTGATAAAACATGACGGACTCTAGTTCAACAAGAAGGGGGTGGTTGTGGGGCTTGATGCACCGACGAAGCGAGCCAGGCAGTTGGTCACCAAGAGCTGGGTCGCATGATCGGTCATGATATTGATGAGTTATAGTTGAAGAGTTGTGCTTGGATTCCTCTCCCTTATGTCTATGGTCTTAGTTGTCGGGATGCTACCATAGTATTACTGGAGTAGCAAAAACCTGGAATTGCTCACCCACTCGGTGATCAGAAATCTGGCTCACCATTGATGAATACATTGATCGCCGTTTCTAGCTTACTAGGTGTAGGGTCATTGTTCCTGGTGAGGCGAAACGGCGCCCTTTGTAGCAAAGTCGCAGAACGTTCATTTGCTGGCCACGTCACTTCAACATCAAACTCCCGTATCTGATCCAGCTCCATAAGCGGAGCAAACAATTGTTCCTCTTGCTCGGCGCTCATAACATTCCCACCCTGCTTCTGTTCCATCTTTAGCCAGGCCTGTAGACAAACATGGGAAGCCCCTTCATCTCCCCAATCACGCCCCAGACACCCACCCACCCGCTGAACCACTCATCATTGAGGACCTGCCCGGCGTCCGAAGAGCCGATGTACGGATGCAAAAACGAGATCTCGAGCGAGCGGATCGCGTTGAAACTTCGAGGCGTCAGGGCAGATTTGATGTCTGGAAGGATACAAAAGAGGTACGGGCCCCCCATGATCTGGATAGGGACTGTGCTGTGGGACAAGAGGGTGTCCACGGACTCGAAGTAGCTACCCGCAACTGTCAGCAAAAAATAAAAAGAAGAAGAAGGACATACATCTGCCAACAGGTGAGAAGGAGCGGAAGCCTGGCAACCGGCTCTGGATTCTCGTGGGTGTCGCACTGACACCAGGTTGTATTGCTATCGCTGCTTTCCCAGCAGATCCAGTGAAACTTCCGGCCTTTCTCAGGACAGAGACAATGCCGGATATTGGGGCCACCGCCGAATGTAAATGCGATCACCTTGTCGCCAAAAACGAGCTTGTAGATGTGGAGGCGGATTTCCACGGGGAGTTTGGTTAGAAACGCACTTTTGTGTTGATTTGCCATAAAGACGAGAAACAATGACCTCAAGAGTAAAGTGTTTGCGCTGACGTGCAGGGAGGAGGGGTGGTTGTAGGTAGGTAGCTGGGGCGGAGCACTTCCAGGCAGGCACCTGCAGGGGTTGGACACGCTAACCCTAAGCAGTAAATTCCCAGGGTGTCTGTTTCAGTCTGTTTAGTAATTAAACTTTGTACAGTAGTGTTGCTGTCCTGGCGTGGTCGATGTTATATACTGGTCTGGTAACATAGGGCAACGGCAGTTCATGCCCTAACTTGACAGCCATAAAGACACGGGTTGCCCCATTAGAGGTTCCCATAACTATATCTAGGCGCAGGGATATCACATAAACTCCATGGCCATCCTACGGCTCTTTGTCTTAGTCCTCAAATATACGTGCCTACCTAGGCAGCAACATTGGAATGCTAGGGCAAAGTCTATCGTGGCATCACTGGGGCAGTCTAACCCTATGGATGAGCTCTGATGAAACACCTGCAACTGAGAGCGTAAATATACTGCATAACAAATCACAAGACAAATGATAATAAGTATCAGATAAGTCACCAATCCTCTCAGTCGTGGGTAGGCCTGAAGTCATACCTCACACAGCCATAATCGATGTAGCCTCCAGCACCCCCATTGTTGCCTGTAACGACATAACAATCAGCACAATCCTTCGAGTATAATAGTAACAGCTGACTTACACTTCTCCCAGTTGTCGGTAAGCAGCATCCAGCAGCTATTTCCAAGGATATGCTCTCCACCCCGAGGATACCGCACGTCTATCTCATCGCCCTTGCAGTTTTCAACCCAGGAAATCGTGTATCTGTACTGGGTACCGCTATAGGTATGAACAAGTTTGATTGGATCCGAGCCCGCCCTCATTATACCCCTGTCGTCCCCGACGCTCGTGCAGCTGATCGCGGACATGCTAAGCTCGCCGCCGCGGACATCACCGTGTTTGCCAAACTGATCTCGATCATGGCAGGCTCGCTCTTGGAGCCCAGATTGCGTGAATGTGTCTGCCTTGGTGATTTTGTAGGTGAATTCTGTGCCGCAGCTGGTCTTTGCGCTGGCGGAGGCTTGGATGGAGTGGCTATCGATCCCTTGGCCTGTTGCAGGATAAAGCAATCAGTAAACTTGCAAAGGCTTAAGATGTCATTGTGAAAGAGGTAGACGAGCTTACATGTGCCAGTCATGGACTTGAAGGCTGCTTTGCAGTCCGCCTTGCAGTCGTTGCCGGGATTAACCTCAAAGTGGAACTTGTAATCCTCGTACGAAGAGGACGAGGCGTCCTTGGCTGTCAAGTCTTGAGAGCGCTCCTTGCTTGTGTCTCCGCTGCAGAACTTGTCGGCCAGCTTGTTCAGGAGGGAGGCGTCGACTGGGAGGGCCTTGCCGTAGTCCCTGCTAACGCAAGTAACGTCTGGATTCGTCTCCGCCTGCTGCTCCCTATCGAACCTTTTCATGTCCTCGATCAAGGTGGTGACGATCTTCTCGGCTTCTTGGACCTGTGCCTTGGAATACAATGTGTATATATCCGACGTGAGGGTGGAACATTTGCAGCCGTTATAAGTGTCCTACAACAAATTAGTTGAGTGTTGGTTAGCTCCTTCGAGGAGTGAAGGATGTCCATACAGTTGTGCATTTGTTTTCTTTGCCCTTGCACGCATCAGTACTACAAATAAGAACCTCCTTCTCTGGGTCGGGACATTTCGCGCCGCATTTGCAGCCCTTGTAGTGGCCCTGGCTTGGTTAGTGCGTAGCGCTTCGATAATATGAAAGAAAAGACATACAACTGTGCAGGATCCGTTCTCTCCCTTACAGTCCTCTGCCAGACAACTGGGCTTTTTGTTATCATTATCCGCGGGGCATTCCTCCCTACAGGGGCATCCAGCGTGATCACCCTTAGTACACCACCCCTCCAAAGGCTCGCAGTCCTTGCAGCTGGTCTGGGTGTAATCCTCATTACACACCTGTTTCGGACTCGGGACAGCGGCCGGCGGCACGACAAATCCCACTGGAGGAGGGGGGAACGGAATGATAGGTGGTAGACCGGTTCTTCTCAGAGTCAGTAACGGTGCAACCCGGGCTGGTAAGCACTAGGCTAGATTGAATGTACGTATAGGCAGACTTACCCTGGCTCACCCGTCTCCTCCGCTATGCAGGGGCAGATCAAACCACAGCCACCGTCGGGATGCTGCTTTAGACATTGAAGGTACTGGTACCGAGACTCAAAAGGTTTTCCTGTGTTGCAGAATCCTTTCTTCCTGCTGTCGCCTCCGCAATCAGAACATTTCTCAGCCTGCCTAAGTACGTGTTAGCAGGTTAAGCAACCCAAACAGTTCTTGGTAGAACATACTTCGGGCAAGTTCTGAAGATCCACTGGTCGTTGGGAGGATGCCACTGTCGTTGTTCGAGGACAGATGCTGTAGAGCTGGAGTCCTGGGGCACAGCCAAGGCAAGCTGGCTTGCTAAGCAGGCAAGGGCCAGGAACGAGTGTTGAAGCTGAACCATTTCTCTTGACGTTGAAAATAACAAGAGAGCACTGATTATGAGAGTGAATAAGCATATGGTAAGCGAGTGGGTTCAAAACGAAGGTAGTCTTTGATAGTATATATACCTACCCAGCCTGGTAGTAGACATTTGGCATGGGCGTTGGTGGCCCCCAACTAATTACTGTATGGTATGGTAGCATCGAGGATATCCGGATGTTTGAGATCATTGCTTAGGCATGAGAATGAAGCCATCACTTTGGATGCATGTTGGACGAGGCAGTGTACCTTGGCATCCATTGATGCCTAGTATGCTCATTGCTATCGGGGTACATGTGCCAACGAGGCTCGGCCCGTGCAGGTGAGACAACGCAGGGGCCTGGGGTATAATTAGGTAGTTTTGGCCCGTGCATGTCCAAGACCTGTAGGGCGAGTACCGGTAGGGCCAAGGCAATGGATTTAGCGCCAAACCAACACTGTTTGCTATAGGATTAGGCAGTCGGTGGCTCAGGAACACCGCCCCCACAATCTAAAAGGCTCGGGCCTGCAGATCAGCAGCGGTGGCTTGCATTAGCCTTGGTATAGTTGCGGTCCACTTGTGTATACAACCGCCCGAAAACAAGATGACAGCGCGCAATGCATTCACTATGCTTACCGTTCCGATGTATCAGGTCCCCGGCTCCAATCACGGCGTTTGGCTATAGTTGGTTGTGTTTCGCCCTCCCAGCTGGAGCCGGATGACTTAGATCTACAACTCAACTGCGGTGGTCTAGTTTTTGATCCAGAGCCAGATGATCTGCTGTTTTTGGTCGGTTCCAGTGCCTCACGAAGTATACGGATTTGCTGTCCTGTGCTGGAGCATGGCCCCAATGTCTCAGTTCCTGAGTCCAATCAGTTTGCCCGACAAATGCTATCCCATGTTATATCTTCGGTTTGAACGGCGATGATGCGGTCGAGTCACATCCGGGCTTGGTCATCTGTCTCAAGGGAGGTTGCTGGCCCCCAAAATGAGGTCTTGCTTGACGTGATCGAGCTTCAAGCTGCGTCGATGAGTCCTTGTCAGGGGGCAGTGATGCGAAAGCGCACCTCGTGCGCTGCGACTGACTCTAACCAACAGGCTCTGCTGATTCAGATTGGTCTTTACTGGCGGCTATACTGAAATCATGCTCTGTCTGGTTGTCTTGTCCGCGTAGGCAGTAATTTGGGGGCTGAGTAGGAGGTATAGGGGAAAAGCGACTCTGCCTTCTGGATGCTCCAAGAGTGGAGGTGCGATTTAAATGACGCAAAACATATAATGTGGACAGAGACTCCCTTTATCTGGTTCTTCAAACATCTCAAGATATACTATCTAACTACTTAAGTACCAAGCGGTCAAGCATTCAAGACAACTTCTATCGCAATGGCCTGGACGACCAAAGTCATTCTTCTGCTTCTTCCCCTCTGGCTGCAGCTTTCTTGTATCCATGCTTATATACTTGACTCATCATGCGATAGTTTGTACCCTGTCTCCTCGGTTTCTTCTCCATCATGCTAATATGTGCTTGCCAGTGATGAGGGATACACTGATCAGATCAGTCGATAAATCGATGGAGCTGGCTAGACTAGCGTACAGGGCAGTGGAGGACGATGACGACGACGACATCAGAGAGCTACGAAGGTTTTTCTTCCTTGACCAGCATATGGACAACCTGAGACGTAGGTTCCCGATGCCATCAAGTGAGGTGCTATGTATGGTACCCTAGATTCTGACCCCCCAACAGAGGTCTACCACAACGTGCAAGCATACGGAACACTGGGCCAGGAAAGCACAGACGAAGTGTGGCAACCGGTGAGTTACCCCGTTTCGGTGCATTATTGGGGGGGAAAGAAGGACTTGGAGACTCACAGCTAGATTACCTACAGACCATCTACTGCGATCTTTCTCGATTCAAAGAAGTAGAAAAGGCCGACAGCAAAGGCGAAACTGTCCTTCTCAACACCAAGACAGGCGTGACTACAAACCTGAATGAGGAGTATATCGGCTGCAAAACCACGGGCGCCACAATCGCCTATACAAGCGTTTTGAGGCGTCCGGACGACACCGGATACACCGAAATCACCCTATGTCCGTGGTATCTTGTTGAAATTGGCAACGCCCAGTATCGGAATGTTGTGGGCGGCATGATCGATCGCACAGGCCAGGCAAGTTATGATCCCGGCCGCGGTTTCAAGGGCAATGAGCCAAATGCGGACGTTTGGGCCAGCCGGCTTGATTTCACTCTATTGCATGAGTTCTCACACGCCTTGCCCATTACAGAGGGGAGAACACTCGATCTGTACTACAAGTGGGAAGCTTGCGTTGCCAATGGGGGCGAGGATACTGCGTGTCTGAATGCAGACACGTATGCTTATTTTGCCTTGGGTTCGTATCTCCCTCTAACCAGATCTCTGAGCTTCTACTGATCTGCGCTTCAATGATGTCTAGGCGTTCACTGCATCAAAGTGCCTCGTGTTAAATTCAGCAAGGAGGGCAAGCACCAGTTGATGAGGAGGGCAGGAAAGCGCGCCGGCCAGTTGATCATGAAGCTCTGGAATGCGTGATCTGTTAGACTGGACTGAAGGACTTTTCTGGTGTCATTCGGTTGGTTTTGGTTTTGGGTTGGAGTTTCCTTGTCCTGAGATTCGAGTATGATGGATGGATAGCTACCATCCATAGTCCAATAAGAACTTGATGCACCGCCAAGCCTGTGCCTATTGGGGCTGTGTCTATACCCTGCAGCTGCAGCTGCATCTACTAGCCCTCCGGGGTTACCTACCATAGCTACTAACTCCCATAGGACTGGTTTAGCCCAGTGCAGGCAGTCATCAACGGGCCTTCCTCGATCGGCCCCCAACCACCCCACATGCACCGTTCTGTCACTTCCCTCTCACAAGATATCTATATATATCCCCTCACGCATCTGCCTAGCACCAGTCCTACGACTTTAAATCCGGAAGCCCTGCCAGCATCAGTCCTAGACATTCAAATCCGGAAGCCCTGCCAGCACCAGTCCTAGATATTTGACTCCGGAAGCCCTGCCAGCACTGAGCCGGGGACCAGAAGAACTCACCTGCATCATGACCACCCAGCCGGAGAGCGCCTTCTTGGCCAAACTTCCCCTGGAGATCCGATGCCAGATCTACGAGCTAGTTTTCGGAGACAAGATTATTGCAATCCTACCCCGGGACCGCTACGCAACGAAAATCTACCACTACCTTTGCCACGCCAAAGGTCACGCATTCCACTGGTTCGTCTGGATTTCGGGGGATGGGAATGAGTCCCCGGGGGTTTATTGTCGGGCGCATGAGAATAATCCAGTCAGCAATCAGCTCCTCCCACTGCTTCTAACCTGTCACCAAACGTATGTTTGAGCAGTCGTTTCATTGAAGTACACATACTCACCAAACATCCAGGTACTCCGAGGCCGTCGATGTCCTCTGGTCCACCAACCCAATCCACATTCAACCCTCAAACGCAGCAGGCCTAGCGGTCCTTTCTGCTCTGCAAGCCACCATACCGGCTCGCAGCTTCCATTCAATCCGCTGCCTTGAAATCTCGTTCTTACATGGAGCGGTCACGCGCGTTCCTCAAATCCTTGACGAGGACTGGTTCTGCAAGTGGGAAAGCATGTGGGACGTTATCAAGACGATGAAAGGCCTCGTCCGGATTAATGCCTGGCTGAAGATGGACCAAAGGGACAAGGAGCGAGGATTGGATGGGTTAAACCCCAGGGAAAAGCTCCTGCGGCAGCTGGACCAGATAGCAAACGGGAATCGCATGACGGCCGACCAGGAGGCTAGGCTGTTTGCGCCGCTCATGGACTTGACCTGGCTTAGAGAGTTCACGGTGGAAGTGACCTGGGCGGCAAATGAGGGTTCCGAGAACTTCCTTAGCCGTGCCCCGTTTCAGCTTACGAGGAATAATGACCCTATACCTGGGAAGCCTGGGATGGGGATTGAGATAATCAATGGCGAACTGGTGGGGGAATAACTGCCATATATGACTGTCTAGCGAGGCACCATTGAATCAGCTTGTTCCATTCCAACCAATGAGCGGCTCCTGATACGCAGGATTGCACCATAAGCCTAGCTTACGTTGCATTCAGATATCTGCCTAAGTTAGAGCAACTCCAACTAGTATAAATTGATATCAAACCCCCAATCCCTCCAACTTTGTCATTCTCCGCGTCCGATAACCATAACCATGCCCCCGTCACCCCCTCAACCCACCCGACTTGCTTCCCTCCTCCGCCCGTGGACCCTGATCTGGCCCTCAATATGCCGTGCGTTTTCGTCCCAACTTCCTCTCCTCACCGCTACAACCTTCTGCATGCTGATCTAAATCACCCCAGTCCACTGGCAAGCTCTCATTGAAGCAGTCCGCCGCAATGGTCTCGCGGCCCTCCTGCACCCGCGCCAGATCCGTGATGCTGCGTCGGCTAAACTGCTGAGTATAACCTGTATTGCCTTACCATAATCCACAAATATTATCCGACTCTAAAGTTCAAGTGCACAAACTAACCTTAACAGCAAGCGGGTTCATCGCCTACGAGGACACAACGGTCGTCCCCTCGCTCGTACGCGCCGCATCCGGCGTGATCCTCGATCTGGGCCCTGGGCCCGGAAACCAGATCCATCGATTTGACGCCTCTGCTGTCGAGTATATCTACGGCGTTGAGCCGAACGGGAATTTCAAGGACGATATCATGGTCAAGCTGGAGAAACATGGTTTGGCGGATAAGTATAGGCTTTTGGCTTGTGGTATCGAAGATAGTGATATTCTTAGAGCCGAGGGGATAGCAGAGGGGAGTTTGGACTCCGTGCTATGCATCCAGGTCCTCTGCGCAGTTCGAGACCCAAAGAGTGTCATGCGGGAGGTGTGGAAGTTGCTGAAGCCCGGGGGGAAGTTTATCTTCTGGGAGCATGGGTGTAGTAGGGATTCGGTGACGAGGGCTGCGCAAGGTACGTGCCTGCTTGGCTCTTTATATGCTTCTGAGGCGTCTGGAGGACTGTCTGACTTTTATAAACAGCGCTCTGGAATCCGGCATGGAGCACGTTTGTCGGATGTCGTCTGGACCGGAATGTTTTGGCGGATATCCTTAACAGTGGAGAGTGGGAGAATCCAGGGGAGATTGAGGAGCCGGAGGACAGGCTTAGTTGCTTGCCTAGGATTCAGGGTGTGCTTGTCAAGAAGGCTTAACAGGTCGCTATTTCTCTATGCTCAGGAGGCTGCAGGAAACAATACCATATAAAAACTATTACTATCTCTGATTATTTAGTTCCAGACCTTGATTTTTCATGGCCGGGGGTGCCACAAGACAACTTATGCGGCTAGGGCTATTTGCTCGACCTGCCTACTCAGAAATAAGATCTGTTCCATAGTATCTGTGGTACTAAACGAGCTGTTACCACCTTGCCGCTCGCTGGTCGATAAACATGATAGATCCACCACGTTGTTATCGTATGCACTGCCAAGGTTTATTAAGGGTGGCAAACTAGAGTAAAGTACCCTACTAGTCTATAATACTTTTACACAGTCAAGAACGATCAAGCATCAGACCCTTCCGATCACCAACCCTCCTCAACCGAACATGTATATTCTGTGCAGTGTGCTCCATTTCCCCCGCGGTCCCTACCTTGCTATAACCAGCTTCCGTTCTCTCCCCATAGAGCCCATGGAACACTACCGCAAGGATCGACGACCTCCAAGGACGCAGCCTTTGCCTCGTGTTGAGGGCCATCGTGGAAAGAAGAAACACAATCCCGAGGGTAAGCAAGGATGCCGGAAGCGAGAGCCATACCCAGCTAACATGTACATAGACCTCCGAAAAGCGTATGGTACCATTTACCGTGTTGTTGCTTTGCTGGAGACCAGCCTTGGTAAACGATGCTGCTAGGTTGGCCATGACCAGCTCCAACCCGTCGGTGATAATCTTTGTGGCGCCGTCAGGAGGCCAGCCGATTTCCGTGGGTTCCCACCTGCTCAGATTGTAGGCTGTGTATTGCCTGGTTAGAGTCCCTGAAAGAGAGTCGCCTACCAGGTTGTAACTTGTCCTTGAACAAAATGCTGATTGGGATTCATCAACCAACTCCTCTCCGCCTGTCCGTGTCACGTTGATAGATTCTGGAGGGACATTGTTTGTCGGTTTCCAGCATTGTAGCTCACTCGGATGGTAGGGAAACAACTGGCCGTAATCCGGGGAAGAAACATTGAACGTCGCAGTTCCATTCAACACAGAGATCCGGTATGTCCTTTCACAGAACCCTATGGCGCACTGTGTTGCCTTTTTAATGCTCAAGAGCCTTTGCCAGTCCAGGAAAATAGACATGTCCGGCTCCGTCGAGTTATCCATGCCCATTTCAAAGTGGGTTACTACGGCCTTTGGATTCGCTATCCCCATATAAGTTGCATTGTCCTCCCTCAGGAATCCGCCGAACGTGTAAAGGGGCCAAACAGTGTGTTCGCTGAAAATGACAGTGATTGTTGGCATCGTAACTTCCTCATCATCGATTATGTCCGTCTCAAGGTCTGAGATAAGGCTGACATCTATGAGGCACCGTGGCCCCTGTGGAGGAATGATTGTGCAATTGGTATGCTCCCATTCCCTCTGGCCAAGAGTCCAGTTGAATCGAACATTGTCGCATTCGAATTTAACCTGCGAGGTGATGTCTTCGCAACGGTTACATATCCCTACCGACTGAAACTCGGGCCATTCACAATTCCCTGTTGGACAGGTCAAGTCTGGCTGCAAGTGGTCAAGCGACTGCGCCCACACCCCGGTGGAGACCACGTAATTCATATACTCCTTCGGTCTATACACCGATGCCTGCTTTGCAATCGCGAGGCTGGAGTTCCTTGCTGCGACGGTATCCCTTGTTGGATACGTCAAGACCTGCTGCACGAAAGGGTCAAACGCCAGAGCCAGGATAGTTACCACTGCGCCTACCATCCCGCAGTCGGCTGGTTCGCCAACATGCTAGAGTATGAACACCCGGCGAAGATACGCTGGAGCTAGGTGTAAAATGTGTGGAGATAAAGATTTACTGTATTGATACTGTAATATTACTATATCCAGGCCAGATTTACCACTTATAGCTATTACAACGCGTATTCGTGGTATATATTACCAACCTAATACATAACCTTACTGTTGCCACCCAGCCAAGCTTTTGTTGCCACCCTTAGTAAAAACTGGGTGTACATACCCTAGCACACCCAAAAAACGGATACGTCGCGGCAACGTATCCACTGGATTTCAGTATAACAACACGCTAGCTCCAGCATGTTGACGAACCAGCCGACTGCGGGATGGTAGCGATGCCAGGGACCTGCCCTTGTCCTGCAGAATCATGTATACTGAACCCAGCGGACCGCGACTCGCCGTGTCATACAACTCGATATCGTGAAGTGGCTTTGTGTTTTTATAGAACCATATCCACTTTAGTTGGCCAATACACTCCCCGATAACATAAATAAGCGACGACTTTGATGCCGTTGCAAGCGTAGAGACGATGGCATTGAGAGTAAGGCCGTACGCGAAAGTCGGTTGAGGCCTCTTATTGAACGCATTCAAGGTGCAGATTATCGCGACAAAACAACCCACGCTGAAAATAAAGGCAAACGACTCGTAGAACCAACTGTCCAGAAGCTCGGCGGCTAATCTCTGGAGTCGGCTTGGCCTGGGCGTTGGATCTGGTGGTGGAGGTGTGGCTGCCCGAGGGAGGAGTTCGTATTCGGACGTCTGGTCGTGGCTCTCAGGTCCGGGACTGTGCGACATTCTGGTCCGTCGACGTGTTGTTTGCGGTGCAATCGTGTTGGTTTTTGATCCATGGATGATTAGAGTCAGGCTGGATGTGGGCTGGGCAGCCCGACTTAAAAGCCCAGCGGAGCGAGGCTGAAGAGCCAGCCAGCCTCTGCATCGCCCATTTGCGTAACCCCAACTTCAAGCACAGTGGCTCTCTTAAATACCGAGTAGCCTCTGGGGACGACATCGAATCTCATTCGTGCGCTGGACCGCGAGACGGACATTATATTCCAACCGCGTGGTAGTACAGAGCGTGCCCACCAACTGCCAAGGTGTAGTACAGTGGTAACAGGGTGAGAGCTGCAACTCCAGCCTCCATTAGCAATTCAGCAGATGTCTCAAATCAGCTGAATCTCACGCTAGAAGGGGCTGATTCGTTGAGACACTCAATTCTGTTTCCGCCAACAGGCGTTACCCCCGACTTCCGTGCTGCGGGTGCTATTTAAGCTTGGAATCCACTGAGCTGGTTATCCACGTGGAAACTCACTGGTTTTTTATGACATCTAGCAGCAATGATACGATAGCCAGGATCCCAAGGAAGTGGCACATGGTCTTTCCGAACGGGATGTTCGACATCGTTGGACAGAAGGCAGCCCGGCTCGCCGCCCGAGGATAGCCCTACCTAGTTCATGGCTCTTATGCAAGGCAGGAGTTTGAACTGAGGGGTGTGGTGCCGTTTTCACAGGCTTGTTTGGGCTGAATGACATTGGATGGGACAACGCCCAGGCCTGCTGTGTCACTTTCCAGGGCTGACTGGGCTTAACAAAGTGCGATTTGGTGCAAGGTCATTGTTCATATATATCCACTATCCACTAGACCAATCAATTGGCTTCAATCAAACAGCAATTCTTTTTGCAGTCCATGCCTCCCTCCATCTTGGTTCATTTAGTAGGTGTAGGCCGTCATGTTAGTAATGTTGTCCCTACCATAGGGCCGCATCGGACGACGCATCGCCTAGGGCTACCAAATACCCAGAAAACCGCTCGTCGCAGCAAAAGCAAAAAAAAACATACAACAGCTGGGATTCGCATGTGGTCACCCACCATACTACTAACCAGCCGGCGTGTGGTTTAAGTACGGCTGAGCGGACGGGAAGCCCTGTTCTCCACACCCTGTGGTCGTATGTACTAGGTTTGGCTGTTAGTTGCTTTACATTGGGCTATTTTTTGTCGTAAGTAGTCCTGCATTATCATTGATCTCACTGATGAGAGACGAATAGGCCCACGAACCTGCAAGATGTGTATCCATTTGTCCGATGAGGACAGTGCACTACTGTGTAATCACGGTCCAAGACATGTCATCTACATGACATAAAAGCGCATAGCATAAACACAAGCACAAGCACCCATTCAACTAATAAATAGCCAGACCCGCCCGTACCACTGGTAAGCACGGAGATACAGATCCCATCCAAGTCCCCAAAGCATCGTCCTCATAAATATGCGTCGATCGCGCCATCATCCATGGAGTCTAACTACACCAATCAAACAACCCCCCTCCCAGAACACCTAGGACAGCTCCCCCAAGTCGAGCCCCTGCCATTGCAGCTGCCACAGGTAACGCGGCGATTCCCACTGTGGTTCTGCTGGATCCAGGATCCTGCGCCGTTGCAGCCGAGACAGAGTCTGTCGCATTGTCCGGCGCCTCGGCAGGTGGTGCACTGGGGCATTTTGCTGATTAAAGTTGTATCGAAGGCTTGGGGAAGCGTTAGAGAATAGATAGATCGACTGAGTGGTTGCTGTAGGGCCAAGTAGTCTTGTTAGTGGTGGGGGCTTTACTTGAATTTTGAAAGGGAGACGGACAGTGGAAATATATGGATGGTAGCTGACGGGTGAACCGATTGTTGAATTTGGTGGCTTTGGTATGTGAACTGAGTGACGAGAGCCAGTACTTTAGGGTTCCTCCCGTGTCGGCGAGAACGCTTTTATACCTGAGACCCTGACGGTGAGGGACGATAGTAGTCCAGTGGTATACATATATGTGGCCTCCCATGTGATGGAAGTGGCGGACGCCAAAGAATCCTTAACAAGGCTCGCAATGCTGTACGCAGCTTCCTGTGGTCCTCATGACGCGTTGGGACCACCCGTCCCACCCAGCTCCATCCAGTCCAGTCCGGATTTTGCTCCCTGCACATCGAGAGCCTCAAATGGGGACAAAGCGCGTCGCATGCCTGGGCCGTGTGACCACACCCCCAAGACACAGGTCGCGGGGTTAGCGTATACCATTGGAATAACTGGAATTGTTCTCCTCGTAACGGGGTGTGGTGGCGTGCCTTGGCCGGATAAGGCTCTGATTCAGCCTTTCGAGGTCTTGGAATTGGTGGTTTCGCGCGAGGCTGAGTGGAATGGAGATATTATGGTACCTAGTACGTGGCGAGCCTATTGCAAGGCTGCCATGGCTAGGGTAAGCTACAAGAGCCTGGGCAAGGCTGCGCTTGTATATCAAACTTCCTGTGGACTGCTTGCGACTTCGGATCTTTTGTTTTTGAATGCGACAGTATGCAAGAAGGTATCAATACAGTGCCACGGTGCTAACAGCGAAAAATATACCTAGTTAGTCTCGCGCGTTAATGGTACCTAGGCCAAGGGGATCCGGATTCTATGTTGCTGGCAATAATCACTGGTGTATTTGCTGATAATCAATGAGGTGGGGATAAATGATAACTCCGATTGTAGGTGGTGCATGAGTGAAGGCAATGATCGACCTAGGGCTTCGCAGTGGGCATGGTTCTTAGAGCTTTCATAGAATGCCTAGCATACCTAACCATACACTTGCTTTCCATTGTGTGTCTGTATCTTTTAGGCAGTTTTTAGTAGCAGCTTGGTCAACCTTGTAAGAGGCACTTCTTTGCTCTTGGACTTAATTAGAGATCTACTATAGCTAACTGGCGTGACAGGCCTTGATACCTCCCATCCCCAGTCTCCTGCCCTAATGGGGAAAAGACAAAGTCTGTTCTGACTGAGATAAATGATGGTTGGACAACAAACATCTAGGGTAACGGCCGGTACTGATGCAATCAGATCATTTTGCCTGCACAAATTCACCTGCCTGGACTATGATTTGGGTTTATATTTGACTCTCCAGGCGGGATACACCATCCTTCCCTATTAACCCGAATAAAATCAACCAACATGAGCAAACGCCTCAATCTCAATCCTCATCCCCTCCAACGCCAGCCCAGTCACCCCAACGCCCGTCAACACCGGCTTATGGTCCGGCATCCACTTCCGCAGATTCTCCACCAGCAAGCGCATAAGCTCTTCGTTCTTGATCTCGGTCGTGAAGATGCGCACCCGGTATACCTGCGACCAGCCCTTGCCGCCTGCGTCCTTTAGTGCCAGGTCGACGTTGGCAAATGCTTGCTCGATCTCTTGGGATAGGTCGGCGTGGACTTTGAGCGTTGAGGGGTCCCAGCCGCCTGTTTTATGGTATATTTGTGAGTCAATTGATCCGAGGGCTAGTAGGGTCCAATGTTATACGGGACGCACCCTGGCCAGATATTTCGATCCGATCGCCGATACGCACAGCTTGGCTGTATGATAGAGCCTCGCGCATGTGCTCGCCAAAGCCTTTGTAGCTGGAGTATTGGAGGTGGGACATGATGGCAGTATCAAGGGCACTGGGGGATACCAAACAGACAGAGAGATCTTTTAATGAAGCTGCCCATATGAACATGGCGCTACGTACTTATAGGTAGTCCCAAGGCCGCCAACAATGCTACTATCTGGTTTTTGATACGGCGGGGATATTAGCCAAGAAACACCTCGATCCGGCCTGCCTGAGTCGAGATAAAGCTCTATGATACGATACTTAGATCTCATTAATCCGTTTTGAAGTGTTGAGCCAAGGCGAGTAACGCGAAGGTACCTATGGGAGTGCGTGGGCTTTTAGGGCCAGGGGCTTGGCCGCTCACCCGCCGAGTATTTACCCCTCATACCCTAATCTCAATGATCAAGTGGGGGAACATCAATAGGTCTGTTTGTGATGTTTCTAAGCGACAGTTACAGCGGGTGAAGGGGACTCGCGGTGATAGCAGGTATAGAAAAACACCTACGGATAAAACCCCTGTCATGACTACTACTAAACCTTGAATTGAACAACAATAACCCTACAAAGCCGTACTAATGGTACAGCGCAAGAAAGCAACAACCAACTCGCAGCAGGCAGATATCTTGGCAAGACACTTGTTATCTCTTAGGTTACACTGTGGGCCTTTGGCATTTGCGTCGGAGCAGTAGAGTGGGTGCGGTAAAGTACCATATATACTCTAGGTGTCCTTGTCTTCGGTCCTCTTGTTAATTCTCAGGGAATGCTTTTCGCGGTCTATCGAATCTTGAGGGCTTTATACTTGTAGTGCTGTTTCTCAGGATTTATGTCCACGGGTAACAAGCACGGGTCTCTGTGATGTTTTGAAGTGCCCGAGTCTGAATGTCGCGGGCGTGGAAAGTTCTACCTATGTTCATCCAACCTTAAGGTGAAACCGGTCGCCCAAGCCCTAACTTTGGGTGCGCCAGCGTCTCCATGCGACAGGCTCGAGCGCAAACTGACCCAGAAAGGTCAAAGGATCTGGACTACCGTTCAGTCTCTCATCTATATTGATGTTTATTGCTCTAGATACATGGAAGACCTTCGCATCTTGCAAATGGAGTCGAGGTGTCGGCGTCTCAATCTGATACTCGGAGCAGTATTATTTATTATGAGACATTAAGCCAAAGCTTTCTATCACCCTTCGGGGGTGTGGCGCAACGGTAGCGCGTGGTACGTTCCCACCCAATCAGACCAAATATTCGAACCATGTTCTAACAGCATGACAGCGACTCCAGATCGCAAGGTTATCCGTTCGAATCGGGTCATCCTCACCATCTTTTTGCTTTTATTTTTTTTTGACATTAGCATGTCTGATAGAGCACGGAGTGTATCTCCTTATTTGTTAATGACTCATTCATGCTTTGTTTCGTCGCTGTCTTCCACTGCCTCTGTAACTTCTACACTGCGGGGTTGTGCGGAGTAATTGCCGCGCTGCGTGGATATGGCGATTGTCTAACAGATCTTGTACTTCGGGCACGGTATGGGACGAAAGGAGCTGTTATTTGTCGTGGATACATGGGCAAGTATGTGGCTGGCCTGGGTGTGAGGGGTGTTGGTGGATGGTGGTGATGCCCATTTCCTTAGGTACCATTAACCATACCACTATGGATGTCGCCCGTCGATCAGCCGCGACTTTACCGTACTCTCGTCTCCTGCGGGAGCAAGGGGATACAAAAAGGACCATCCTCTGTAGTGTGGAGTACTGGATGATACGTGCTGATTTGAAGCCAGAACTGCTATGTCCGGTTTTTGATGTCTTCGACTGCTGGTCGACCTAAATCGATATTAGCCGCAAGCCAGTGGCAGTAGAAATATATATTTACAGGGAACTTGTTCCCCGCCGAGCAACTGCACATATTCGCAGGTAGACACATCGAGTAACCAGAAGAAGTTGAAGAACAAAATCAAGGCTGGAATACCCCAGTGCCTATTACAATAGTGCCAGGTGGTCTTCGAGCGACTGCAACAAAGTGTATACACGCAGGTAAAGACAAGTTGCTGTCTACAGAAAGATCCGACTCTGATAATGTTAATTTGGGAGCGCTTTCATCAACCAATGGGGCTGTGGCGCAACGGTAGCGCGTGGTACGTTCCACTTCTCCATCAGCATATTCGAGCAATTCACTAATGAATTCCCACAGCGACTCCAGATCGCAAGGTTATCCGTTCGAATCGGGTCAGCCTCAGGGCTTTCTTTTTTTTCTGCACACTTTTTTTTGTTGCACTTTCAACTCTCAACATCCATTGACGGTAGATGCATCCTTCGAAAAGTCTTGATAGTGGTTTCCTTCAGAACACCATAGCTGTGGTGTTCCGGTCATCAACACAGCACGCCTAATGGTTGCTTGGACTACCGTCACGATCTCTGCACTTCTCCTTTGCCACTCAACGCCCGAACTGATCTCCCACACCCTACCATCCACCTACCGATCGGCATGGAGAAGCATGGCCCTTTGTGTCCCCCCAGCACCACCGGCATCTAATTTCACTGGGGTCGCCTTGGCCATATCACCAAGTTGCCACCCTGATCACCACCGCGAGGAGTATGAAGTCTGCTAAAGCGCCGCCTGCCGCCGCTCCCCCAGCAGTGGGCTATGCAAACAGCTTCTCTAACCCCTTCAAAGTCCCTCAACGAAGACTGCACAAGCAGATATGCTGCCTGAAAAGGTCGCGCGCCTGCCATGAATATCCTGGAAGAATGGCCCATAACACATTGCAAATCGGGCCCCTGCGTTGACAGGAAATTGGGTCTTGACCGTCCATCTCTGGCACAAGGTGGCCGGATGACCCCTCCAGAACACATTGCATACTGGACGTCGACAGGAAGTTGAGCATCGACCGTCTATTTCTGGAACGAGGTGGCTGGACTGGAAATCATTCGTCATATACATCCAGCACCGAGATACCATCGTCACGAGGACGAGATTCGGATGCGCCCATAGGCTCCTGAGATTCCATCGACTGGACATCCCGGGCTTCTCCCGGTGGTCACCAACGTCGCGCTTGACTCTGCGCAGCCAATTCGGACCAGAAAATCATAATGAGAATGCCAATCCCTGGGATCCAGACTTCGCAGAGTACGATCAAGGGTAGCAACGAATAATAGCCTTCAGACAATACAGGATCACTTGATTCGCGATCGACTTGTGGTGGACGGAGCGCAATGTGCGAAAGATCCTCCGGAGTCTACCTACAGCCTCCCCATCCCGAAGGACAGCAAGAGAGCTCGCATTCTGTCACTATCATGGACCGAAGGTCGAGGGCAAGAGCTACGAGGCCCGTCTATGGTTGCCTACTGCCACCGTTCACTGGATGAGCATCTCGTCCCCCAACGAAGGTGACTACTGCGACTGTATGCTCGTGGCCTCATCCGGCACACTCTCAACGATCTACTCGCGCCTGGCCTGAAGGTTACAAGTCACCGCGCCCCGGCGGCCTATCGCGGCACAGCGAGTCCGCAGATGGACTCTCGAGATTCAGAAGCTACAAGCCACCGCGCACCTCCTCCTAAGAGCAAGATTACACACATGGATATGTCCACGGACCCGGCGGGTAAACGCCCCTACCATCAGCAGCTGCGGTTCGTCGACACAGTCGCTTCGAAGCTTTCAATAGATTGGCCGAGGGCATCGATCCGGTCCTCAGCCTGACATTGAGAAACTTGAAAGCCGTTAAATATTGCCGAGGAAGAAGTAGGTATGCCCTAACCACATCCGCCCTTCAACGCCAACCACATCATCGACGAAGGCGTCAGACTCAGCCCCCAGCGGCTGCCTATCTCAGCGCTTATAATCCAGTTTATCGCCGCCGAAGTATAGTCCTCCAAGGGGTAATAGAAACAACAGTTCCCCAGCTGAGGCGCGTCAAAACTCGAAAAGCGCACCCCAATGGATCCATCCAGGAAACCCTAACCCCGCCCGCCTTTCCAGAATCCGGCATAGCTCCTCTAGCCTCTCCATGGGCCGGGCACAAAGCGGGCAAGAACGAAAAAAAAAAAAGAAATGCCTTGTGAGGCTGACCCGATTCGAACGGATAACCTTGCGATCTGGAGTCGCTGTCATGTTGTTAGAACATGGTTCGAATTTAGTTGGAAGGTGTGAACATACCACGCGCTACCGTTGCGCCACAGCCCCATTGGTGGAGGAAGGGCGGTTTATTTGTTTATATATTCAAACGCATACTGGTAACAAGTAAAGAGCTGCTCCGATCCAGTTCCACCATGACTGTATTCCCACGCTCCTGAGTTTACGCAGGATGTCCTTACTTAGTTAACTGGCCGGCGATCTCGCGGGAATTCTGCGAATTGGGTCTTGAGTGAGGTGCGTCTCTGTCCACCACCTACTATGCGGTCTGCTGTGAAGGGGTGGCGCGGCCCGGCTAACCCTAAGTACAGCCAAGAGCCAACTACTAGGAGTATCGATTGAGAATTGAATTTCTAGAGTCGGAATAAGACTATAACAGTAATATATATCTCTATTCTGATGTGAACACTTAGAGAACAAGTCTGCCCGCGAAGAAAGCCACGCCGCTACTGTTGAAGAGCCCAGCCAATGTCTAACAAACAAAGCGCATCGCCCGCAAAGGAAACATAAATAATAAATTAGAAGCACAAAGAATAAACTATGCAGATGGCTTGCGGTAAAACTTGCTCTCGACCCACGGCATCCCCACAACCGTGGCCTTCCTCAGCTTATTCCGAACAAGCACACCGACCTCCGTGCCCTTCTTGTGCAAGCCTTGCTTGATATAGCCCATGGCAATATTCGTCCCATCCAGCGACGGACTAGGTAGGCCAGATGTAATGACACCGATCTGGGTCTTGGACTCGTCGTTCAGGTCGACGATAACAGCGCCCTCACGCGCAGGCGAGCCCTTCTCGATTGTGAAACCCACACGGCGCTGGGAGAGGTTCTTGGATGGAGACGCCAGCTGCGGGAGGATCGCGGCGGCGCCGTTGAACTGTGATCGGTCCGAAGACGCGGAGGGGTCGCGGCGATCTTTGCCGACGATCCAACCGAGCGCTGCGGATGGGGGAGTCTGGGTGGTTGAGATGTCGTGGCCGTAGAGGCACATTCCGGCTTCGAGGCGGAGGGAGTCGCGGGCTGCGAGACCGGCGAGGCGAACGGAGGGGTTTTGGAGGAGAAGCTCTGTTACGGCTGAGGGGGAGACGGAGGGCGGGATGGAGATCTCGAAGCCGTCTTCGCCTGTGTAGCCGGTTCGGGAGATCAGGAGGGGCTCTTGTGTTGGGGTCCCTCCGGGCAGGGTGAGGTGGAGGGAGCGGCAGTTGCCGAAGTAGAGGGTGCTGAGGTCGGAGTCCGCGCCGCTCTCTTGGACGAGGGGTTGGAGGGCAGCCGCGGCTTCGGGGCCCTGGAGGGCAATGAGGGAGTGGTCGGAGAAAATTTCCCAGGTTATCTCCTTCTCAGCGCCGTGGGCGGCTCTGAAAGCGTCGATTTCGGCTGTCAGGAAGGCGAGGTCCTCGTCGCGGCGGCCGGCGTTAGTGACGAAGTAGAAGGTGTCCTTTGACAGGCGGGTGATAACGGTGTCATCGACAATACCACCAGTGCCGGGCTCGAGGAGGCAAGATAGTGTGGATGAGTTGTTCTGGAGCTTATCGAGCGAGGAGGGTGTGACCTTCATGAGTAGGTCCAGAGCGCCGGGTCCGCTAAGTCGATGTTGAACCCTAAACAATGCGTCAGTACCCAGCTAAACCTCAATTCGGTAGAGCATAACATACATATGGCTCACGTCGAACAAACTCGCCTTCTCCCTCGTCCACTTGTGGCTCTCGACATGGCTGAGATCGGAGTACTGCAGCGGCATGGAATACCCCGCAAAAGGCACCATTTTGGCGCCCTTGGCGAGGTGCAAGTCATAGAGCGCTGTTTGATTCAGAGTTCCTCGAGGCGCTGCTGAAGAGGCATATCTTGCGCCATTGGCGACAGGCAAAGTCCTGGCAATCGAGCGTCCAAAAGCCGGGGAGCGGAGAGCACGGGTGTGCGGAGAAGCAAGCTGCGGGCCAGTCAAAGCTCCATTGACGCCAACAGAGGCGCGCTGAGCAATTGATCTCGCTCCAAGGAGGCGAGCGCCTTGTCGTAGGGACCGTACAGAAGACATTATGAGTATATTTTGCAGAATTGAAGAAAAGGAAAGTTGAAAGAGATCAGACGGAGAATGTACTCACAAAAGCGTCATGGGTGCCGGTAAAGTCACGTGTGATAGGAGAATCCCGCGGAGTGATAAGATAAGCCGGACATTTCTTATCGCGGGCGATAAGGGCCAAGAAAGTCATGTTTGCTTGTCTGCCAACTTAGCATTGTTCTACAATTCTCGCTTTACTTGATTCCTCGATATTGTTAACTTTGTACAGCTATATGATTTTATGTTGTTGCTCGTTGCCCCAAATTCAAATTGTTCTGTGAGACAAAGCATCGCTGGCGCATAGTCCAAGGAGCATCAAGCCCCTATCTGGCAATCTTTCATTTAGATCATCAACTCATGAGATCGTATGTCACAAAGAATAAACAGCATTCAAAGTCTCCATCTTGTCAAAAGTCGGAAAAGAAAGGTAAAGGTATCGAACGTCCAAATGCCGATCAAACCCCATTGTCAGCGCAGGAGAAAGGACCTCCGACAGTGCCAGCCTCGTAATTCAGAACCACACTCTCGACGGAAGCCTAGAATGGTTGTACGGTTAGTCCTCGATGTAAAAAGAATGAGAAGAAATGAGAAAACATACGTAAGTGCCCGGTCCTAAGAAATACAGTCCAATGCCAATCAAGGACACATTGACAATGGCGCCAATCCAGCCCCGGATGCCGCGCTTCTTGTAGAAGCCCGGTCCGTGATCGTCGTATCGCATACGGAGGTAGGCGACGCCCCAGAAGATGAAGCCGAAAAATGAGTCGAACAGCGAGCTCATGATTGACAACAGATCCGAGAAGAACGGAATGACCTCTGCGATGATGAAGGCGGCTGTCCACAGAACAGCGAGGATGCCGATCCAGCTCACCCAGCCGACGAAAGTGTGGTTGCCCTTGTGGCGGGTGCCCTCGAAGATGCGGAAGAAGATGAAGCGGGCGGAAACAGAGGCGTACAGCACACCGAGGAAGATGATGGTCGGGACCATGAACGTGAACGCAACCTTCTTGTACACATCGTTGCCGATCGAACCAAAAGCGGGAGCGGTCATGTACTGGTCTCCAGTATATGCGTATACAATAGCGCCGACCAAGCTGAAGACGATGATTTCGGCGATTGTGACGGCGGTGACGGACTTCCAGAAATCCTTGGGCTCTTTCATCTCCGCGATGAAGCTGGGCAGGGTGATCTGGCCAATGAAGGTGTAGCTGATGTTCAGGAAGGCGCTCATTCCTGAGACGAAGGTCGTGCCTGAGACAGGGACGGCGGTGACCTTCGGTTCACCAACATATGTTCCACCGGTGTTGTAGTCCGCCGGATGGTCTTCAATGGCAGTAAAGATAACGGCCAGCATGACGGAGATAAACGTGGCAAGTGCTGAGAATGTCGCGACCTTGGCCAATGTGCCGAATGTTCGTGGAATCGAACAGACTAGGGATATAATCGCCGTGACAAGGGAGAACACGATGGTGCAGGTTCCGTGGCCGGTAATTGTGTTGAACCACTTGGCGCCAACCAAGCAATGCAAGCCCTGAGACCATGTCAGCAGGGAGCGCCTCAAAATAAAGGCAGCTCGAGATAGGTACCTGGATGAACGTATTATTCAACAAAAACATCACCGCGGTAAAATACCAAGCAGCCCGCGAGCCCCAGAACAGATGCTGACCAATGTCGCAGACGTCGCGAATATGCGGATGACGCAGACAAAATCTCCTGCGCAAAGTCAGTTCACGTCGCTGTTGCGCCGAAAGGGTATGTGGTTGGCGCACCATACGATGAGTGAAGTATAAAGAACGACACCCGCAATAAACACAGTCAGGATCAACCCCGGGACAAGGCCGAGAACCGAGTACGACCACGGAAACGACATGATCGCCAGACAGATATACTCGGAGAAGAGCAGCGCAGCCGTCTAACGTTTCACCGTTAGCACAGAACTCCAAGAGCTCGTGGTCCCGCCGTCCGTCGCAACCATAGATAAGATCGCGCACGCACCTTCTGCCAGCTACAAGTCCGGTACTTGATCGAATTATCAGCCTCCAGCTCAATTTGTCTGCCGACCTCTCCCGACTCCGAATCGGACAATCCGCCGGGAACCTGAGTGTTTCGCTCGAGATCCTTCTCCCCTATCTTGCCGGCGGAATTGTCAGAGCCCGACGAGCGCTCGTGCTCTTTGGTCGTACTGAACAGAGGGAATCCCGCCATTTTATCGAGCGGACGAATCGGCGATGGAAGGATCGGACAGAGTAGAGTAAAGAAAAGAAGTTTTGAGCTTTCGAAGGCATGTACCGCTTTCGTGGGGTGAACTTAATGGACTGTTGTAGCAGTCAGTACAAGCAAGAGTAGTATGAAGGTATGCAGTATAGCTGAGCGAACGGGAAAATATACAAAACACGTCGCGTACTTACCTCTGCCAGGGAATGAAAGAGAAAATATGATGAAAATGAAAAATTTCTGACAAGATCAGAGACGTGAGATCGAGCGGCGAGAGGCAGCCCAGAGGGGAAGAATCAGCGTAGATAGTGGATAGGCTTGGTAAACTGGCTCGGGCTAAGGACCGGGAGATGAGGAGAGTCGGCCAGGCTACCAGAGCGCTACAATCGAGAAACGATGGAGTGGCGGGCTGGGCGCAGGATTCGTCCTCTCTGGATTCCTGCGAAGCAACACAGCCAAGCGGCGTCGCCAGGGTTTAAAAGGCTTGAGAAGGCTTGCGAGCCTTGGATGCTTGGATTTGGATGCTTGGTGCGGAGCAGCAGTGAAGCAGAGGGTGAAAGTCAACCACGCGATTAATGTGAAAGAGTTCTATCTACGGACGTACGACAGGAAACAATCATATTCACTCCAGATCGATAAGAACTCAGATCGAGTCCAGGATCGAGGACATCACTGCTTGACCTCACATCCGGACAAGAATAAGTCACAGGGAATTTTGCCCGATGGCGACAACCGCGGCAGGTCATGACGTGCTCGGCCAGGCCGTGGGAGACTCGATCTCGAACAGGCCAAGAAGGCTAAACGCTGATAAAAGGAATGATCGCATTCGCGATCTGAAATCTGTGTTCGGAGGTTGCATGGATACGATGAAAGTGTAACCTTTCCAGGACTCAGGGCCCGCTGACGGAGGATTCCGACCCGCATCCGTCCATGGTCGGAGTCCAGGTGCTGGCAGGCTCAGCAGGTTTTCACTGCCAAGGCTACAGTTACACGGATAACTCGATGGGATGATTTGATTTCTCTGCGACTTGTGTAAGTATCGATGTTCTTTAATTGTTGATAGCTTCCAGAATCTCGATGGAAACGCCGAGTCCACAAGCTTTATGGCGTTTTAATGTTTTAAAATCGCGCCATAGTGGAATGATGGAATCCCACTCCGGAAAGGGCAGTGACGTAATTGGCGCCCGCCCCGGATGTCTTCGAGTGGAGGATTCCAACGTGCGCGCCAGCGGCGGCCAGCCACTGCCTGCTCCGACCAGCGGTTTCCCCACGCCTAAGCTAAGCTAAGCTTAATCTCAACTGGATCGCTTCCGCGTGGAAACTTACCACAGGTGTTCTGCAGCACAAGCAAGGGGTCATGCCACGGTCATGCCACGTCAGGCAACTAGATCGTACTACATGTGAAGCTACGGAGTACAACGGAGAACAGGAGAAGGTGTGCCTCGTCATGGATATATGCAGGTAGGCAAAGATATAGTAGTAGATACAGCAGGTGGTCCTTACATCCCCTCGTCCTCCCCAGCAAGCAGAGCCGCATAGTCGTCCGCCGACGCGAATGTCGGCAGGTGCTTGAGCTTGCGCCTCTTCTTCCGGTCTTTCTTGTCGTCTTCCTTGGGGAGTTCCACCCCGCCCAGGTCGACATCGGACGGTAAGTCCTCGTCGCTGTCGACAAAGGCTTCTTCGTCCGAGACGTCCATATCGAAGGCTTCTTCATCTTCCTCCTCGTCCTTGGAAGGTCGGCCCTTCTTGGCTGTCATGGTCTTGGCCGGGACTTCCTCTTCAACGTCCTCCATCTCTTCGTCAGACTCATCGTTGAAGATGACCTCATCGTCATCACCCTCCTCGTCGGATTTATCGTAAGCCGACTCGAGGTCATCCAGATCCAGATCATCGTCGCTGTCACCGGGGCCTTCGACATCCGGCTTCGAGTCAACCAACGCCTTCCAGATCTCCGATTCTTCGTCGCTGAGCTCCTCGTCGACATCGCCCTCTTCATCCCGCTCGACGGGATCCTTGCCCTTCTTCCTCCTCTGGGCATTCTCCTTGTCCTTGCCGACTCGGCTGAAGTACTCGTGGAAGAAGGCATCCTCTGCCGAGACGTCTTCGGCCTTCTTCTTCCAGAAGGCCTCTGAGTTAAGTGGCACTTGCTGACCGTGCTGGCCAGCAGTGAGCAGTCTGTCCTTGGCTTCGCTGCCAGCAAGAGGTTGCATAAGAGAAGAGCCACGCGTAGAAGCTGCCGCCTTGGGGGTTCTGTAGACAAAGCGGTCGAGGAAGTGTGTCAGTGTGTGCAGGGTCATATCGGGCTTTCCGCTCATCGGCTGGTGCTCGAGTAGATGAGCTGCGTTTACTGATACGGAGGGGTGGAAGTGTGAAAGGTAGGGTAGCTATAATCGTAAGCATGGGGACTAGACCGAATGAATAAGATGGGTACTCACAATCTCCCAGAGACAAGCCTTGTCGGCGTTGCTGTGTTCTGGATCTCTCTTGCGGGGGTCGTAGCCGTTGGATGGCTTGGGCTTCTCGGGAACTGCCGGCTCCTCCTGAACATCGTCTTCATCGGGAACATCCCTGAAGACCTCTTCCTCATCGCTTTCGTTGTCCTCTGGTTGGTCGTAGAGAGACTGGAGGCTGGTGAAAGTCTTCTCCAACTCGCGGATCAGATAGAAGACACCACAGATGAAAGCGGGCTGGTGCAGTCCCAGGACCTGAACAATGCGCTTAACAAATGCCTTGATTCGCTTGGCATTCACGTCGTTCTTGAGAGCCTTGAATAGCAGGTTGAGGTAGAGAGACTGCTTCGAAGACGTAGCAACTCGAGGGTCAAGTAGGGATTCGTAGAGGGTTCGGTAGAAACGGTCGGTGGATACTCCATGAGTCGATGTCAGCTGTTGGATCAGCATCAGGGCTTGAATGCTGGTGTTGAAGTTCGATGAATGCGTGATGCGGAAGAGAGTCTCAATGTGCTTGGATAGTCGCTCAGTGTTGGAGCTCGTGAATGGATAAGCTCGGTTGACACCGGTCAGGACCGCAGACACCAGCTTGTCCTGCATCTCCTCATTCTGGGCCTCAGCGTTGTCCTTGTCCTTGGCGCCCTGCTTCTTGCCCTTGCCATGCTTCTTATCCCCCTTGGACTTGAATTGTTTTTTAGGCTTGAGCAAAGCAACGAAGAGAGAGAAGTATATGTCAAGCAATTGAACGCCAACTTCCTCCTCCTTTCCGCTCAGCACGGTCTGGTTCAGAGTAATGATGGAGTAGTACTTGGCGTGCTGACTTTGACCCGGTCGGAACAGGACTTCCTCAACCGCCTTAATAATGGTGGGCTTCATCAGCGGGTGGGATTGCTCAAGCTGTAGGAGGAGGTAGGACGCTCGTGACGCAATCTTCTTAGATGTGTCACCGAGCTTGTTGACGAGCAAGCGCAGCAAGTTAGCCTCCTGCTCCGGCTTCTCCTTGAGCAGCTCAAAGACATAGCTGACCGCTCGGGAACGAGAGAACTCAATCTCATCGTTGCACCACACCTCCAGAATCTTTAGCATTTCAAAGTACTGATCTTTCAGGAAGTGCTCAAACGCCCAGACAATCAGGTGGCCTTCCTTGAGACCGCCGGGGAGGGGGGAACCTTCGGACCATCTGCTTCCTTCCCCTTGGAACGCCGCGATCAGGGCTGGCTGGTTCGCAAAGGTACGGAGCCGGCGATCGCTTGGAAGCAATGTACCCTGGGCAAACATATCCTTCAATGAGCGAAGGACTTCGACAGCCTGGGCACGGCTACGTTTCTTTCCGAGCGTGACCAGGTTTTCTAATGATTTGGTGTTGTGCAAGGGCGACTCTTGTACGGCCAGCGTCAAAGCCGAGATCTTGTCACTGAGGGTACCGGTTGTCATGATGGTGCTGTAGAACTTGTATGAAGAGGATGCCGAGGCCTGCTGAGCCTCTCCGTACAGCTTGTTTTCTTTCTCGAGCAGAGAAATAGCATAAGTGTGCACGCGGTCGAGAAGGTGGCGGGCGAGTCCGGAGTCTGCTTTGGTTGACAGGGTAGGGAGGCTTGTCATGTACCAGTCTGACCGAGGCACGACAGTCTAGGTTTCAGTCAGTAAATTATCGTCGGATCAAGGTTGATGCACTCACGAGTTTCGAAAATTCTTTAGGGAATATGACTTCCGGTGCTGTTTGTTTGACCTATCGACTTCGCGTTAGTTGCGTCTGGCTATGACAATGTCATCGACGATAAGAAGGCGAATGAAGATAGTTTGTCCATCAGGCATGTGGTGATTATTGTCTCATGGCCGTAGAGGCTCTGAAGTAGCAAATACGTAGAATATGCAAACATCATAGGACGCGTTCAATAGATAGGGATCCAGAACGTACCACTTTCTTCGCTGGTTGCTTGACTTCTGGTTCAGGAGCCTCATCTGAGGATTCGCCTTCAGGGCTGGACTGCTCTTCAGCTGACTCGGCCTCATCCTCCTCATCGTCATCCTCCTCTTCCTCTTCTTCGTTCTCCTCATCGACTTCTTCTACCTCTTCATCCGCAAGATCCTCGGGAACAACCTGACCGGCAGCCGCAAGAATACTCGACAGCTCTTTTCTCAGATCCTCGGCTGACCCTTTCGAACTCTTTGAAGGCTTTGCGTCCTCGACCTCAGACTCCGAATCAACACCGGCAAGCATATCAAAATCTTCCTCGGTACCGCCGAGGGCCAGAATTTCCTGCCGAAGGGTATCGTCGCCATCAACCTTATTTGATTTCGGCTTCGCGCTCTCCTTGTTCTCGATTACATCGCCGTTGCGATCGCGCTTCTTGCCTTTGGCGTTATTCTCGGAATTCGGCTTCGACTTCGCATCGCTCTTCGTAGAGTTCTTCGCATTGTTCGCAGGAGGGTTCTTCGACTTGTTGTTCTTCGATTTCTGCTTGTCGGCGCCGTCCTTCAACCTCTGCTCGATCTTCTGGCGGAGACCCGCAAAGGCGCTCTCTTCGATTTGGGGCAGGGCAGCGTCGGCCGCAGGCTTGGTAGTCTTGTCGTTTTTGACGGGGATATTGTTGGCCCCAGTCGACTGTTTTCCCTTGCCTTTAGCCATGATCGGGACCTTGGCTGGTAGGCTGTTGATGTTCGGCCGTATCGGTCAATAACTTTTTTCTCTCCTCACTTTTTTTTCTGCCGCTCGAAATTGTCCGCCTAGGCCGCCGGAGTAATGTAGACCCGGATGCCGACCGCATGTCTCGACGCTCGGGCTGTTTCGAATCGCGATAACTATTCAATTCAGTAAGTACAAGTCGTCTATTTGGCCTTTTTCTTTCGTTTTAACATATTTGGATCATTTCTGTTCTGGGCGTCGTTGGACTTTGCGTGATTCATGATATCCGGGTTTCGCCCGGCTGCGGGCCGGTTTCTCAGGCAATCCCAAACATACACATGGAATTCGCGAGTATCTCGCGTATCAAGATGTAACTATCATGTATGGTCCTGCTCGCCGTTGTTTGACAGTTACTAAGGAAAGATAGACAGATGGCCGAAGTCGAGCATCCAATGTCTGGATGCCGACGAGATACCTCTCGAAAACTAGAGATGGCGAACCAGGTACCTTAGCTTGAATCGTGTCTTCTCAGAATGTAGCTAACGATGAAAGTGGATGTCAACGACTTGCTAGAACGGGGGAGTTTCTACCGAAAGGTGTGTATAGAGTAACCAAAGGAGCAGGCAATGCTAACCAACCTAGGCTTACGCGGGCATTTTCCACATGTTACCATTAGGGCTGAGAGTACAGGATAAGCTGGAGCGCCTTATTGACCGGCATATGCAGTCATTAGGTGGGTGCATTGCTGCATGGCCCTCTCCGACAACTGCTAACTATTAGCAGGCGCGTCGAAAGTCTCGCTATCTTCGATCTCGTCAGAAGAGCTCTGGGAGAAGTCTGGGCGATTGCAGGACAACTCAGAAGTAAAGCTCACGTAACCGACTTACCGGATCTTGCTAATGGTTCCTTCAGTACTTCTCTTTTCGAGACAGAAAAGAGGCTCGATTCCTCCTTGCGCCAACGCACGAAGAGGAAATCACTGCCCTGGTGGCAAGCAGCGCTCAGTCATACAAAGTCTTGCCAGTTCGGCTGTATCAGATTTGTGAGTTGACAACAACGGTTTCTCAGACATATGTCTAATTGAGTAGCGAGGAAATACAGAGATGAACCACGACCGCGACAAGGCCTCCTTCGTGGCCGGGAATTCATCATGAAGGATCTCTACACCTTCGATCACAATGTGGAAAGTGCACTGCGAACGTACGAAGCGGTGAAAAACGCATACACAAGGCTCTTCAACGAATTGAAAATCCCGTACTTGATGGCTGCAGCAGACTCGGGCAACATGGGTGGAAGCATGAGTCATGAATTCCACTACAAGAGCCTGAAAGGCGAAGACACGATCGTCAGCTGCGACAACTGTGACGCTGTGTACAACGATGAGCTCGCGGACGGATTAGCGCCCAGTACCTCTCACGATGAGCAGGCTGATTCCGCCCCTGGGTTTGACCTGGAAGGAAAACCCGCCCCGGCGGGCGCAAGAGTCTCCACTGGTCTCTGGACGACTATCTCGAAGGACAAGAGGACCCTAGTCCGTGTTTGGTACCCAAAATTTACGGTACATGAGCGCAGCAACCAGCCGATTGCTAGGGAGGTCAATACGCATGCAATCAAAGCAATCGGCAGGGCCGCAGGCTATGATCTCGACACTGGCGTAGAGAACCCCCTTGAGCAATGGACTACCCACGTGCAGTCTTCCAAGGCGGCCGAGGACGGTTCCACGGAGCGTCCACAAGTGCTAGATGTGTACGACTCACACGTGCACGCCTACACCAGGCCGCCACTCAAGATCCTCGAAGAGGCAGGTTGCGCCATCGAAGATGTCGAGTGTCTCCGGCTAGACACGTTCCCAGAAACCAGCCGCAAGCTGAGCGTCACCAGAGTCCACACCGCCGATCAATGCCCCAAGTGCACGCAGGGCGTGCTGACGGCACAAACCACCGTCGAGCTGGGTCACACATTCCACCTTGGCACGCGGTACAGCGAGGTCCTGGGGGCCCGTATCGTTAATAGCGAAAACGAGAGAGTGCCCATGCAGATGGGCTGCCATGGAATCGGCGTGTCGCGAATGATCACCGCGGTCGCTGACTCTCTCGCGGACGAGAAAGGCCTCAACTGGCCTAAAGTCATAGCGCCCTGGGAAGTTGTCGTTGTCCCCGCGCCGAGCTGTCAGGAAGATGCCGTTGTTGTCTATGATTTGCTCGCCTCCGACAAAGCCTCGCCTATTGACGTGCTCCTCGATGACCGCGACAAGACATTGGGCTGGAAGTTGGGAGACGCAGACCTCATCGGGTACCCGGTGATCATCATCGTCGGCAGTGGTTGGAAGAAGAACCGCACACTAGAGGTCCAATGCCGGCGCCTGGGGATCGACGAGGATGTGCCGGTTGGAAGTGTGCTGTCGTTTGTACAGTCGTTGTTGACAGCGCTGTAGGTGTAGCCCTGTCGGTGTACTCTTTCAGCCTCCTCAGCCACACCTGTGCACAACTGAGCCACACCCCCCTTGTACAATAAATGTATAACAGTGTAATTTATAGGCACCAGCCACAGTTTTGCAACACCAAGGCAGATTCTGAAGCGGCTAAAGGCTGCAGCCTGCATGACTCCAGAGTCCAGTCTCCAAGCACAAGGAGAGACACAAGAGCCCTTGGAACGTGACTCCATAGAACCATTCAGTTGGCGCCCTGCCCCACTGACCCTGATAACTTTTGACCCCGTTGGCCCCTGCGCGCCGCTCGATACTTTACTCCACGCTCCAGCCAACCATATCTGCGCACAGTCCTGTACAGCCCCAGCGAGAAATCAACCTGAAGCAGCCTTGTTGACCTGGGCTTTATTCCAGAAGCATCAAAGAATCTCAGAACTACATATACTCCATCAACGTCCATCTGTTTGAACGATCTCCATCCACACTTCTTCTCGTTTCCAACTCTCAAGTCTTCCTCGCGCTCAAGATCATCGAAATCCAGCACCTACCTAGGTAAATTCCAACCACCAACCAGAAAAGCACAACTGCCCCATATACTTCGAACAAAATGTCCCATCCAGAATACCGCGGGTCCATCGCCGCCATCGCCTCAGGCGCACTGGCCACACTAACGGGTCTCTTCGCGTGGAAACTATTCGCATCAAAGCCCGCCGCGCCAGCACCGAAACAAGTCCGCGTCGGCGTCGCAGTCTTCGCCCTAAACCGCGAAAACAAGTTTATTCTCGGCAAGCGGATCGGCTCGCATGGCGCTGGTACGTCCCAACCTGTTCTGATTCTGAAACAATAAATACTAATCGACACCAATGCAAAGACACATGGGGCCTGCCCGGCGGACACCTCGAATACGGCGAATCGTGGGAGACGTGCGCGGCGCGCGAACTCCAGGAAGAGACGGGGCTGAACATCGACGTCGACTCCGTGCAGTATCTTACGGCGACGAACGATGTCTTTAGCAAGGAGGGGAAGCACTACGTTACGGTGTTTGTGGGGGCTAGGGTTAAGGAGGGGGAGGAGCCTGAGGTATGTACACGCACGGAGAGACGCACTCATCCTTGCATTGCGTACAGAGCAGCGAGGAAACGGTTATTGACTATCCCGTAGATTCTCGAACCGAACAAATGCGCCGAGTGGAGGTGGGTGAGCTGGGAGGAGCTTGCGGCGGACCGGCAGAAGCAGGTTGAGGCTGATGAGGAGGAGAGGGAAACAGAGGGGAAGAAGCTCTTTGTGCCCCTGTTGAGTCTGTTTGTGCAGCAGGTTGGGTTTAAGCCTGTTTTGCCTTGAGGGGATGGGATGGGCTGGTCGGTGAGCGAACGAGCGAGGTGGTTTACTGGATACGATACACTGCCTGGTTGCTTTGGTGTTCTTGGGTAAATGGGTGTATGGAAGGGGTTGGCCACGTCGAATTTGCGCGAAAGGGCGACTATGGGCGAGAATTGGTGACATCATCTTCTAGACAATGCGATATGCGTGATTGGGATTGCTTCTATTGAAGGTGAGCGCTTGGGTCAAGTCCAGCTTGCAACTGAGGAAAAGCACAAAGTAGACATGAACGAGGCAAATGCAAAATCCAAGTAGAGATTGTGTGTTGAATAGGTACCAACCACCATGACTCACTCCTAATATCTAGAGTAAATCCCTTTCAACCTGTTAGGTACATAGCCCAGCGGTTCACGAACGGCTCAGCCATCTCCACAGCCTAGCATAAGGCGATTGAATGAAAATAAGCTCCCAATGGCTGATAGGCGTGTGGCAGTTTCCTCGGCGTCATAAACGCCACTGGCTCTTGTCAGGATGCGGATTCTCTTCTTCTTCCCATCTATAAGTCTTCGGAGGAATTGCAAGGAACCACATAATCCACTCAACATCTGACCACTCGGCGACAGGCTCCACAGGGGCAGAGTCCCTGAAGCCGGCGATGGAACTAGAGCAAGACAAGAAAGTTAATGGTCTTACCAGTCCTTCCGGGATGAATTAATCACTTTACTTACAGCTTCGAGGACGCTTTGTCCCAGAATAGATGGTCCATTCTGCCTTGCGCAGGGTCCACACCTGCCTTGATGCACTGCCTGGTTATATTTACAAAGCAGTCAGTCGCACTTCAATGAGAGTCAAGTGGAGAAGACGGGATGGACATACACCCATGATACTCGAAAGGCGTCTCGGATCTCGTCGCGCTCCTCGCGACAGAGGGACCAGAATAGGTTCCCGTTCAACTGCGTACCTCTTGCGCGCCCTATTAGGATATAGCTCAGAAACCCACCCGGTACCGGTCCGTCATCATCCTGTCTAGTGATATGCTTCTGTCGTATCCAAGGAGTCGACGGGCACTGGTTCATTGTTAGGATCTCTAGACACTCAATCCACTCACGCCCGATGGTGGTAAGCGTGTCGGTTGCCTGCCGTCTGCGTTCCGCGGGAAGGGTGTACTGCGATCCGGCGTATGGTATCCTAGATAGGTTTAGCAATGTCAGATATGTTGTAGTTATTGCCGCTTTGGAGAGGAAGGCTTACTGCATGATAATATGCATAACAGCAGTATCATCCGGATCATGAACATTCTGGCAAAGGAATGTGCCGTATGCTCCGCTTGGTACCCACTGCCCGATTCCAGGTTCATTGTAGTCCTCGGCCGTGAGTTGACTGTGTTTGTCTGCTAACTTAGATTCCAGTCTCCAGGCGGATGCTGATGGCGTGTTGGGGTCCTCTGGTGGCAGCTGGATGACCTTGTCAACCCAATCGTCAAAGAACTGCTTCTCAGTCTCGTCGGTGAAGCACATTGGAACAAAAGGCGCAGGAAAAGCAGCGGAGTAATGTAAGTTGACACGGCTTGGGATATTGAAAAATCCATGATGATCAGAGTATGGAGTGGAGGAAAGATGGAGGGGTGTTACGTAGGCAAGAGTTTACACGCTACGGCAGTCAGACCACCTACAATTCCGTTTCTTTTCCTCTCAATCTATTAAGCACCACTTGTATTTCATTGCTCTGGATCTCGACCATGGCCTCGAATATGCTGGTCTTGGGTCGTCATAACAACATGTCATAAATTCATAAGAAAGGATTCTATCGCCTCACTCAGCACCCTCGCGCCCTCTCCCCGCATCATACTGAAATGGTTCACATCAGAAATCCGAGCAAAGTCCATCCTATCTTCCGGGAGCAAAGTCTCCCAGCCGCAAGGCCCAAAATCTGTCCTCGCCTCCGTGAGAAACTTCAAGCCTTCAGGATCATCCGGTCTCCGTTCGAACCTGGGCTCGCAATGTTTGTCAATCGCGTTGGACGCCCAGATAACCTGCGTCCTTGGAGCTGCCGATGGGGGAACAAAAGGGGAAGCCCAATAATCGTGAAGGCTATTTACGCACGCTTCAAAATGCGAGATCAGCCACTTTGGTGGATCTTTCCTGATCCCGTTGACCTTGACCTCGCCTAGGAGCCCGATTTTATCGCAGTACTCGTAATACCGTCGAGGGAGGTGATCCAGGCCTCGTGGCACCGGGCAGTCAATGAGTATGAGGTCGGTAACCACTTCGCCATCAGATACCAGCTGTTTTGCAGCGTGGTAGGCGAAAATACCCCCGACCGACCATCCACCGAGGGCGTAGGGTCCTTGCGGTTGACGCCGGCGGATCTCTTCGATATACAACGCCGACACCGTGTCAATCCCGCAGTTGTACTGCTCCGGAATCTTCATAAAAGGGCAGTTCATACCGACAATGGCAATTGAGTCATTGATGCGAGGTAGCGCGGCGTAGGACGAGCAGGACCCTGAGCCGTCTGGCAGCAAGAAGAGCGTCTTGGCCGTGGTCGGAAGAGCAGGGTTTCCCTGCAGGAGAAGAGAAGTCGCAGCGACCTTGGGCGAGTCGCTCGCACTGGTGATGCCCGTGCTCTTGGAGGAGGCTTCGTAAGAGCTTGAGCCTGGGGACTGTGGTTCACCACTCTCTTTGTCGTCCTTAACTCGGGTATCCGAGATCATGGAATTCAGTATTGCATCACGTCCTCCGATGGTCTTCGGCTCGGGTGCTCCCTTCTTCCAGAATGTCTCGAGATCCTTCACAGTGGTACACTCTAAAAAGATGGATGCTTCATAATGCAGGCCAAGTTCCTCACGGAATCTGCTTGCGCAGAGCAGAGACAACAATGAGTCGACTCCCATATCGTCGAATGCCGCGTCCGGCAGCAGTTCCTGGACGGGAATGCCGCTCTCTTCAGATACTATTTTCAGAGCGGCTTGCCAGCTGTCCGAACTGTTTGCTGTTTTGGTGTCAGCCACGGTAGGTCCTCCTGGTGTGGCACTTTGATCATTGACATGTAGGGCGTTTGCTTGCGCATTGTTATCATCTCTCATATGGACAATGTAATCCATGAGCCTGCGTGGAACGCCTTGCGCCTTGATGCCTTTATAGACCGCAACAACATCATCTTTTTCAAAAACCGTCATATCACCACTATACATACCGTCCTCATGAGGCCCTGTCATCTTCACATGTGACCGATAAACTCTGTCCATCGATAGTGGCTTATATGTGTGGAGAGACTTCCACCCATGATTGACAAACACCTCTTTGCTTAGATCGGCTTGGTCATTCGCATTCATGATAAAGAGCGCGGGCTGCCCGAAGTTGTCAATAAGGTAAGGATTAATATGATATATCCCTCCTTGCCTAGGGTTGTTAAACTTGACAGTCGCCACAGCTTCAAGGTTCGCACTGTCGAGCACGACACCGGAAACCCCTTTGTATTCAGGATCATATGAAGCCAAGGATGCCACGAGCTGATACCCAGTGTTTCCAGTGAGCTTTTGCACCCGTTCATCAGTCTCAATTCGCTTAGCAAGACTGGCCATCTGTGCCAGAATCGGTTTGGCCGTCCGCCGCGCCGCTTCGTGGGCTTCCTTCTTATTCGGGAAAACCATACTTGCCTCCGCGTGTCTCACCAAGTTCTCGCCTTCGGGGGTCACGCTCCAGAACTCCACTATTGCTTTCTTGGTGCTGAGGTCAAGCTCAACGCGGCATCGGAGGAGTTGCGGGCCTTTGCCCTTGCCCTTTGTCGCGAGCGGACGTTGAACATCCATATGCTGGAGGTCCACCATTGATTGTGAAAGGTCTGGTATTCTACTGCGTATTTGCTCACCAAGCACGAGCGCCATTTCGGCATATATGGACGGTGTCACAAGTGCCACATTGTTCACCCGATGGCCGCGAACGAAGGGATCAACATCGTCTCGCAGGATATCCGTTTCGCCAACCAGCAGCATCTTCGTCCCGTCGTTCGTGTCTTCGATCAATCTATGCACGCATGTGGTGGGGAAGTTCTTGTTCTGAAGGAACTGCGCATCACCTTTGTATAAACACCAGTCGTTCACATACTGCATCCAATATTCCTTCAAATCCCAGCAATAAGCCGGAAGGCGAAGGACCGAGAGGTTATCTTTGAAGTCGCGATGGTATTCGCTCCATTTAATGTTGATGCCTGACTCGTAAAGGGTTACCATGCTTGCTGACAAAGTCTGCCATGGATTTTTATTACGTTGGAGAGTTGAAATGGTTGCTGGTTTGGCCGGGTCCAGATTGGCTTTCAGGAGGTTCGAAACGACCGGATGAGCACCGATTTCAATCCAGATTGCGTTGTTTACAATCCCACTCGTCTTTGCGGCTTTTAGAGCTTCAACAAGGTTGACAGTCTCCCGACAATGACGCGCAAGGTATGCCGGACTAAGAGAATCTTGTGTAGTGAGTACTTCTCCGAGCAACGGCGAGAGGACCGGCACTTTGGGTTCATGAAAATTGATAACTTGTGCAGCGCTCTTGAACTGCTCAATAATGGGTTGCATCTGCGAGGAATGAAACGCATAGGGAACTCGAAGCTTTGTCGCCTTGACTTTTCCCTGGGATAGTGCTTGGTGGATTGCGTCGATTTGTTCGTTGGTTCCGCTCAAGACGGTTTCCAAAGGCGCATTCTTGCAGGCGACTTCATATTCTAGACCTTCGCAAAGCTGCTCGATCTCAGCAAATTCAGCCCTGATAGCAAGCATTGCATGTGTGTTTGGTGCAACTTGTTCCTGGAGTAACTGAGCCCTTGTACCCACCAGGAAAATAGTGGCTGCTTCAGACAAAACCCCGGCCATGTTCAATGCAGCGTATTCGCCTAGGCTATGGCCAACGACAGCGCAGGGCTTGATGCCCCAGGACTTCCAGAGTCTCGCCAGCGCTATCTGGATGCAGACCGTTCCAACTTGGACTACAAGCGGCTCAAAATCACCAATATCTCCACCGCACTGCTCAATGAGTGGCAGGAATGACTGAAACCCTTGACTCTCAGCCATTGCATTGAACCGCTGAAGTTCGGCTCTGAAAGCACTGAGCCTGAGCAACACTCGACCCATGCCTAGATACTGGGATCCCTGGCCGGTGAAAGCAAACGCAACAGGTTGGACGGCTCTTGTCCGCGTTTGAGAAGAAGGAGACGTTAGTTTACTCTCCAACTTGGCATAGACCTCTGCCATTTCTGACCCACTGACGAGAGCTCGGAATGGATAATGTGTGCGGCGGGCCGTGGTCGTGTAGGACAGGTTTGCTAGGGATGGCTTCGCATCGGCAATATATGCCAATAGCGCCTTGATATTGCCAACGAGCGCTGTGCTGGACTTAGCAGAGACTGCGACGACATGCGTCGAGCGAGGGTCAACCGTTTCGATCCTCTCCCTGACGGGGGCATCCTCGATGAGCACTGAACTGTTGCCGCCAGCCGCTGAAAAGTTGTTGACCATGACCCGACGTACTCCGTCTTTTGGGCGCGGCCACGGGAGAGACGTGTCTGAAATATAAACGTTGCGCTCTTTCAGGTCTTTAGGAAATCCGGAGTTTATCTGGGAATATTTAGTCATGGCCATCGGCAAGTCGACGCACGACGGACCTTGGTCTTGATTCCACAATGAGGAGGTATCTCGTTTCGTTCCATCATCATCAAGGCTTTGATCAAAGCAATTGGCCCAGAGACAGATTCACCGTGTCCGACATTTGATTTCGCTGAGCCCAAGAATAGCCGCTGCTCATCCGTGCGAGGTGCGCCGGTGCTAGGCGCAAAAACGGACAGAACCGACTCCATCTCACGAGCGTCGCCTGACAAAGTCGACGTGATTAGAGACCTTTTCGTCCCTACGAAGGAAAGAAGTCTTACCTGCTTGAGTTCCCGTCCCGTGCATCTCCACGTATCCAACGCTGAACGGGTCGACTGCGGCAGAGGTGAGCACCTTCTCAAAAATGGCCTTTTGAGCGCCGGCATGAGGCCGGGTAATGCTCTCTGCCTCCGCGGAATGATTTGTATATGCAGCCATGATGATGCCGGCGATTGGGTCATTATCAGCCTGCGCATCTTCGAGTCGCTTCACGACCAGGCTGCAGACGCCCTCCCCTCTGCAGTAACCGTCCGCGCCATCATCAAAGGTCTTGCAATTTCCTGTCCTGGAAAGAAAATGGCCACGGTCTAACCCTGCTGTAATATCTGTGAAAAGAAATTCAGCTAAAGTACCAATGCCAAAAGAACTATGGAAACACACCTGGGTTCGTTAAGACGTTGGTTCCACCACATATAGCAGTGTCAATATCCCCCTGCCACAGCGCATTGCAAGCAAGATGGAGTGCAGCTAAGCCGGAAGAGCATGCTGTGTCAACACTGTAACTCGGCCCGCTGAATTTGAAGAAGAAGTTCTGTCTTCCCGGGATGAATGCACGGCATGATCCGGGGATGTAACTGCGAGGAGTTCGGGTCAGAACAACCGCTAGAACAGACAGAAGTTATTTGGGGAAGAAGCGTCATACTAAGTATCAACATCTTGAGAGCTATTGATCTCACCCCAGTCATTGCTCGTGCTGCCGCAGAATACCCCAATGCGGTCCGACTGCGTCGAAGGAGTGGCGTCCGGAACAAGTCCCGCATTCTCCATGGCTTCATACGTGGTCATCAACACGAGTCGTTGAGCTGGATCTACCTGAGGTGCTTCCCGCGGGCTCAGGTTGAAGAATTTTGCGTCGAAGAAACCGGGGTCCTTCAGCCAGCACCCGTAAGGGGTGCCACTGGTGTTTTTCCTTTTCAGCGTAGGGTCAACGTGCGTCTTGACGTCCCACCGATTGCTCGGAACTATATCCACGACATCGCGCCCTTCATGCAGGATCTGCCAGAACTCTTCGTTATCTTTCGCATCCGGGTAGCGTCCGGAAAACCCGATGATGGCCAGCTTCGAATGAGCCAAATGGCCGCTTCCTGACGGTAGCCCATCCACCTTGACCCCGTCAGCAGAAATTGTGATGCATGGATCAACAGTGACATCTAGCCCATTCTTCTTGTGTGCGGCGGCAAAGCTCGCGCTGGCAGAGGTGGCGACTGGTCGAATGACACAAGCCGGTCTCGAATTGACAGTCTCGTCCCCAGTAAGCGTGGCAAGGATTCTATCAAAGCGAAGCGGCTGCAGCAAGATTTCTTCGAGGAAATTCGTGAGAAGTTTTCCGAACGTTACCACTTCAGTAGAACATTGCCGGACATTACTGGAGATAATGGGAATTTGCTGCTGATACGCTGCAAACTCAGTCCGCAAAGTGTGCTCCACGATGCCATCCAGATCCTTCAATCCGTACAGGTGAGCGGCGTGATACGGGCCATGGATTGGGATTTTAAGCGAGCTTGCCTTGGGCAGATACTCTGATCCGAGCAGATCCTTCAATGTTGAAGGAGGCCCGCTTATCGTCGCCCCAGTTTTGGCGTAGGTGCTGATGTAGGCCCTTGACGCGGCTGGAATACCCTGCATTGGTTCAACATGGTATTCTATCCATTGGAAGCAGGGTTGAGCCATACCCTATCTTCATTGAACCTCGCTAACAGAGGCACAGCGGTGTCGCCTTGGAGCCCGGCAATCAACACTGACCAAGGGGCTTGGTTTTTATTCCAAGGGTCAATGCGGTCACGCACTTCAGAGACACAGAGCCCTATGCGGAACGCCACGAGCACGGTGTGTGCAGCAAGCGGAATCAACTCTGTCAAGGTCCTACAGCAACCGACTGCTGCTGCGGAGAGCAATCCAGTGCAGAGACCAACCAAGCGAGTCTCCTGAAATGACGGATATGGCTGGTTCGTCGCCGAATAATGGCTAAGCATTTGGTTAGTTTCCACTGGCTTGTGATGGTAGACGACTTGACTGACTTGATGAAACAAGCAAGCTGATAAGTGCAGACTAAAGCCTTCTCTATTGCCGGATGAGGCCTAGCAGTCGACTTTCTAGTCTTGGTAAGGAGCTCTGCGAAATGGGTGAACCCAACAAAACCATCACGCTGAAGGTAGGGCAGAGATCCAATCTCGGCGCGCAACGCAAATGCAACCCTTTCGAAGAACGAGACCAGAAGAGGGTTATCTTTGATATTGACAAGCGAACGCAGCGCAGTCACGGCATCGCAGGTTAGGTCTCCGAACAGGATAATCTGTGTCTTGTTCGCCATGGTTAAGAGCTGGTTCGGCTACGCAATGTGCGGATGGTGGATGGGCGAGATATGGAATGGGGACCAGCGATTAGCTTTCTATGGCTCTGAACCTCTAAAGCCGTTCTGAATCGAACATCGAGGCGATTCATGACCGCAATGGTCTTGATTGGACCATCATTTGACGTGCAGGGCCACGGTGTCAGACGCGTTCCAGATACCTCGGGAGCAGTGCTCTGTATGACCGTATCTCGAGAGCTGAGATGCAAGTCAGAATGCGGTACATTATTGTACGACACAAGAACAAGGACATGGTCTTCGAGATACCTTCTGATCTGCGCGCGAATGGCCGCATCTCCAGCACGCTTCCGTGCGCACCGTCGGAATTGAAATCGCGAGAATCGAGGGCCCAGCATCACGACGTCTCCCTTGCCTGACATGATAGGTTATCGGAAGCCCGGAATCGACGAAAATGGCCTTTGCTATCAGATGGCGAACAATGATGCATAGATAATTCGCGATCTCATGGAGACATACGCCATCGTCTCGTACACCATGGTGGGCACCTGTTCAATTCTTGCAGTTCTTGGATGGATCGAGGTCCAGTTTAAAACCAACCTGAAGGAGTCCTCTAGACAGACAACACAGAGAGGAAGTCAGCAGATTCCTAAGCCAGCTTTTTGATCCCAACCGGGTAGCGTTCTCAGACCCCGATTCCATTGTCCAGATTATGATCCCCGACATCGAGAGCGTTTGAAGCTCAAGGCTGATTCGCTTTACATTGGACGGATCTCACAGGATCATTTGACCTTTTCGGATCCAACGGATGAGAAGAAGAAAACACGGTATGGCTTGCTTCCTCAGTCCCCGGCCTGATGGCTTTGAGAGACTGACAAGAGTCTCCCTCAAATAGGATGACGCTGGGCTTCGTCCATGAGGTTGTTCGGGATGGCCAGGTGACTTAGATGGGGCACAAGGAAGCTGTGGCTTTCTCGGATCCTACGGACGAGAAAGGAAACCACGGTGTACTTCGCTTCCCCAGCCCTGGTGGCTTTGAGGAGGACGAAGAACCCGTTGCTTTTGCAGGGAACAGGGAGATGACGGGGAAACTGGCAGGTCCCGGTACATCCCTTCAAGATAGCGTCTAATCTCTGTAGCCACGTATCTCATTGTCTTGCATTATTATCTACATACCCATTGTTCTCTAGTGCAGCCAACGTCACATATATCGGGGAGCTGCGCGGGCACAGCTTAGCACTTGTAGAAAGCAATTCAGGTCAGAACCGTCACTGGGATTCGATAGTGTACTAGTGTCAGAAGAAGATAAACGGTAGTAGGGATTAGAAAGCAACGAATCGTTAATTCAATAAAACTGGCTTTTCCCGTCATAAGGAGGCATCCAGCCTTGCTTGCGTGGTTCTTTCCTCCCGTGCTCCAGCAACAGTCTCCCAGTCCTCTTTCCTCCAAGACCCAACACTTCAGATACTCCCATGAACGAACAACTGCATCAGCACGATGCTCAAATACATTCTCTCTACTGAAGCCCATTACCGTTTAGAGCAGAGTCGTGAACTTCCTCAGGTCAAAGATATCTGTATACTCAGGCTGCTGCCCCGCCGCCTCCACCTTCACCAGCGTCAAGCTTCCCAGCTTCAAGCGCGGCACCATCCCATCAATAGCGTCCCTGTTAAAATTGTCCAGGTTCAGCAAGTCCCCCGTCCTCAGCACCTGCCGGGCCCGGATTGACTTCAGAATTTGCAGTTCGTCTTCGGGGAGAGACTCGAGGTCGCCCGCGTCGCCACTAGCCACCTTGGCCATGATCTCCTTGTCTTTCGCCGGGTCCGCAGTGACGGGCTTGAATACGCCGAGGCAGAAGTCGACTGTTTTCGAGACCTCGGATTGAGTCAGTCTGTTGCCGACGTCGGCGTCGACTGTGCCTTGGATGACTGCGATGGTCATCTATTAATACTCTGGACTCGATATTAAAAGCGAGAGACTCACTCGGCCTGAAGAACCCAAACGCCCTATCGAATCCGTCCTCGTCAAAGTCACTCAGCACCGGCTCCGTTTGATGCCGAATCTGCTTCATCGCCACCATCACAACTAGCAGGAACCTTGTATACCCCTCTTTCACTTTACTTGAGTGCCATTTCGCCGCAGCAAGCTCATCGCAGTCTCCCCTTCTCGCCGCCTGAATTGTCATTGCGGCCGAGAGCCCGCTGGCCAACGCAAGATGCACGCCGGAAGAAAAGTACGGGTCAATAAAGCAGCCCGCGTCCCCGGCGAGCCGGATATACGGGCTCGCGTAGGAGTCAGCGTTATACGACCAGTCCGAGGCGGATTTTATGTCTGAGACAAGCTCGGCGTCGGATAGTAGGGCCTGGATTTTTGGGGCTAGGTTCAGACATTCACGATATAACGCGGAGCCAGAGAGGTTGGTTAGGCTCTTTTTCTTCGACACGAAAAGGTCCTGGCTCATGACTATGCCAACGGACATGGTGCCATTGTGTAAGGGGATTGCCCAGCACCAGCCGCTTGCATCTAACAAAGGCAAACGCAGTCAGCAATGCGTGGTGCGTCAAGTCAAGATGAGCTGAGCTCCCCTGCGTCAGAGCACACATGACATACCAGTTAAAGCCTCGAAAAAGGGCTGATTCTCCTGTTCCTTCCCCGGGGCATATCTGCCCGCGCCACGCCAATACCCCCAATTCGCGATGTTGCGCAAGCCCTGGTTGAACTTACGGTTCTTGTAATACTTGGTCGAGACCAGGCCAGCCCTCCCACTCGCATCAACGAGGTACTCGAACTTAATCGTGCCAACGCTGCCGTCTGATTTCCGCTCCCATTTTGCAGACACAGGGCGTTGGTACGAATGGGCGTGCGGTGTTGAATCATCAGACAAGGGGTCGTCGTTTGGTGTAAACTCGATCGCCGTGACTTTGACACCGTCAAAAACCTTGGCGCCGCATTTCGCAGCGTGCCGGAACATCAGCTCGTCGGATTCGGCGCGCACGAAGTTCCATGCATAGCCGTTGGGCCCATTGGCGGCGACGAAGTCGGTGTCTGATTACCCCAGGGCATTATTTAGGCTAAGCACTTGATAGTTAGGTAACTAGGGAGGGAACGACTCACACGCTTCGCCTTTTTCGTTGATTTTGAAGGCGGCCCCACGCTGGGTCCATCAGCACTTAACAAAAAGATTCAGAGAAGGGTTCCCTGGTAGCCGAGTACCTTTTTCTGAAACCCGTAGTTATCAATCGTCTCCTCCAGGTCAATGAAGCGGAGGAAGTGCCGGATGGACGCGAGCATGCTCTCGCCAATGTGATATCTGCAAATATGCACCATTATCAGAGCCATTCATGGCGGAGGAACGAACGGGGTCCAACCGTGGAAAGACATCGGCTTCCAGCAGAACAACGTCCACGCCCTCGCGCGCCAGAGCGGCTGCTGCGTAGGATCCTGCTGGGCCGCCGCCGACGACCAGCGTGGTGCATGAAGTGGGGATGGACATCTCAGCGGAGTGATACTTGAATGTTGAATTGAATGTGCTTGCTCGAGACTGTGCTTAGAGTCTGTTCCCAGAATGATTATCTTCAATATGCCGTCATTGAGCTGCGCGTATATGCAGATGCAGACGCAAGATGCAGACGCAGGCACAGGCGCATATATAGCAGAGCACCGCACGCATGAGCAATCCCAGAGGTAAGCGGTCTCCCCCAGGTATGCGGTCTCTCTGACATCAGCTGCATACACGAACCCCGGGTTGGGAGCACCGATATACTGCCGTCGCGAACGTCGGACACGGTGTTTCGCAAGGCCGAGGATAACCCGCCTCGGGCCCTCAATTTCGGCCGGGCCGAGAGCTCGCTAGGGTCTCACTGCAGTGATCAACCCCGGCCTGAGGAAAGATGATTGGAAATAAATTCGCGAGGCTTGGACGCTAGAGAGGCCGAGAACCTGGACCTGGTGAGAGGAGAGTACTCGTAGAAGCGTAGAGACCGACACCGTACCGTACCTAGTAGTGGTTAGGGAATGCCTACATAGAGGTCTAATCTACCACTCTATTGCTTCACCTGAGACAAAACAAGACAGGGACGGAGGATTCTGAGGTATATCTTCGAGCTTCCAGCTCTGGCGACCAGCACAACTATCCCCCTTTAAAGACCACTCCACGAGACGGCGTTACTTCGGTGCAAAGTGACTCGCATCCGAAAGATGCAAAAAAGACCGAGTCTGCGGCCCCGCGTAAGTGTCAGAACTAGACAAGCTGGGGCCAGGATTTCACCAACTGTGGGTTGGAAGCGTGGTGGTGATTGTTGGCAACTGGTGCGCCCCCTGCAGCTTTGGCTAGATCAATAGAATGTGGCAGTCCTTCCCCTTCCCCTAACGACAGCGTAGGCATTCCTGAGGCTCTCACTGGTCAAAAATGGCGCAGCAGGCATCGGGGCCTTCCACGACTACTACTCAACTCCTTACGGGCTCTTCCGAGGGCGATATTTTGTGGGTACCTTCGTTGCAGATCTGCTGATGGCCATGGTGAATCAATCCATCGTTCTTTGCAGTCCCGGGAGCGTTAACATCGTCTCACATAGGGGCCGGTCGTCGCGAGAATCTTCGACTCCTGCTTGAGCCGTTAGAATATGGAGGGTTTCTAAGAGGTGTCGACATTATTCACGAACGTTTGCCACAACTGCGTTGCCTGCCATTCCGTTGGATAAAACAGTCTGCTTTCGGCAGCCGGGCAGCTGGAAATGATGCCACAGATGTCAAGGGACTCTGAGAACGTCTTTTCCCGAGGTTCCTGTCAGCCAACATATACTGACTGCATTTCTCGCTCCTGATGGAAGATATTTTGGTGTCGTCCTTGATTGCATTGATGCAAGGGTGTGTTAATGCATACCTCTTCGAACACGCGAGAGAGCAGAACCTCATCAAAATAGTCGCCTGGATGCTTTCCTCCCCGCCAGAGTAGGTCCCAGAGAGCCTCCTGCAGCGGGCGTGGTGCTTGGCGATGCTTCTTGGTCCTTGGCGATGCTTCTTGGTTCTTGGCAATGCTTCCTGTGCCACCTACAGACGGGTCGTGGGAGTCATAGGCATTGCGCAGAGCCATGAGTCAATGCTCTGACCGTTCGCTCCAACCGTGCCACCCGCGCCAATACATCAGCAATAGTCGTCTTATGGGACCGTCGAGGGTTCTTTTCTGGACTGGGATAGCAGCATAGGACGCCCATGCGGGGGCAGGCAGAACAGGGGGACTCCTTGTCGCAGCGGGTCTTTCGGCGGTGGCACAGATGACTCGAGCGTTCGATACGCTGCGAGATGCAGGCGAGTTAGAGCGGGTGGTTGAATCTCCAGAATCTCGAGCTAAAGACAGGTTGGATTCCATTGTGCAAGACTGGGGTGGGGTGAAGCGTGGAAAGGTTCGAGTTCTGGCTCGGAGAGAGAAGGAGGGTCTTACTAATCAATCCTTGCAAGGAACACCCCCCTCCTTCCTATTCGGGGACTCGGAGGATCTTGAACACATCCGGCTCTCGTGATTGGCCCTCACCGCACGATCTATCAAGCTCGGAGAATTTAACAGAGAGACTCAAAAATCAGAATCTTGAATTTGGAATTTGGAATTTGGGGAGATTCTCAATTCCATATAATGCCCAGATATTTGTGTTCCTCGTCAGGCAGGACGCTGAGAAGCTTATCTTTCAATAATAGTATTATATCTGCCAGTACTCCCATCCTCTCCTGTCTGTGTTCAATGTATCAACACGGTATGTAAAGTCTGAATCTCTATTACCCAGTCCTAGTGGCTGCTATGCATTCGGCCATGCAGTTTACAGCAAGCTGTGGGTCTGAACTTCCAACTCCGAGCAAATCAGTTTCAAGTTTCAACCGGCAGCGAGTTGATTTGCTATGCTTACTGACATATCATGATCTTACAAGGCTTCTGAGCCTAATTGCGACGACTGGGGAGCCGATCGTCTTCCAAAATGGGAGACCCTGCAGCTGGACCGCTCAAGCTCCGCTCGACGTGTGATCGCTGCGCCGCGCTCAAAGTGCGGTGTGGCAAGGGCAAACCGCGTTGCGAAAGATGCCACGCATCAGGAACAGATTGTATATATAGACCGTACCGCTGGAAGACCAACTCGTCCTCCCCATTGGTCCAGGGCCAGGTGCCTGGGATCCCCATTATTTATCCACAGATCCCGGCCGATGACTCCCTCACCAGCGACACTGCATTCTCCGGGTTCTCCGAAGCCCATCTTACGTCTCCCGCTTCTGCTAGCAGTGTCTTTGGCTCGGCACTGCCAGACCTGAGCCATTTCGACTTCTCCGCCGACCAAGGCGCTCCCACCGAGCTGTCTGAGCCCGGGGCGATGGACCCTCCACTATTTGCCGAGCTCCGCCATGAAGAGCTCGGCATCATCACGCCCAGCACGGAAGGAGACTCCATTACCCTGACTCCAACCCACGAGTGCTCCTGCGCAGACACGGCCCTCGGCATTGCTGAAGAGCTTTATCGCGGATCCCTCTGTACCCCGACGGGCTCACCACCCAGCGCCCTAATCCTGAAAGTCAGCCGAGCGGCCGTGCGTAGCCTGGAGCAGCTCCTCGTACAAGGCGAAGGCCAATGCACCTGCTCGCATGACCCGAGTTTGCTCTTCATGTTTGCCTCGATAATTTCCAAGTCCCTGGATTGGTACCGGGTTGTATTCAACGGGATCTGTCGACCTGCGAAGCCCGACGCGGCGGCTGGGTTCATGGCGACCGCACCCCTCCAGTTCGGTGACTTTATGCTCAATTCCGAAGAGCAGCGTCGTATGGAAGCACAGTTCTTGCTCTGTGAGCTTCAGAGTCTGCGCCGGATGCTTGGGATTCTGGGCAAGAACGCCACTGTTCAACGCCATGGCGGCGGTGGATTGGTGGATCAGCTGCATGGGGTTCTATCCGCCGCTCTGGACAGGCTCATGACCAATGTGAATTCCTTTTGTGTTTTCAAACTGCCAACGGGGGACCGGGGCTAGTCCCGGGGTAGAAATAATAAGATGTATTGACTATTTGTCCCAGGTCCTAATACATACGAGAGGGGCGGTACTCTGGAACTGTATTCCAGAGAGGATGGTCAGCTTTCCGCTGCAGGACTCGATGATTCGGAGCATCGGCTCTGCCAGCTCGAGGAATGCTCTGGTTTTGTCGGGGGTGAAAATGAGAGGTCCGCTAGTTGCAACAGTTAGCAGTCCATGCCTACCGGGACAGATATGAATACTCCGTCGATCAACATACGAGAAGACGTCCCCTTGGTCGTGGACCCGATAGACGAACTCGGTGACGATCCCGAAATTCGATCCTCCTCAACGAATACCCCAGAATAAATCAGCATTGGTGTCCTCGGATGCTCTTAAGACTTGTCCATCCGCGGTAACCACGGTAGCGGCGAGCAAGTTGTCGCATACGAGGCCATGCTGGCCGATCAGAAACCCCGAGCGCCACCGAGAGTCAACCCCCCTATGTCTGCTTGCACTTGCTGCCCTGGATCCGGCACATGGTCATAAGAATTGCTGAGCCCAAGCAAAGTGCAGACGGATGCTTACCTATTTGGCGGTTGCCCCGTGTTTCTTCTTCCTCTATTGCTAACAACATTCGCATTTCATTCCTCAAGATCAAAAGGCCAAATAGCCCTAAGAGTCTTCTCATCCTTGACCGGCTCATCATCATCCGCTTCCTGGTTCGATACAACCGCTTCCAGCATACCACGGAAGAGTTCCTTGTGGGCTAATCTAGTCTCTTCCCAATCATCTGACGGTACCCAGCCTTCTGACGTTGTATTCAGCAAGTCGGACAGATTAGTTCGCAACTGCTGCGCTGCCTCGAAGAGTCTGTACTCTTTCTTGTGATGCGCAATGTCTTTCGGCGTCGGCAGTGGATAAGGACACGGACCGACTAGCCCTAGATCTTTCCAGAGCCTAGCAGTTTCAATCATGTCATGACGCAGTGCCACAGCGCCATCTTTCCATGTTCTCCACGAATACCGAAACGGCCGAAAGAGGTTGTCGTCCATCAGCCTTGGGCCGGAGAGCTCAGGCGTCAGAAACTGTGAGCAGAGTTCAAAAGTCTTGGTGCATATTGCATCCGTGGTTGCAAAATCCGGCATTTCATCTGCATACCAGAATGCGGGCTCGACGCTAGCTGCCTGCCAGTCGATAATGCTGGTGACAATACAAGGGTCGTCTCCCGATACGAAGATATTCCGTGTATGCAAGTCCGGATGAAACAAGAGCGGCGTGGAGGATTTACGGATTCGAGGATCCGCGGCCATCTGCTTCAAAACCTGGCGGACAGACTTCAAAAGAGCCAGATGAGCATCTGGCGAACCATGATACATTGGCCTCTTTTCGTCTTCGCCATCGGTGGGAGGGACCCGAGACAAACCAGTGTCTATGAGGCCGTCACAGTATTCTTCAATACTCAACCCTGAGAAGGACTGGTGGTAAGTAAGGCTTCGAAAAAACAAGAATCATGGTAACGCAACATGGGCGCAGCTTACATGGCCCCTGATTACCCTTCGCGACGTGATAATATCTCTGGTCACCAGGATCACAATCCCAGTACCGAGCACCGCAGTGAGGCCCAATACAAAATCCATCACCCAACGACTGACTTTCGACATCATCAAGGGTACTGTCGAAGTAAATGTTCCCATAAGCTGGAAACTCCAAGTCAACCATTTCTCTGGCCGTGCGGTATATTGAGTCTATGCACCTGACTCGCTGGTTGCCCGCCATTTGTTGCCATTTTTGACGTAGCGGAACACCTTTCGCATGCTCCATGATGATGTACTCGCAGCCGATCTCGTTTCTTGAATCAGTAGAGTCATGACTCCAGTCGAGAATGTCCGGTATGGGAATGCTTGTCTTGGCTTGTACTGAAAGCTTTGGTCAGCGCCTGAGCGATAAGTTACCCTGGCAAGGCAACTCACAGTACCGAACCGTCGCAACTTCAGAGAGAGTGGTCAGTTTCGCAGGTCCCGCCAGCTGGAATGGAAGCCTCGCGACAATCTCCTTGCCGCTGTCAAGAGTAAAGATGAAAACCCTGTTGAACCCCCCCTCGAGCTTCCGACATGCTCTAATAGAACCTGCACCAGGACTCAGTTCAATGACCCTCCGGCAAAGAGCATCAAAATTGAATTGGATGTAGCGCGACTGTGATTCTAGACTGTCCCGTCGCAACCACCGACCGCTCGTGTACGCATGGGGCTCAAGATCTGTGTCACGTCAACGCGAGTATTACGCTTAACAGCGGAGGCATACCAGCTCCTATGCCTGTATCCATTCGACGTCTTGTTGAGATTGATCCGCGATTGAGAGGTTGCAAGAGCGGAACCATAGGAGGTCGGAGAAGAAACAAAGGAGATAAAGCGCGGCCAGGTTGACCATGAGGGAGAATAGAATGTTTCAGACACCGCCGCATCTGACCATGAGTTATCAGGGCTATGCTAGAAGACGACGTGGTGCGGGGTGGTCTATCATAAAAACTGTGTACGTTGTGAGGACTCAGAAGGAAACAGGCGCTCAGGTACGGTACCTAGATGTGCCTAGAGTGGCCCTGTGGAAGTGGCTGGGACCCGCGCCGCCATCTTTTGGGCCAACTCCTACACGAGTCTTCCTCACCTATCTTCTTTAATAAATCTGACTGTCTTGATTCGTTCATCCTCAGCATGAAGCTAGCATTACCTATACGGCATCAGAGTCCCATTCCGAGTCCCGTCAAAGCAGCAAAAATCGAGCACCCCCGCAAAGTTCACTCTGGCTGCGACGTCAACTACAGTACCTACCCCGTCCAAGAGTCCAAAACATCATCACCGACCCGAGAAGAGCTATGTCACGATCGCAAAATTGTTGCCGCATACTAAGCGCAAACCAGCATTCTCGCATTCGAGAAGCGCTATTGCGAGAGGACGGGACGACGGGACGATGACTCTGGCGATATTGCGCTGGCAGAAGATGAGCAATACAGTGGTCTTTGAAAACAGGAGCGATGTGGAATGGACTAGGATTCGAAGCGCTTAGTTTTCCAAAGGAAATACCCATAAGCTGCGGCGGCCGATGTCGACCTCGACCTCGTACCCCGCAAAGATGGGATTGAGGATGACATACCTATTTCGTCCACCGACTGCTTCATAGAGCCGTGCTGGGCTCCAAGGACACTCCTAATCTCCGCCGTTGTTCGATGGCTGAGTATCTAGCCCACCGTGCCATGATTCAAAGCGATTCTGAACAACGACAGATAGCCTCGTGGTCCATAGACCCAAGGGCTCCGATCCACCAACAACATTCAATAAAGTAAGAACAAGTCGCTACACATGATTCGTCAATATATCCCCAGGATGAGCCAGGATTATCCTGACTTAGCGGCCAAGGGTAGACACCATGTACGCTTCTTATTACACGAACATGAGCGCTTAGCGCCCAGGCTGAGCTGGCGCAGTGCTCGCTCAGAGTTGATTGGCCAAGCTGTAAGCGCTTCTGGATGAGGCAGAATTGCAAACGCATCTCGCCAGCCTGATCATGAATTATTCTAAACCTTTTTGCTATGACCTGGGATCGCTTGTGCCAGTGCTCATCGCGGACTCTACTGCTTGTGGACCTCTCCCAAGTAATCGACTTAGAGAAAGCCCTTCTCGATGCGCGTGTTTTCGATATGGCTCGTCTGGTGCGCTTCCATGATATGGGGTGCACAAGCCGATGATGCTTGGGATGATTTCTCGAATAATCTCGCTACTGACCTCTCGCCGCTCATTGCGCTATTCGGAGAACAGGCCACAAAGCAATTTCTCAGTGAATCTCTATCTCCGCTGGATAACTTCATCTTCGCCATGGCTCCGCTCGGTATTCTCACGGCAGTCGTTTCAGCCATTCGTGTTTGCGGCAGCTCGTCCCTTCGCGCTTTCATCGGACGAGCCCAGGAAGGAGGTGGCACTGTCGAGGCGGAGCTGTGCTCCTCGACGAGCCGTAGCGTCAGCGAGCTATATAACAATGGAGGAATTGCGCGCGTATTTGGGCGGCCGAAAATCCTGGAAGTCGTTCAAGACCCGGCCTCGAATGACTTTTATGACGACCATGGAAAACGGAGCAGGTTTAGGGCCGGTATCTTCACGTTCAGAGAATACCGGTCGACCGAGAAAGGGGTCGAGGAGTGGACAGAGACTAGCAGTGGAATTGGGACTCTCCTTGGGGAGAAGTCGACAAGGGCAGAGCCAGTAACAGAGGCCAAGAAGCTGGATGCGGACAACGAGCTAGCAGCTCGCAACCCTAATTTATCACTGAATATTGGAATCAAAAGACAGCCTGACTGGGTGTTCTGGGCTGCTGCGTTGATTGGATTTCTGATACAGGCTGCGGTGCTAATATTTGGTGCGGTTGTGACATATCGTCTTCGCTGGGATAAAGATGGTCGTTCCCCAGACCCCTGGGCATTCCCACTGATGCTGACCGGTACCCTGCTACAGTGCAGCGGGATGTTTCTCTGTGCTCGACTGGTCGAGCAGAGCACTAAGGAGCGCAGATTCAAGAAGAAATCAGACTCGCCAGACACACAGAGTCGGCTGCATTGGCTACAGCCAGGAAATCAGGCTGTAGGAGATCAGGTCTTCGACGCATTTGCTTACAGTGACACAAATAAGGCTCTGGATGATTATGTTTCTTCATACAAAGACGAGGGCTATGAGCCGGTCTTCCTGGTTTGGGTCGCGATCAGTGCGACAATGGGCGGATTCATTCAGCAATTCATCGGGCTAAGGGCGATGCATTCCTCGGTGGCGGTCTTTCAGCTTGGAGCCATGTTGGTGATGAGCATCATACGTGCCGGGCTTCGTGCTCGACGATTTGATAAAGATGAGAACAAGCTTCGACATATTATTGAGGAAGTCCAAGGCCATGAACTTGACTGGCAAGCATTGCACTTTGAAGCGAAAAGGTCCAACAGGGACCAGTGCTGGTTTGTCTTCAGTGGCCCCATTGAAGAGCAAAGCGATTCCAAGACAGAAGACGGATCTGTTTTCATCGGGAAACCGCATGATGACAAGGCTCGCACAATTGCCGGGTTCAGGTCGAAATGCGACACAGAGGAAGTAAAGCTCATTTCGGAGGCCCAAAAAGATGAGCACGATAGTACACGAAAACAATATCCGGGACAACAACAGGAATGGCGGCCTCCCAGGCCGTGTTTGGCGGTCCGCCTTTTCAAATATCGAGCCCGGCTGGCACAACTGACGATGGCCGGAAACCAGATAAGTACTCTGGCGACATGGGACGATCAGCATGTGGAAGTTCGGAACTGTGCTAGGAAACTTCAGATCCTCATTGAAGGAACTGCGGAGATCATGTTTTCTGACACCAGAAACATAAAAGAGGAGTGGAGAGATGTATCCTCTTTTCACTGGGCATTGAGCGTTGCCACTGTTTTTTATAGCCCACACTCGAAAAGGGATCCTGTATTCCTTGCAGTACGAAGGGAAACCGAGTCCAGTGCTTGGAAAGTTGAGCTTCCAGAGTTGGAAGCTGTGCTAGGTCTGTGGACATGGTCTTGGAAGAACAGGCCTTGGAGAGGCCATTGGGAGGGGAGGTATCCAGGAGGCCCAAGCGGGCACAATTACAAGAGGGTCATAAGTAAGGCCACGCAAAACGATGAGGCTGACCTCGTTCTATGGATGGATGGCTTAAAACGAAAGCCCCAAAGAGAGAACATGGTCGGCAGAAAGGGTGCTCCGTTATTTGGTCTGAACTCGGTCAAGGCAGGCACGCAGGACGTTCTTACTGTTCCCGTCAACTGTTGTCTCGTGGATGCCTGCGCTCAAGATATCTTTATGTCCTTTCTCAGCGCAGCTGCCAGCATCACCGACAGTTTCGGTGGCACGACGAAGCCGGGCATGGGATCCAATGACTTCATCTTGGTGAACGATAAGCTGTCAAAACTTGTTCAGATTTTTCTGGAAACTGGCCTTGGGTCAAGAGAAGACGCATATTTATGTATAGTTCCTGTGCTGCAAGCGAGGTCGCGACTTCCATCAGCAAGTCAGTGCTTGGATACCGCCAGGCTAGCGGCCTCTGATGCAAGGAAACGAGGAGATTGGAAACATGCTCATGCCCTGCTGGACTGGGCCTGGCGAATGTCCAAGACTTTGGCCGAACAGCAGAAGTCAACGATTGCACTTGGGGAGTTTTACCGCTGGGGAATACTGGACAAGAGCGGCAACAACCGAGGTCAATTTGATCTCTCCCAGGGGATAGCTTGGGTAACCAAGGAGAAAGGCAAGCGTTCAGCGGCAGTGGAGGAGACCTTGTTGCGCTACGAAGCGGTCTTCTACGCTATCCAAACCCAGAGCCAGCTGCAAGGCTCTAGCATTCTGGATGCGATGAGACAGAACCAGCACGTGGAAACGTTGGCGTTACTGCGGCAAGGAGTCAACTCCAATCAGGTAGACGAAGAAGGACGCACGCCGCTCCATTGGGCCGCCATTCGGGGCTGGATAGAGGTGCTCATCGGGCTCTTAGAGATCGGAGCAGCACCTGACTTGGAAGATAAACTTCAACGGACAGCACTGTCATATGCTGCTGAAAGCGGAAACCTGAGAGCCGTCCGAGTGCTCATTGAAGCAGGCGCTTTCCCGAACAAAGATGATAAGGCCCGTCAAACTCCACTCTCATACGCTGCTGCAGGTGGACACGACTCGGTCGTTGAGTTGCTTGCAAAGGACACGAGAGTAGCTTGCAATACCACGGACGATGAGGGCCAGTCGCCTCTCCATTGGGCTGCGAAAAATAATTGCTTAGCCTCAGTGAAGATCTTACTGTCCACAAGCAAAGCCAAGCAGCAATTCATAGACGCACCAAATAACGACGGGCTGACAGCGCTCATATTGGCGCTGATGGGCAGAGCAACTGAAGTTGCCGTTGAATTGGTGGACAGAGGAGCCAGTTGCGCAGTGCGAGTCAAGGAAAAACCGGCATGGCAATGGCTCATTGAACAAGGCCATCCGAAGCCCGCTAGGTTCCTTATCGCGCGTCTAAACGATGCTTTGGCTGCGGAAAACTCTCCTTTGCGGAACAGGGCGGACATTTATATATATCCAGAGTCGGCAGCCGAGAGCATCGTCGCAAGCCTTGGACCGGCCAGACTTCCGTCCACGGACGAAGTGGCCATTACAGTTCTGGACGAGACATTGGAATCAACGCCGGCCACTATAGATACCATGGTGCGTGCGGCACAGAACATGTACCGAGCATTGGCAATTTACTCTGCGGTCGAAGGCCAGCAAGTCAAAGTCTCACACAAGCCCATTTCGGAGGACGGACTGATGGGCTTAGTACTGGCCAGTCAATCCGAGGACACGAAAGTAACAGAAAAAGTCGTCAAAGCAGCGGCAGGAAACGGCAGGCACGGGTACACATTCTTGACCTCGCTGCTAGACCATCGACCTGACGAGGTGAAGGTCACAGATGACGTGATCACCGCAGCAGCAGCGAACAATGCCTTCAAGGGCCCTGACATTCTAGCTTTGTTACTAGCTCACCGGCGCGAGGAAATGAGGCTTACGCCAGTCATGGTCAATGCAGTAGCATCCGGCTACAGAACCCAAAAGATTATAGACCTCCTGCTAGACAGTCAAGGCGAGACAACGGTAATAGCCGAAGACACCGTCATAGCGATGGCAGCACATCGCCAGTTCGCCGGAATGTTTGTGCGCCCATTGCTGGCCTCTTACCCTGAGAAGATAACCATTACAGAAGAGGTAGTCAAGGCAGTAGCAGCAAATAAGAGCCAAGGTTATGTGGTTCTGACGATGCTCATGAGCTGCCGATTTGGAGCACTTCGGGTTACAGAAGATGTGGTTATGGCAGCAGCAGCAAATGGGGGGTACGACCATGGAATCATGAAGTTGCTGATAGTCTTCTGGCCCGGAGTGGTGGAGAAGGTGGCAGCGAGAGATGAGAGGCTTCGTGAGTATGTCTCGGCTTTGCTGGCTGAACCGCAGGAGGTGAAGAGGATAGAGGAACTAGTCGAGATATCACGGTAATTTCACTGAGTGTATAATCTTTGGAGAATATATACATAAACCAGAATGGCCAAAACGTTGGAACCCTACGTGTGCATTCATTGCTTTGAAACTCGTGGCATCGAATGGCTTCAAGGAGTAGACCTCGGCATAGCCATCTGTCCAGAGCACAGGAATTGCTTCCTACAGTCGAGGCCTTTTTTTTTGACATGCTAGCTAAGTATCGCCGCACGATGTAATACCTCATCGAGATCAGTGATAGAACTCCAATATTCTTCCTCCCTTGTCACGTGCATGGTGAGACCCTAAAACATCAATCGTATAGGTAGACATCAGCCGACGGCAAGGAGAAAGCGCGTTGGAAGTCTAAATATCATCAACTGACGGCCCAGGAGCAACCACCGGCAAAGAAGGCGGGAGATCATCAGCCGACGTCCCCCATCTACTCTCATTCCTCCCAAGGGTGAGAACAAGCTCACCCCCCTCGGTAAAGAAGTCATGGCTGATCCAATTCCGCGAATAAGGCTCTCCATTAAGTGTCGCAGACTGAATGTATATACTCTGGTATGTAGGATCGAAGTTGACTGTCCTTACCTTTGCCGTTCGGTTCGTGAGAGGGCTTGTGATATCCACTGCTTCGAAGAATGGAGCAGTTATTAAGTACACGTTCTGGCCAGGGTTTGGAAAAAGTCCCATCATCGTCATCGCGACAAAGGAGCCCATGGCGCCTGAGTCATCGTTGCCGGGGAGACCTGCTGGTGTAGGGCTAAAGAAGCGTGGAATGTAAAAGTGGGCGCGGGCAGTAGACTTCCCTGGTCGGCCGGCGTAATGATATTGGAACACGGTCAGAAAGGAAGGTTCGTTACCGATGTAGGTGATATTTCGGTCATGAAGATAATCGAGCCGACGGGTGAATTCTGCAGGGCCGCCGAGGAGAGTGACCAGTGTCAACATGTCGTGGGGGGTGAAACTGAAGAATAAGTATTTGAACATGAGGCACAGCAGGGAGACTCACAATTGGTATTCCCACAAGCTAGACTCGAACGTTTCTGCGCCGGTGTTTTGCAAGGAACAGGCACGGCCGCTCCCGTCAATGTTAGAGCATGCCATCGGGTCCTATGACGCGTTAGAGAGAGCGATCGAATGATTTGAAGAATCTGGCCACTGACCTGATACCCCCAAGTACCGTTCAGATTCCTCGGTTGGAAGAAGCCTTTGAAGCCGGTATCTGCACCAGATATGACAGAAGTCTGATCGGCTCTGAATAAATTCTGCCAGTATCTGCTTGTTGCTTCATATTTTTCCGCATCGCCTGTTTTGTTGAGACCACGAGCCATCTGGGCAATGGTAAAGTCATTGTAGGAGTATTCCAAGGTGCGAGATACACTCCGTGTCATTGTCCCAAAACCCAGATAGTCAAAGTCTTCGACAGGGATGTAATTGAGGATTCTCCAGCTTGCTAAGCCCCCGCGGCCTTCATTGCTCCAATCATACGGTTCCACTTCCGCATCCTTTTGAACAGCTGCATACCCATTATCCCAGTCAATACCCTCGGACAGGCCCTTGACATATGCGTCAGCAAGGACCACATCCGCATTGGAGCCTCCCTGCGTATAGCCTAGCAGTGATTCTGTTATCAACACGTCGTAGTTCAAGGAATTTGAAGTATACCTTTGCATAAAGACATGCGGCAATCAGGAAGCCAACCTAGATGTCGCTGCGTGTCAATCAACGACCGGACCATCCTTGACACGGCTGAAGGATCAACAATCGTCAGAAAGGGAAGCTGTGACCGGAAAGAATCCCAGAGGCTACAGACGGTTTAGAAGCGTTCTTCTGCAGCAGGACTTTCCTACCAGTAAAAAGAGTCAAAGTAGGGCTCAGCACTCCTCCAGAGCGGGTTTTCTCCTGTGTAGTCCTGAGGGTTGACCATGGTCCGGTAAATGCCGCTATAGAAGTTGGTGAGGACCGAAGAGCCAACTCCTGTTCTGGAGACACGGATAGGGGCCAACTTCCTTGTCCATACATTAACTGCAGCAGACCTGGTAGCATCGAAGTCGAAGTTAGGTATTTCATCTTCAGCGTTGCGGCACGCCTGAGCAGTACTAATGAAGCTCAGTCCGACGCGGGCTAAGATCGTGTGGTTTACATTATGATTGAATCGAACAAAGCCCCCGGCCTATATTTATCAGCCGTGCACTGATGATAAGCAAGAAGGCCTACCGGAAGAGGATAACCGTTGATGCTTCTGGATACCGTAAGGTTCTTCACGCTGGTATCTGCTCGAGAATTGACGAAGATCCCATTATCCCGGATTCCCGCGTCGCTGTCAAAGTCTGCACAGAAATAGGGCACATAAGAGCCACTGCCAAAGCTAGGTAGAAAGCGTGCATAACCTGTCAGTCGACCCGTGGTCTCATCAACAAAGATCGTACCGTTATCTTGCCGCGAATCAGACAGATCAGTGAGGTCCAATAGGATGAGGGGACTGGTAGTCTGGCCGGACGCAACCCGGAAGCGAAACAGGGATGTATGATGGGTCGCAGTCATGTGCACCTGGATACCGGAGCTCAAAGTCAAGCCGAAGTACCCGGGGCTGGCAACGACAGAGTCCCGGTCATATGTGGTTTTCCGCGTTCTCTTCGGATAGGTGCAGCCATTGACCTTGTCGTCTGTGCATGATACGTAGGGGAACAGCGGAAAGTTTCCAAGGGAAGGCTGTCCTCCTGTCCCAGAGTCGTGCAGACTGGAGAATCCAGTTATATTACTGTTGTCAAAGGTAAAGCCCCCCTGTCTGCTTGGGGAGTCCGTATCCGCGACGGCTTTGGCCATCCCATAGGGGATCGTCGCTCCGGCAAACACGTTTCCTTCGACAAGTTAGAGAGAGACTGATAGTAGCTAAGTACTCCTTCGTGAAAGTACCTCCATTTGTGCTTCCTATCAGTGGATTCACGTACTGCAGCACGTCGTAATCATCAACAGCAGCAGAAGGAGCATCGAGCCCACTGACCAGCGCGACCCGGAGCAGCGCGAGAAACAACGGATGGATCATCGGAACAGAGCAACCTTGTATAGCAGTAGAACGAGAGTCTCAACAGTCAATGGATTATTGTGCCGCGGTTCTGGAGTTGAGGTTCGCTCCTCTAGAATGGGGCCAGGTATGTCGGCACAACCACGGGGGAGGAACAGGGTAGCCACTTCCTCAGACCTGAGGAGTTCATTTCGGCGCTAATAGAAGTCATTTTCGATCAAGCAAACGCCCCTGATGATCGGTGGCCGGGGTCGTCACGGCGTCGACATGATGCACCTACCTGCATCATGCAGGGGAGAGTCGGAATCATTTGATCTAGGTCTCATGGCCATGGTACAACCTTGCAGATGTCAGCATCTTCGAACAGGGATAGGCCATCAAGATCTGGACCGCGAAAGGTCACAGAGATGCAGGGGATATGAATGTTCGAAGTCATTCGCCAAGGTCGTGGACTGACGCGTGACCACCTGGACTCCCCGACGCGCAAATGATTGGGACAACATGTTTTGATCCGGACTATTCTTGAGTCCGACACTGAAGTTGGAAATCGCATTTGAGAGTGATTAAGCCCCGGAGGTCAGAACCTGTTCGTATCAGCCGTATAACTGAGTCTATGTACAGACATTGGTATATAACAGATACAAGAGCGTCTATATGCACGCATGTCTATCCAGCGACACACCATACCATCCTCCATAATACCTGCAATGGAAGATAAATTGCCTTCAACCCAGCGACGCACCGAATCTGCCCACCATGTATAACTCTATTTAAGCCTTGAGCAGCTGCTTGCCGTCCAAGTAGTCGATGATCTGCTTCACAGCGTCCGCAATCGGCAGATCGTCGTTGTTCTTGATGTGAACCTCGGGCTTCTCAGGAGCCTCGTACGGAGAACTAATGCCAGTGAACTCCTTGATCACGCCCTCGCGCGCCTTCTTGTACAGCCCCTTTGGATCGCGAGCCTCCGCAACCTTGAGGTCAACATCAACGAAGACCTCCACAAACGGCAGACCGGTCGTATCATTAGGTGTAGGAACCTCATGCAGCTTGCGCGCTGTGTCACGGTCCGCGCGGAACGGCGAGATGAAAGATGTGATGGCGATGGAAGAGCTGTCAGCGAAGAGCTTCGCGACCTCCGCGATGCGGCGGATGTTCTCGTTACGGTCGGCATCAGAAAAACCGAGATCCTTGTTGAGACCGAAGCGGACGTTGTCGCCGTCCAGGCGGTAGGCGTGCAGGCCGCGCGCCAGCAGCTGTCTTTCGAGTTCGACAGCGATGGTGGACTTTCCGGAGGCGGAGAGACCGGTCAGCCAGATTGTGAGACCTTGTTGCTTGCGGAGGTCATTGCGCTCCTTGCGCGTGATGCCGGCGTGGTGGGTGATGTTCCTAGATGGTGGGGTTAGTTGGGTGTTGATGGCGGAGGAATGCTAGGGTTTTGGGATGGTAGAAGGGGATTTCGTACGTGGCCATTTTGAACAATTGAGCAGGTCACCTATATTCTATAGAGGATTGAGTGATTAGGAGGGCTGGAGGGAGGGAAGAGGAATAAGAAGGGGCGACAGAATGCCGCGTAATAAAAATGGGTTGGCGGGGCTCTTGAAACCGCGGGGGGACACCGACTTCGGGACGGAGTCCAAGACTTGTCCTCATCTCATGCGAGCATGATTGCTGATGTGTGCCACAATTTCAAGTATATGGCCATGGATTAGCACGTTACTTATGAAGCTAAAAACAATTGCTCAATTCAGGCTCAGATACGGTATATGTACGCTACCAACATGCAGTTCAGTAACCAACCAGGTAGAATATAGACAAAATAACCCGGCCGGATCAATTGAATTCGAAATCGTAATACACGTAGGCCGTGTAGTCTGCACCACCGCCCTCAACGCCATGCATCTCGTTCGGATCCTCCTTCTTGACCCGGCCCTTCTTGTCTCGTCCGAATGCGTTCCCGGCCAGGTACGAGTACTTATCATCGAGGTTCTTCTTGGCTTTATCGGCGTGCTTCGAGCTCGGTGTCTGCTGGCAATTAGTCTTAGCTTCTCGGATATATGTGCGGTACATACCTTCACAAGCGTGCAGACAAAGTCCAGCGGAAGACCGTAGCGGAGCACCGTCTCCACAAATACCCGGAGGACAAGCACATGTACCCATACCATGACGGCCTCGCTCCATGACGTCCGGCCCAGTCGCAGTGTCTCACCCCAGAGCTTGCGCTCGTCGCCGCCTACCCTCTCCACCTCCCGACGCTCCTCCTCCTTTCCGCCTTCCACGTACTTGAAGTCACGGGGAATCCATTTCTGCTCGCGACACTTGTGGACGAACTCGGTGCTATGCTTGCGGAATGTCGTAACGGCGTACAGGGTAAACTCATCGTCGGAGGCGACCAAGTTCGCGGAACGAGGAACAACCATGGGCGATACCGTCTCGTAGGTCTTGAGGAAGTCTTTCACTTGCTGCGCTGGGACGGCTACGAGGTGTGTCTCGATGTATTCGGAGTCCTGGACGAGTCTGCGGGGATCAACAACGGATGCAAGGGACTTGGTGGATAGGTTTCCGCTAGTTAAGTTAGCTAGGGCTCCGCGAGTATAAAGCTGGGCAATTCACGTTTGTTTCCGTTGAAGAGTAGCCAATGTATTCTTGATCTGGTTGTACTGCGAGTATTTCGATCGGAGGTCACTGTCGATGCTGACGGCTTCCTGCCACAAGTTAGCTTGGATCGATATCATTCCCGCTGAGCGTACCTTTTGTAAGAGATCAATCAACTCAGATAGCGACCTGTCGGCGCGGTATTTGACTTTATTCCATGAGAACGTCCGGAGGTACTGATCCACAGGCTCTACCTTATGTCAGATACACCCCGCAATACAGCAAATGGAGGACTCAAAGCCGGACGTACTATCGTTCACCGTCTTCATCTTCTCAATCTGCGCCTCGTCACCGTCCAGGATATTCTTCAACGCATCGCCGACCTTGCTGACCACACCCTGACAGGCAGCCTCTAGCTTGGCCAACTCGTCCGCTTGTTGCACAAGGGCATCGAGGGTACCGATCTTGAATTCCGGAATTGGAAAAGGAGCGACGGTGCCGTTATCCGCGGCGACAGTAGTTGTGATGGCGTCAAGGGCATCATCCCGGTGGTGCGAGGGAGTGATGGATGAGGGGAGGGAAACAAGGAGGTACTTGGTTGATTTGGACATGACGAAGGCTGTGGAGGAGGCGAAATATAAAAGAGAGCTATCGCCGCACCTGACAAGGCATGGGACACTTGTGATGGAAGCTGGAGGTCGGGGATAAGTGATGTAGTGGGTAGCTGTCCGGTTGGATTATTGCCCGAAGCTGCGGTTGGCGGAGGCGGTCGGGGCACTGCGGAGCCTATACTACGGAGTAATAGTATAGTGACTCCAAGTTACAACCCAGGCAACTGATTTTCTTGTGTTTCTCTCTGAATATCCGAACATAAAGACTAAGGTAATTTATTAAGTCTAATATATCTTATCTAGAACTGTAGAACTATGTACAAGAATGAAACCAACATATCTCCTCTATACGTCAAATACCGCAATCATTATGTGTCCACCATTCAATTCGTTGTAGGTTTGTTAACAGGCTTAGTTGACGAATTTGTGCAATGGCGCCTGCAACTGGTTAGACCTGTCCGCTGATAACGAATAGAACATCACGAGTAAAACATACCATGGACGCATTCTTTGGCTCGATGAACAAGGACTTGGCTTCAACAAGCACATCCGGCTCCTGCCCCTCCTCGGGAAGAGTTTCAATGCGCGCCTCAACCCAGGCCTTGCGGCCTTCAGACTTCGTTACCTGCGCGCGCATGACAAAGTAGGAGTTTGCCATGGCCGGGCGCCGGTAGTCGACGTTCAGGTTCGCAGTCACGCCAACCTTGCTGGGTAGGACGGGGAAAGCGCAACGTCCCATGCCCTCATCCAAGAGCGTGGCAAGGAAGCCGCCGTGCACAATCCCTGGATGACCGGAGACCCTGGAGCCGAGATAAAAGAAGGTAACCAGAGTGTTTGTGTCGTTGTTGTAGAATGCGGTTGGGGGAACAACGATGCCCCCCGAGTTCGACAGGGTACCGGCCGTGAGACTGCGGTCACGGATCTTCTCTGGGATCTTCATGTACGGCCTCGATTGGACGTATGCAGGGTCTTCCCGCAGTGATACAAACAGCGGGTGGTTCTGGATGTGTTTTTCGACTTTTTGCGACAGCTCATCCGAAGGAGTAAACATGGTGAGGGTTTCCTCATCTGTTGGGGCGGGGCTGAGCATGGCGGGCAGAAAATCTTTTGTAACCTGGCCGCCAATGCCAAAACCAAATGCAAATGCGGCGAGAAATGTAAATCCAAACAAGCGACGGAGACGTGAGGGCGGTTTTGTGTACGGAGTACCTTCGAGAGCCTGGCAGTTAGCAACACGAATCCGTGGCAGAACAGGAGACGCGACCTACCGATGGTGTTGTAAGAGCGTTGAAGAGAGCGTGACGACAAAGGAAAGTGAGGGAAACGGGCTAAGCCCAGGGCTTTTGTAGAAGGACAAGAAACATGGAGCCTGGATGCAGTGGAGACCATCCGAATAAACGTTGAGGACGGCATGGCGACGGAGGAATATGGGGCCCGGAGGTGTTAACGAGAGTGGAATAAGGAGCGAACGGTCAGCGGTGAGACATGGATCGGTCAACGATCTGGAAGACAGACAATGATTTGCCCTAGAGAGTTGCCTCGGACATGAGATCTTCAGATATCTACTCCGGACAGTCAGTGTCTGGTTGACTTGGTGGCAGAGGTCTTTCGGCCTCGGCGGGATGCCCAAGGATTTCCCTTCTGGGCCGGAGCCGGAGCGACTCAGAGCCGGCTTGATTGTGATTGGCTGCGGAGTGGCGAACGCAAATGAACCTCGGCTCTTTTATTCTCTCGATTCCAACCATTATGTTGAGATTAATATGGGATGCTTGGCCTGGCATATTATTGAAAGAAAGTGGTTTACGACGGAAGCTGAAGCTTCTCGTGCTGGGCCTTGTGCAACAACCTTGAGCATCCGGTATCACCAAGCATGCACTGATACCTTGCCGTACCTTATAAAACTGTCTTTTTCTTCTAGATCTAAAAATTCGGTGGACTATTCTATACCCGGTATATACCCGTGGACTTCTAATCTACCACCCTCTACTGTCCCCTTGCAAGACTAATGACCTTCTTTGCCGCGTCCTCGAAACTATCAAATGCATGCAGCGGAAGCCCACTCTCCGCAATCTACAGGACGTCAGTGTCAGCACCATACCTCCTTAACACAAAATCAGGCACGCTGAGCAAGAGAATAAAAGATAGAGAGATGTATACATACCATCTTCTGTCCACTCTCCTCGTTCGTCCCCCTCAGCCTCACCACCACCGGCACGCTCATCTTCAGATCTCTGAACGCAAGAATAATGCCCTCAGCAATCATGTCACACCTCGTCAAGCCGCCGAAGATATTCACAAAGATGGCCTTGACTCGAGGGTCCGAGGCTATGAACCGGAAGGAGGACTTGACTGTCTCAGAAGTCGCCTTGCCGCCAGTGTCGAGGAAATTGGCGCATGAGCCGCCGTGGTGCGTAAGGGCGTCGACAGTATTCATCGCTAGGCCAGCGCCGTTGACTATTGTTATTTGACTCCAATTAGTTTGCCGCAGTGGATAGATGAGGAGGACTCAAGTCTCACCTAAAGTACCGATGCTTCCTTCGCCATTGAGTCTATATTCGTGCTATGGTCAGAGGAAGTGGTAAGCTCGTGTGGTTAGGACTGCAACGTACTTGACGTAGACGATACCGTCCTTCTCTGCTTCCACCTCCTCGGGAACTTCTTCCTCGACACTTCGAAGAACATGGACATCCTTTTGCCGTGATGAGCTCCGGAAGGCAGCATCATCAAAACCAAACCTCGCGCCCCGCACCTCCAAAGCATTCCCAGGGGCACTATCACCCACTCGAACTTCCAACACAAACGCCTCTTTCTGTTTGAAAATCTGCCACAGGGCCTGGACAAGCTCTGCGATTTTCTCATGTGCTGACGTTGAAAGACCAAGTTGAGTCGCAACCGCTGCGACGACTAAGTCCGAAGCACTAAAGCTTCCTTTAGTATATGCGAAGGGAATACGGACAGAGCTGCTGGACTCAAAGCCAGCGGACGTGGAGGCGATGAGCGCGGGAGAGAGTGCGGTTCTGTCAATAGTGAGGGAGAGGTGAAAGTCCGACGCTGATGGTGTGGTCTCATTAACGGATATTCCAATTTGTTTGAGCATGTCGAGGGCTTGGAATTGCTTGATATATAGAGTTCGGGACTGGGTTCTTGGAAGGGATTGTTGGCGCCCTAGCATGGCTCGTCTCATTGTGTGCATGCCTCTTCTCTGGTTTCCGAATACGGACTATATTGTGAGCTTTCCTATGCTCCTAAACAGGTAGGCGTAAGATACTTACGCCATGGCTTGTAGTGCCAAACCGGTTGGAGAGAAGGGCCTTCATTCCCTCACCAAACTTCTCTGGGTGGTTAACCATGACCGCGCCCGCGCGCTCAAGAGCTTGATATTTCTCCTCCGGCCCTGGCTCACCGGGTGCTGTCCAGGCGCCTGCATGGCCCATGATCCGTCCGGGAGGAGCTTGTCGACCGCCGACTAAAGCCATAATCGGTCTTTCTTATTAGCATCAAGGAGGATAGGTGGAAGGAAGCACGTACTTCGGGTTGGTAGTCCTGCGATGATACTCCGTAATCCACTCGGCCGCATCCATTTCGGCTGTCCCGCCAATTTCACCAACCAGGATTATACCTTCTGTATCCGGATCGTTTTCAAAGATCTTCAGGGCGTCGACAAAGTTCGTTCCCGCGAGTGGATCGCCGCCCATACTGATGCAGAGACTCTGGCCTAGTCCCGCACGTGTAGTTGAAGCAACAGTCTCATAGCTTAAAGTACCGGACTTCGCAACGATTCCTACCTTCCCTGGAGCGAAGCACGGCAGTGGCTGGAATCCAATGCGACATTTCCCAATTGCTGATATTATCCCTGGACAGTTGGCGCCGACGAGTCTAGTTTTGGACTGCGTTTTGAGTATAGAGTGGAGCTGTCGCGAATCAGTATACACTCGATCATTTTTAGTGAGAAGGCATAGGCACTCTGAGAATGTCATGAAGCGGGACGTGCTCCGCCACTGCAACGACAAGAGGTATCTCAGCTTCGATGGCTTCCTCAATTGCCTTTGCTGTCTGATTTCCTGGCACATAGATTGCCGAGGCATCTGGTTTCGCTCGCTCTTGAGCCTGTTGCAATATCAGAGCCCGTCTAATAACTGAAGTCTTTGGAAGCGCACGGCTTTAACAGATGGGAAGACAGGCAACCCAAGGTGTTCCCCTTCTACACCAGGTTTAACGCCTCCGACAATCTTTGTTCCCCATTCCAGAGATTCCTTCACATTTGCCGTGGCCTAGCAGGTCAGCTTTGCTCTGTGTTTCTAATTCGAGCTAGGTATACCTGTCGGCCTGTAGTTGTTTGTTAGCTGAGAAGTGGATATCCGGCACAGGCGGTTTACCGGTGAATCCTTGGAACAAAACTCTGGTGTGTGCCCCAATTTTGAGGTTTGGAAGTGTATCCGCATAGTCGCATGTCCGTAGCGAGCTGGAGAAGTGCTTGATCTGCTGTAATGAAGCTCGCAAGTATGGCGTTCTCCCCGCCCGCACAGTTAACGAGCACAAGCCGGGCATCGCGTTGGGGCCACAACGTTTGACGTCAACAGTCCGAAAAGAATTTTATCTCCTCTCATAAGCAGTCTAACTATATAACAATCTGTGTGAGAATAATCGAGGTCCAGAAAAACACAAGGCTTGGGGAGCTTTGGTGAACAACCTCGGGAAATCTGGGGTCATGCATGAACTCCGCGCCGGTCTCGGACTACTCACCGACCATTTCCGAGGCCCTGCGGCTTACTGTCTAGGGCTGTGTTGATAGGCTCTCTCGGAAGCTGGTCAAAGGCGACTATCTCTCGGGAGTCGGAACTATACATAATACCGTAGGTACTGCCACATGCCCACGCAGTGGCGCGCACACCTTGATACAAAGTTCGCGCAAAGTTCCAGCCGAATAACCGCCTCCATATAGCCTTTTGATATGGGGAACCTGGGGTACGGTCCTCGAGGCGGTGCAGACTGCAAAATGCCCAAAAGTCTAATTGATAATTATCAGGAGAAAAATCTGCCGTAAACCTCAGTGTGATATCAAGCCGTACGCAATCGATCCCAGATAGGACTGAGCATAACATGCATGTTGTGTGAACATGCAGTCTGTGGCCCCTGGGTCTCCCCGTCATGTTCAGGTCGACCGTCCCGTCGATCTTCTCGGCCGGCGTCGTCGATCGTCTTGCTCAGCAGTCCCAGCATCCAACTCGGCGACCTTCCAATCATGAAACCCTGGCCCCATTGTTTTCGCTCCCACATCCCAATTACGAGACTTAACCACACACCGGCTTAAAGGCGGGGTCAAGGTTGAAACGCAGCAAGACTCCAGAACTGACGCCATACATTATCGCACATCGACTATTAATAACTACAACCAGCTTTTCGACGCGGTCCAGACACGGACTAGAACATCGATCCCCCATCGACCCCCCGTATATAAGAAGGTTTACGCGTGGAGCATGGCTACAAAGACTAAGACTGTTGCGAAGGGTTCGTCTGTTTCTTTCTTTGTTCTTATTCCGATCGCTGTTCTGCTCGTTTAACTGCTCTGCTCTGCTCTGTCTGCTGTGCTGACATCTGAGAACCGCCTCTTGTCTACTTATCGTACTCTGTACCAGTACCTATCTTGGCTGCTATACTACCTCGCCAACCCTGTCCAAAAATCCCCCCAGCTAACGCCGCCCCAATGTCCGCAGTCGCAGCAACATCCCCAACCACAGCAGCAGCAACCTCAGAACTCCAATCCTCCCTCCGCGAACTGCACATCGGCGAGAAGACATCCTCCATAACCGACATCCCGCGGCCAAAGCTCACAACCAGCTCCGCCCTTCCAGCCAAGAAGAAGAAAGCTCCCGTCGTCGCCGACTCGTGGGAAGATGACCTCTCCGACCAAGATGCAGACTCAGATAGAGCTGGTGACGAGCTAGAATCACCAAATGTCGCTGCGAGTCTCGTCACCTCACCCGCTATAGCAGAAGGCCCTCTCGACCCCCCACCCACGCCGATCTCCCCGCAGCTGTCACAGCCGTGGATTGCTAGTGCGGCTACGGTGGCGGGTGGGTATGGACAACCGACATCTACGTCGACATCTGCAAGGGACCCCAACCGGCGACCCGAGAAACAGACTGCTGTTGCGGGAAGGTTGATTGCCGGAGCCTTGGGAATTCGGGCTCCCAAAAGGACGGAAGAACAGAGAGCATATGACCGGGCTGTGAAGGAGCAGGAGATTAGACGGAGGAATAAGGAAAAGGAAGAAGCGGCTAGGGCTATGGAGGCAGAAGAGAAGGCAAAGGCTGCGGTCTGGGATTCTTGATTCATTTCCTTCGCCAACCTATATGTTTAATGGGGTTTCTCTGGTACGGTTCATTGCGTCAAGGTCGTTTCTTTTCATGTCTGGTGAACTTAATGCGGAGTTGAGCTGTCTGTGTATGGAATATTCAAGACCAGGAGTGGAGTTTATGCTGGGTTACACTCGTGTACGCTGATATAGGCAGGGCGGTAGATTATCTTGCTTTCATAATATTCACGCGGGTATGACAGAAGTTGGCGTAAGCCACTGGGCTCTAAAAAAAACGACGGCAATTGTAGCGTCAAAACGCTCAGGTACAGACAGAATAGCCTGTCCCAGGTAGTGACCTGTCATTTCCATTGGCTCACGTTGTGACTCCCCCTACAACATGAATAGCCCACCCGACCCGGCCAATGCTAACAATCACCTATGCGCCAGAAAAAAAGTTGATGGAATCGTAGAAAGAGGAGACCCGCCGGAGGATCGAGAAGAGGATATATCAAAGGTTGCCTGTTAGAATTCGTCACAAGCGTCTAGCCGCCGATCTGTTCTTGGTGAACTTCGAGGGTGTCTCCGTCGGCCATGTCGAGCTGTTAAGGAATGATAATATGTTAGCCATAGATTTACAAGGGCGGAATTGCGTAGGTAGTCTGGAAACTCAGTTCATGAACGGCCGGAGAACGTACCGTGTCTGGCGTATCTTCTGGACGTACGCGTGTTCCATCAAAGAGAAAACGGACTGTTTGAGGCTGCTTTCCTTGACGGTCACAGAACGCATCCATGAGCTTTTTCAGGGTAGTCGATCGCTTGATCTTGAAGAAGACTTCGTTGTTGTTGTCGGTGACCTTGATGTTGAGGTGCTCAACAGGCGCAGGGGCGTCTGCGGGGGGAGCAGCGGCATCAGACATTTTGTGTGAAGTTTTCGAACGGTCTCGAGCAACCGGTAGGAGAATTATGAGGCTTGCGAGTCTGCGAGCGAGCTTTGCGTTAGTGTGTTGTTCGTTTGGTGCGATCTTGCGATACAATGCGGGGTAACAGGAACCGGCTGTGGGGAGTAGAGAGTCGACTTACATGGCGTTGAGTAATGAGGATGAGTTTGTAGACGTCAGATATTGTGCCGTCAAAACTCAGAGGTGAGGGAAAAGAGGAGGAAACTTGAAGGTGTTGCGTTGGATGTAGGAGGCGACGAGAAGGTGATCAAAGCCCCCACCAGCGAGGAAGAGCGGAGAATCTATTTTGCGGCGCAAGTCTCAGGCGGTGGAAGTGAGATGAGGTATTCAGTCAGTTTATCACTCAATTGACGTTCCTAGCCAATCGTTTCTTGCTCATTAGGTTACTTGTCTTTCTTGTGTGTCTCAAAAAAGCCCGTCTACATTGCTTTTCTCTCTCCTCGTATACATATTGTCAATCGAGTTCATCGTGTGTGCGCATTACATCATGGTAAGCGGATATATATGTACCTAGGTATGGCCAGAGGAGCCTGGATAGAGATAACATATATTAGGGCGGATTGAAAGAGGATATAGCGTTCGATCCTCCATGCCATCCACGAGCAGTAAGGCCACACTTGAACGCTTCCCCTTGACCCTTCGACCAGTGCTTACTACGATTAGTGCGCCATACAAGGTAGTAGACTCACTCCCGAACCATGGGCATAATGAACCAAGCATTAACAGCGGCAGCATGTTTGACCAAGAACTCCTACCAAGAGGAAAAGTGCCAGGCTCAAATCAACGCCCTGTATGAATGCTGCAATTCTTTCTACAAGGAGCAAGGCGAGGACGCGAAGACTCCGAGCTGTCCGAAGCCGAACCTGCTGAAGCTGCGAATGAAGCAGCGCGGGCAGGAAGCTTCATAACGCATGTCTACAATCATCCCTCCGTTCTCGAAGTGGCCGCAATGTACATAATAGACCTGCCGTATATATAGAAACGTCGAGCTCCACTGGTACTGAATGGCAAAGGGTGGAAGTGCTGTAACAATTCCCTTGCAGTCTAAGCTCCCATATAAGTGAAGAGCTAGACTAGTTGTAAGAACTGCTGGATTGTTCTAAGACAATCTTGAGCACGCGAGAGGCCGATTGACCTGAACGAAGATTGAAGCGCTCGTTCCGAGACTCTAATGATTGCCTAAATGACATTAGAGAAGAAAAGAAAAAGAAGAAAGGGCCAGCAGAACCGTGTGACGATTTTTATGGTGTGGAGGATATGGAGCTAGTCCATTTCCAGGTTAGCGGCGGTCGACCAAAACAGCGTGCTGGGCCAACGAGAATTCATGCGGTGACAAGTTAAAGAGGCAGAAACACATTGTCGCGCGGCTTCATTGCTGGGATTTTGTTCTTTTTCGCAACCTCTAGCTTATGGCTCCGCTGAATAGAGCCGCCGGGTCTGCCGGTCCAGTTTCTGGCTTCACGTCATTGAATGTGAGTACTGTTTTCGAGCTCGATTCTTCGCCGAGAGCCTCTAACCCATCCCTTCGTCTTGCAGCAGAACCAACGGCAACCAAACAGCACCGAAGTTATCGATCTCGACGACGATGATGACGAGCCTATGGATGATGAAGAAGAGCAAGGCGACGATGACGAAGTGTTAGAGATCGAGGACGACGAGGAGATGGAGGAAGAGGAGGAAGAGGAGGAAGAGGAGGAAGAGCTGGAAGAGGAAGAGGATGCTTCAGCAGATGATCGGAACGGCAGCGAATCGCCCTTGAACCTTGCCGGAGCACCTAATGACCAGAGTATGATGTTCCGACCTGAGTCTCGACACAATTCTGACGGCGTTACAGATGAATTCGACGCCACATCCGAGTTCTTTACATCAGCGGGCGCACAGCAGGCATTGCATCCCCTTCGCCGGACTGCCGACCGCGTTACGCGCCAGATCGAAGCATTCGCCGATAAACTGGACCGGTTTAAACAAAAGGCCAACCGCGATGACGAATTCCAGAACTACCAGGCCGTCTACCAGCTGGTGAAGGGATACCAGACTATTGCGCAGGACGCCATTCAAGACCTTTCCAAACAGAACACACTAAAGAAAGCGAAGTCAGGATGGGGATTGAACAACGGCAACAGCACGAGCGACCCTAAGACCGAAGAAGAACTGCAACGGTTACAGCTAGAAGCGAACACTTGGCAGCTTCTGCTGAACCTCGTCAGTGTCGACGACCCCGCTAGCAAAGCCAGCTACCGACAAGCGCAAGATACCGCTTTCCAAAAGCTTCATCGCTATTCGTCGGATCGCGAGGTTTGGGAACAATTCATGAAGGCAGACCAATACGCGGTGGAATGTGTGGTCATCATGAAGTGGCTGGAACAAACTGCGCGCTCTTCTACCCAGGACATTGATTCTTTGATCTCGGAGCTGGAAAAGCAAGCCGAAAGAGGACAGGGCGCCTGGACTCACGGGTGGCTCTACACCAAGGAGACCATCAAGGGACAGAAGCGGCTACGAGCCTGGCCTCAACCCCTCGAACCGAATGATCCAGGAATTACGGCTTTCTTACTGACTTCTGAGCATTCCGAACCGCTGGTTACGCAGTTGGATCCCGACGCGGTCACCCGCCAGAAACAGAATCTCCAGAGAAAGGACCAGTTCCACGAGCGTGCCACATGGATGACGTGCTGGAAAATGCTTCGACAGGGCGAAAACTGGACTAAAATCAGGGAATGGGCGTCAGATCGCCTGGAGAATTGGCGCGCAGTCAGTCTTTGCGGTTCCAGTGTTGATGCGAAGTCCGGGGGGGAATCAACACCTCTTCATGATGGGGTTACACGTATGATGAACTGCCGGTCGCAAGATACCTGGAGAGCCGCTTGCTCTAGCCTGTCGCGGGATTCGAAGACTGAAGACTTCGAGCGGGCTGTTTACGCACTGTTGTGTGGTGAAGCAGACACGGCCTACAAGGTGTGCACGAGCTGGGACGATTTTCTCTACGTCTGGTTCAACCACCAGGTATTGTCCCGTTACAGGGGGTTTTGCAAACAGCTCTCGCGAAAGATAAATCATCCGCCCGCAAACCCTGTGGCCTTCAGGCCCGAACCTGCGGCTCATGCCGAATTCAACACCTTTGTGCAGTCCACCAAGGGTAACGATCGAGTCGGAGGAGAAGCTCGAAACCCCTACCGCACTATTCAAGCCGCAATTCTGGGTAAAGGATATGACTCCTTCTTCTCATCCTTGGCCAAAGCAGTTTCGCAGGCGGCTATCAATAGGGATGGACCGACATATGTGCCCAACCTCTCGCCCACATATGTGGACGACTCTCTGCTAATTGCGGCCGAGGATCGCGATGCGTTACGGATTGCCGCCCACCTCTATGTCGTCGCCGACCACACTGGCTGTGTGCGTAATGATCACAAATTCCTGGAGATCGCATCCGTGAACGTGATTGGTTATATTTATGACCTGGAAGAAGCCGGGCTTGTTGATATCATTCCGCTCTATGCGTCTCTTCTGACCGACCTTGGGGCTTGTTTTGTACTTGGTGATGTGCTGATTGAGATCACCGACCCGAAAGAGAGAAGGCTGCTAGTTCACTTGATACACAAATACGGGATTGACATTGAAGAAGTTATCGCGCAACAGTGGAAATCGATCACTTCTGGGAAATCGGCTGTCGAGCATACAAGAACATTCAAGCATGTTTCAAAGATCATCAAGCGCAGAGATGGTAACCGTGAGCTGGCGCCTGCCAAGAAAGATTTCATTGGAACGGAAGTTTCGCAGCAAGACGAGCGACTTATACGTAGTCTTGAATGGCTTCGCTTTATTGACGGGCAATGGGGCCGGATTTGTCTTCTTGGGACAGTGCTCTACAAGAAGTTCTTCAGTAAGTTTCATTGTGGCTGGCGCCGAACAATCACTAATGTCTTCAACAGTTTCCGGCAAGCTTCCTGCTGCTCGAGAGCTAAGCCGGCGAATGCGGCTGTCGGAGATCTCCCGTGAGGCCTTCGGATTTGATATCGCCGAATTCTATCCAGCGGACTATGAGAATGGAACCGATGGCGGCACCCCGGAGCCTTCCAGTCCTTCAAAGCCGAAGACATTTGGACATAAGCGGAATAAGTCGTCCACCAACAGCCTACAATCCACGAGCAAGCACCAACTTCTCTATGCGCAATCGAAGACTATGCGCGACTTGGAAGAGCTTATCCTCGCCTTTGACGCTTTGGAGAACTTCGCCCTTACCTACGAAAGATGCGACGAGCTCAGACGTCGACGAGACTCGGCAGCAATCAAGGGCATTAAGGAGGAAGTTCATGACGCCTTGGACGCAATCAGTGTCCATGTCGATGAAATACTCTATGACTGGCTAGTCAGCCCTGACGACGGTATGACCTACCCCTCCCATCGAAAACTTCCCAAATCATCATCCACTAATGTTACTCCAGAAACCGAAGCCGCCGAGCTCGAACAAATCCGAACCACCTACATCCCCGAACTCTTCCTCGAGTACCACAGCGCCCTCTACTACTGCGCACACATCGTCAGTTCCGAGCTCCTAGTACAATGCATGAACCTCGCCATGCAGGTTGCGGAGAACGAACCCATAACTCGCAGCTTTACGGCCGGGAAGCGCATGTCCGAGCTGATGGAAGCCTTGGCGCTCTCAAGTAAGGCCATGGTCAATACGCGTGCTAGGCCTGATGCCCGATCTGCTGGTGGCGAATCGTTGGGGCTTTGGACTGTCAAGGTCTCAGAGGAGGATATCGAGGGCCAAATCTTGGGAGCTGAGAGCTGAGATGATGGAAGGAATGTGGTTAAATAGATATCTTTTTCTGCATGCATGGTAGGATCTCACCTGCCTTCTAGTATTTACAGTACTCTATCTACTACTTGAGCATTGGTGGATGGATGGGTCGGGAATGTACATTACCGTGGAAAGGCGGTTCATGTCCTTTTGTCTTCTTTCTCTAGTGAATAGAGAGGCACCTTTTACATTCTACCTGCGTGCTCCTCATCCGCTCCCATGGCCTGTTATATGATGACCCAGAGCAGACGAACTGGTCGACATCTGAAGCTTTCCTCCGGACGGGGATTTCTGGAGATGGTGCGAGGTGACCTCATAATACTTTGACTGTCCACCCAGATAGAGGTCGACACCATTCGTAGTCTCGGTAGAGACCAATAAGTGCCTGGAGACCAAGTACCAGGCCTGAACCTCTACTACGTAGCAAGTACCCTTGGGACTGCAAGGAGGTGCTAGAGCCCAGGTCTCGTGAAGGCGCCGCCTGACTTCAAGGAGGGAGGATTGCAGTCATGGAATTCGGGATGACTCGTAGACGTGGGATTGTATTATTGACGCCACTGCTGCACTGTACAGAGTACGACGCTGTTAAGGAGGCGCCTTGACCCACGTTACGAAGTACGGAAGTACGCGTTCATGTCTGAGTGACCGCGAGCGAATCGATATACCTATCCGCATAAGATACACCGATTCCAAACGAGGTGATCTCGGGTGGCGAGGATTCGGCAGCGGCTTCTATCTGCTCTACGGAGTTGTGTAGTTGGCCGGGAGATGATTGCAGATAACCGTTGGAGTTCAGAACCTTCCAAGGGGTTTGGATACATGTTAAAATCATCGTTGTTTCACTTTGATCAGCCAATCCCTCGGTCATCGGAGGGATACCCTAAACGGAGAGACTCCGTCGTACGGATCGCAGATTCCTGATACAGGAGGCAAACTCACCTATCACGTCGCAGATATTCAGATTCAAGCCCTGAAGAGGCGTGAAAACACGTCATGCTGGTCGTGGACTCGCGGCCTTGAATTGTATAGACAGGGACTATGGGGTCCTCGCCTCCTTTGGGGCAAGAGGCCTCTTCTTGATCTGATATGGCTGACACACCTGCATCCTGTAGTGGCAACAACTCTCCAGAAGTGTCGAGTGCCACTGTTGTACAGAGTACCAAGGAAATAGTATGATCTTCCCCCTGAAACAGGGACTCCCAGAACCGTTCACAGCACGCGTTGCTGCATGGACTTGGTGATGCGAAAGCAGTGAAGCACATTGCAACTCTATCCGAAATCAAGGATACCGGCGCAAACTAGAGGGTTTGTCAAAGTCTTGATTGTGAGCACCACTGCAAGCAAGAACCAATAAATAAGCAGCATGAAAGTCAATAGTGAAGCTTCATATTTGGCCGAATTGAAGGAAAGTGGAGTGGGGAGTAGTGTGATTTTGCACAGCCTCTGCCAAGCCCCCGAATTCAGCAACGCTATTTGTTTGATTCTTGGACTGCAGCTTCGGCTGCGAGCTTGAGCATCATTCCTGCCATTTAATAGAGAGGTTCTGCCACGGGAGCGCTCGGCGAAATCCATTAAATTTGTAGTGCCGGTAGTTCTAAATTAGGTAATATTATGTAACCCTAACACGGCGCGCTAAGTACGCTAAATTATTAAATTAAGTGTAATATTTACAATGCTATATAATTTTATATAAAAATATAAATATTATATATAACATGTTAATTAATAGTATTAACACCCCCCTTAATATTCCTAGTTACTAAAAATAAATAATATAATACTATTTATAAGTGCCTTAATAGTGTATATTAAAAAAAATTAATTAATTAATATTATTAACTATATTTACCATGGCCCTAAGCTTTATTAATTATTTAAATTTAACCTTAATTAAATACCGCGAGAGCGCTAGTTATTTTACTTTTAATAAGTAAAAAGTACTTTTTTTTATATAAAAACCTTTTATTAATTAAAAGTAGCTTTAACACCCGGGAAATTTATTAAATTATACTTTTTTTTTACCTTAAAAAAATTAAATATTAATATTATAACATGCTAGATTTTAAGCTTGCCTTTTGCCTTGTATTAACATGCCTTTTTTTTTTTTATAAAATAAAAATTTTAAAAAGCTTTTTTAAAAAAAGTAAAGGCTAGTTATTATATATTTATATTAATACTTTTTTTTATATTACTAAGCGCTTTAAAAGTATGCTTTATTAATATTATTTTTTAATTTATATAAAAGCTTATAAGCTAGCTATTTTATATAATAAAAATACTTATATTTAAAGATTTATAAATAGTATTTTTTAACTTATATATAAGCTAACTAATAATTAATAGTTCTTTTATTTTAAATATAAAAAGCTTTATAAAATAAAGTATTAAGGCCTTATTATATTTAATAGCTTAATTTTTTTACTTTAGGGCTTATATAAAGGTAAGATTAATAATACTAGTATATAATATTAAAGTAATATTAAGTAGTACTTAAGGTAGTTAAATAAAGGTTAAAAACCTTTATATTTATATAAAAATAGTATTTATAAAGATAAATATAATATTATTATTTTATATAACTAGGTTAAAGGTAAGGTTCTTCTAAAGTAAGCTATATTTAATATTTATTTATTAATATTATATATATTAGTAAAGCAAGCTTTTAGTTTAATTTTAAAAAATTAAAAATTACTTATATTTAAGCTATATTAACGCGTTAAATTAATTTTAATTATAGCTAAATATAAAATAATTATTTTTTTAATAAATATAATAACATGCCTTCGCGGAAACTAAATATTTTAATAATTTAATATTTAACTAATAGTAGTAAAGTAATATTTAGGTAAAGTATTTATTTAAGTATTTTATAAAGCCTAATATTTAACCTTAAACCTTATATAGCTTTTTTAATTAATAGTTTATATAATTTATTCTTACCCGGAAATTAATTAAATTTAACTTTATAAAGCCTAGTTAAAAACACCTAGGGATTAAATAACTAAAAATATTTATAAAATTTATTTAAAAAGGGGTTATTTAGTAGTTAGATTATATTTTTTAAGTAGCCTTTTAAAAAATAATTAATAGCTAGCTAAAAGTTTTAAAACCCCCCTTTAAATAAGTAATATTAGTTTAAGTAGTAGTAAAAAATAATATAACTAAAATTTATATAAAAATTTAACTTGCCAGCCCTGGAGTTTATATAACCTTAATTTAATATTTTTTTCTTATAAATAGCCACTTTTTTACTTAATTAATTAATAAATTTTTTTAGTATTAATATATAGCCTTATAATTAGCTACTTATAATATAATGCTTTATTTATTAAAATATTTTTTTTTTAATTTTATTAATATAAAGCGCGAAGGTTTATAAGGCTTTTTTTATATATTTATTATTAGTATATTTTTTTCCTGTTACTTTAATATAAAGTTATTTAAAATATTTATTAATAAGCTATATTAATTACTTTTTTATTATTTTTTAGCTATAAGTATTTCTTTTATAAACATGTTTAAAATTAACCATAACTTTGTTCTAAAATTAGCATGGGCTATTACTAGTTATATACTTTAAAATAAAAATATTATAACTTATAATAAGTTATAAATTATTATTAGTAAAATTCTTTTTAGCTTATTATTATAATTAAAATTAAAAGGTAGCCTATAAAATAGCCTGCAAGGTGGCTTATAAAAGCTTTATAACTAGCTATATTAAAGGTGCGGTATTAACTTGCGCTATAAAATTAAAAAATATTAAAGGTACTTACGCCTGTAAAAAGGCTTTAGGCATAGTAATTTATTAAAATAGTTAAGAATTAGCCTAAAAGTTAGCCTAAAAGTTAGCCTAGGTACCCTTTATATTTAGTTATACTAAAAATATGGTACTAGCTTGCGCTATAAAATTAAAAGGCGTTATAGGTACCTATATTATTAAAAAAACTATTAGTATAGTAAGGTAATAAAAATTAACATAAAAAATAGGTTATTAAAATATTATTATTTAAGATATTACCGGCGGCCCAGGTAATAGCAGTAATATAAGTATTAAATTAATTAAAAATTATATTAATTACTATTAAAAGTTAAGAAGTGTCTTAATAAATAAACTTTAGGTATTATTTATAATATAAAAGTTACTTTATATATAAATTTTAATATAAAGTAACCTTTTTAAAATATTAAAACGTGTTACAAGGCCTTAATAAATATAATACTTACTTAACCGCGCTAGCGCTGCACTAAGCCTATTTAAATTAAGTAATAGGCACGCTTAATAAGCTTAATACATGCTTAATTTTTTAGACCGCCTTTTTAATTAAGACGGCCCTCGGGCGCGCTAAGCCAAATTAAATTAAGCATGCTGTTAAGCCTACGTGGCAGAACCTCTCTAATTCGTCTTTTGCCGGCAGTGGTTTGTTGGAGTTGGAGGTCTGATGGCGAATCTGGCGATATGCGGATGCCAGCGTGGTTAGGCCAGGGTTGTGCAGAGGTAGCTGGCAGTTGGGCGCTGCGGGCTTCGTATTTGGCCCTGAGAGATTCGTCAGATGAAAGAACGTTGAATACGTCGCGGAGTCCAGGCCCGTGGGTTTGAAAACCTTCTTCTTGACAAGAGTGACAGGAACTCGATAGAAACCGGCGCAGGAGAGGTCTGCACTGCTGGTTGAATAATGGAACGACGGAGTATGGAGACGGGAAGGAGGCAGTGCAAGAGCGCCAGCGAGTAAGGTTGGCGGGGACCATGTCAAGCTCCGTTTCTTCTTCTTGTGCCAGCCAGGGCCCATAAAAGGGGATGATTCTGTCTTGGAAAGAGGCTTGAAAGTCAGCTAGACGGTAGAAAATCTGTAGCCTGTTGATTTGTATAGTTTCGCAGTCCCAGTCGTATAGCCCATAGCACATGTAGGCCGACTCATGAAAAAGGCAACAAATACGAGTTGGGTTCTGGAAGACCGATCGGTGGGCCTGTGGAGTGACGGAAGCAGGACGTCTTCACCACTCTTATTTGACCGTCGCATCTCTTAGTGTCTCCCGCGCTCAGGGTCTTCTCCTACCTTATTTTCTTTTTTATCATCGATTCATCCTCATCCCCTTGGCTTATTCTTTCCTTTGTCAGGTCGTTTGCTGGCATTGGCTGACCCTTGGGCACCCGCAGCCTCGTTTTCCCTTCACTTGCACTGTTCCTCTGTTATATCGCTGAATGGGAGCTGTCTCTCCTTGCTAGCCTGTGTTCATGACAGGGTCGGCCGCCGTCCAGTTGCTCCTTCCGGAGCCACATTCCTATTGATATCCATCTTTTCTTTGTTCGGTTGCCGTCGAGGCTCCTTGAGGGGCGCCGTCTCACCCTTGGCCGACCATGTCCGAGCCGAGACCATCCAACGATAACAATGAGTCCAGACAGCCTGCCTCCACGCCGCTCCGCCGAGAACGAGCGCCCACCATAACAATCGACACTTCGGCCGTCACCTCCTCGGACCAACCCCAACCTCCCCAAGTCGATGTTCCATCGCAGACTTCGCAGTCACGGTCTGCCAACAATGCTGATCACACAGACACCAGCATGCTCCTGAACAGTAATACGGTCTCTCCTTCGGATACCCGCTCAGCTCACTCAGTACGATCATATGCTTCGTCAGAGGGCAGAGAGCACGATAGCAGGCCAACCTCGCCGTCGCCTCGCAGCAACGCCTTTTCACCCAGTACAAAAATGGGAGATCCAATGGTTCATTCTAATTACCTCTCCGTACCGGGTGCCAGGTCTCGCGGAAACTCCATCGAGTCTGAGGACTCGAGTCAGATTAATGGAGCCGAATCACACCCAAATGGAAGGAATGGGTCGCCTTCTAATTCAGCGAAGACTACGCTCGAAAACTACGAGGAAGCTCTCCAGCCGGACCCGGGCCATGAAGCGGAATTTGAGGTCGAGAACAACAGCTTCGCGTTCTCGCCCGGGCAGCTGAACAAATTGTTGAACCCCAAGAACCTTGGCGCATTTTACGCTCTTGGCGGCCTTGCTGGTCTTGCAAAAGGTCTGCGAACCGATGCGCGCAGCGGTCTGGGCTTGGATGAAACCGAGTTGGACGGCACCGTGAGTTTCGAAGATGCGACGGCCTCAAGCAATAATCACCAGTCCCTGCCTAAACCTGCCGCCGAATCGCCGCCCCCAGAACCGTCTCAAGCGGATAATAAAACACACAAACAGGACGAAAATGCCTACTCTGACCGCAAGCGCGTATTCGGAGAGAACAAACTCCCTGAGAAGAAGACCAAAAGTATTCTCGAACTCGCCTGGCTCGCGTACAATGATAAAGTGCTCATCCTGTTGACGGTGGCCGCCATTATTTCGCTCGCCCTCGGAATTTACCAATCCGTTACTGCAAAGCCTGGCGAGCCGCGGGTACAATGGGTTGAGGGTGTTGCCATCATCGTCGCGATTCTGATCGTTGTGGTCGTCGGTGCAGCCAACGACTGGCAGAAGGAACGCCAATTCGTCAAACTAAACAAGAAAAAGGAAGATCGTCTGGTCAAGGTGATTCGGTCTGGGAAGATGACTGAGATTTCCATCCATGATCTCCTCGTGGGTGATCTCATGCATCTAGAACCTGGCGAGCTTGTTCCGGTTGATGGCATTTATATCGGAGGCCATAATGTGAAATGCGATGAATCTTCCGCCACCGGTGAATCAGATGTGCTGCGCAAGACGCCGGCTCAGGACGTCTTCGCTGCCATTGAACGACATGAGAATCTCGCCAAAATGGACCCGTTCATCGTCTCTGGTGCCAAGGTGTCGGAAGGTGTGGGTACATTCTTGGTTACGGCTGTTGGTGTGAACTCGACTTACGGCAAGACGATGATGTCTCTTCAAGATGAGGGCCAGACCACACCACTGCAGACAAAGCTGAACATCCTCGCGGAATACATTGCTAAACTGGGTCTGGCTGCTGGTCTACTGCTTTTCGTTGTCCTGTTCATCAAGTTCCTCGCCCAGCTGAAGAGCCTTGGCAACGCCGATGAGAAGGGTCAGGCTTTCTTGCAAATCTTCATCGTGGCCGTGACTGTCATCGTAGTTGCCGTTCCAGAAGGGTTGCCCCTGGCTGTTACACTTGCGCTTGCGTTCGCTACGACTCGTATGCTGAAGGACAACAACCTGGTTCGTTTGCTTAGGGCATGTGAAACAATGGGAAATGCGACAACTATCTGTTCGGATAAAACGGGTACTCTTACGGAAAACAAGATGACTGCCGTTGCAGCAACGTTAGGCACCAAAACCAAGTTTGGAGGGAAATCCCAGGCGTCGTCACCCACAAGCGGTAACGAGGATCGCCCTGCCGATTCTGGGAATGCGTTGTCCCCTTCTGAGTTTGCGTCGAGTCTTTCGAAACCAGCCAAAGAGCTTCTCCTCGATTCGATCGTCCTCAATTCGACCGCCTTCGAGGGAGAACAGGAAGGGACCACGACATTTATTGGATCTAAAACCGAGACAGCCCTCCTCGGCTTCGCGCGGACATACCTCGGACTAGGATCGCTTAGTGAGGCGCGTGACAATGCGAGTATTGCTCAGATGGTGCCGTTCGATTCTGGTCGCAAGTGTATGGCTGTCGTGGTCAAGATCGACAACGGAAAGAAGTATCGCATGCTAGTCAAAGGCGCATCTGAGGTTTTGCTGGCCAAATCGACCAGGATTGTTCGTGACCCTACTCAGAGTCTTGAGGAAGGGCCTCTGGATGACAAGGATCGTTCCAAACTTGACGAGACCATCAACAACTACGCTACTCAGTCTTTGCGAACCATCGGCCTCGTCTATCGCGACTTCACCGAGTGGCCCCCTCGAGGAGCACCTACGCAAGAAGAAGATCGGTCGCTTGCTGCATTCGATCCCATCTTCAAAGACATGGTCATGTTCGGCGTTTTCGGTATTCAGGATCCCTTGCGAGCCGGAGTCACGGAATCAGTTGAGCAGTGTCAGCGCGCAGGTGTTTTTGTGAGAATGGTTACTGGAGACAACATCGTTACTGCGAAAGCAATTGCCCAAGAATGTGGTATCTTTACTCCTGGTGGTGTTGCCATTGAAGGGCCCAAGTTCAGAAAGCTCAGCAGTCGCCAGATGACGCAGATTATCCCACGTCTGCAGGTTCTCGCCAGATCCAGTCCGGATGATAAGAAGATCCTTGTTTCTCAGCTTAAGAAACTCGGTGAGACCGTCGCCGTGACTGGAGATGGAACAAACGATGCTCAAGCTTTGAAGACTGCGGATGTTGGTTTTTCCATGGGAATCACAGGAACAGAGGTTGCGAAGGAGGCGTCAGACATTATCCTGATGGATGACAACTTTGCTTCTATTGTAAAGGCTATGGCTTGGGGAAGGACTGTCAACGATGCGGTGAAGAAGTTCTTGCAGGTAAGTCATAGAAGAATCTATCCATGTCAATATACTAATTAGCATAGTTCCAAATCACGGTCAACATCACGGCCGTCCTGCTCACATTTATCTCTGCTGTGGCCAGTGGCGACGAGGAATCCGTGTTGACTGCAGTTCAGCTTCTGTGGGTCAACTTGATTATGGATACCTTCGCCGCGCTCGCTCTCGGTATGTTTGCCATCCAAAACCTTATATTATAAGCTAACAGCAAGCAGCCACGGACCCCCCGTCACCCTATGTTCTCAACCGTCGACCTGAACCAAAATCTGCGCCTCTCATCAACATGACGATGTGGAAGATGATGATCGGGCAAAGCATATACCAGCTGGTCGTCACACTCGTTCTTAACTTTGCTGGGAGATCTATATTGAAAGGTATCATCGACTTCAATGGTGATGAAGATGCAAACACTGTCCTTACTACGGTGGTGTTCAATACGTTCGTCTGGATGCAGATATTCAACCAGTGGAACTCTCGCCGCTTAGATAATGGGCTCAACATCTTCGACGGTCTTTTCCGCAACCGGTGGTTCATCGGCATCCAATTCATTATTGTTGGCGGTCAGATTTTGATCATCTTCGTTGGTGGACATGCCTTCTCCGTTACACGCCTCTCGGGAGCGCAATGGGCAGTTTGCCTTATCCTGGGTGTGATTTCTCTGCCGGTTGGTGTGATAATACGACTGATTCCGGATGAATTTCTTCGCAAGCTCATCCCGACCTTCCATCGCAAGAAGCGCCCGGAGCTTATTGTTTCTGATGAAGACAGACGTTTTGAGTGGAACCCTGCCCTCGAGGAAATCCGAGACCAGTTGAAGTTCTTCAAGTCTCTTCGTGGAGGTCGCCTAAGGAAGGTGGCTCACAAGCTGCAGCATCCTCAAGAACTCCTCCCTCGGTCTCGCAGTGGATCAAGATCGCGCGAGAACTCTGCTCCGGGAACTCCCGTTGGCGACAGCAGCGAAGGCACTCCGCCGTTTCCTGCGACACCTGAATCCCGTTCAAGGAAGCGCACGCGTTCCCGCTCGAACTCGGCCTTTGGTCCGGCGGCTGCAATGGCGGGTATTGTGGCAGGCAGTATCGCTGGCTGGTCTCCGATTGAGCGCCCCGGAGAAGGAGAGGCGTTCAAGTTTGACTTCAATAACAATGGCAATGGAGGGCGGAACAGGCAACCGGGCATCGAAGTCCACCCGGACACTGCTCCGGATGACAACATCATTGGTGATTACGCAGCAACGTCGACAACCCCTCCGAGCCAGAACCCTGACCTGATCCCATTCTTTGAACACGCTCCCCCGGCGCGGGAACCGTCACACCGAAGTAGACGATCCAGATCACGATCCAGCCAAAGCCAATCATGATACCTTACTCAGTCTCGATCGAATTCGTGCGTTTGCTTTTCGATGGAGTATCAATTTCGCTAGCTCCGACAATCCTACCTTTCGTATCTGTGTGCCTCGTTCAAAAGTACTATGGTGATTCGCCTGCGATGTTTTCTGCTATAAGCGGTTCTCTTCCCATCTTGTCTTCATTCTCTCGGAAGTTTAATCACTGGTTGTTTGGCGTCTGGATGACTGTACCACATGCGTCTGTTTTTTATCGCGTTTCGTGCTGTTGCTTGCTTTCTGAATAGACAACCCACATCGTCCATTCGCATCATGGTTGGGGTCTTTTAGCCTGGCGCTTTCGGTGGCTCGCTTGCTCTACTTCTCGGCTCGTTTGTGGCCAAGGGCCCTTTTGCCTATTCTACTTTAGCAATACACTATGTACTACACACAATTCAACCCTGGTCAAATGCAACTGAGATGGTCTTTACCAAAGTAATTAGCTAATGAAATCGTTTTTCTGATTGTTCTGTGACATATTACTTTTTCCTGAAGTTGCGAGGCCCTCCCTGACCAGTGATGATTAATGTGGAGGATTTGTTATCAGGGGAACTCCGGAGAAGACTGAAGACTTTCGGGGTTTGTCCGGAGACAAGGCCATTGTCGTCTGTCACATGACGCGGTTGTGTTCCGCGTGTTTATCAGGAAAGTACGCCCGCAGTCTGTCTCCAAAGATACAAAAATGCTGCAACGCAAAGATGTCGACTAGGGAGCCCCACGGGACAGCACGCCCCCTCAAGTCCCGCCGAGTGCCAGACGAGAAGCGCAAGCGGGCTGCTCAAGCGTAGGTTCCTCAGCTACTTTGTTGACTACGGAATGAGCTGACGTCTATGGCCAGATGTGACCGCTGCAAGGCCCGAAAGAGCAAATGTGTTGGCGTCGATACGGGTCGATGTCAGAGGTGCACCCGGGATGATAGGGTTTGCAATGTCACGAAGTACTATTCCGGCGTATCTCCAATGAGATCCGGATCAACTTCCCCACGACGAACAAGAACAACCGTCGACGGAGTGTCCGAGCCCGCCGGCTTCAAGACCCTTGAGGCTAGTGTGGATATCAGCAATAGTAAGCTGAGGGCACGCTCAAAGGGACGCGCTTAGCTGACCAGCTAACCCTAGGCGCAGTGATGAAGATAACCTGGCCCAGGTTTCTGCTACAACTCCGTGAAGCGCTTGCTCTGGACCCTCGCATAGAACTAGAAGAAAGCGATATGATGGCTATGCAGACTGTACGTTCCTTAGACTACTAGTTTGTACTATGAATGACTGACGAGTACAGCAATACCATCAGCCGACGATTCTACAACCAAATGAAATCAAACGCATCCACAAAGCATCTCGTGCCCTTCCCCCACGAGCCGTTGCCGACTTCTTGATCTGCGTATGCTTAACCCATGCGTCCGATGTTTTCTTCTATCTCGACCAATCCCAGTTTCTGGCGGACGTCGACCAATTCTATAACCAACCAGCGTCTCCTCTGCGCCTTGATAGCGGATTCGTGTGTCTTATCCTCTCGGTTCTAGCGTTGGGTAGTCAATGGACGGAGCTAGAAAGGCCGTCAAGCTTTTCAGCGAATTTACTTCCCGATGACAGAGAGCCTGGGCGGGTCTTCTTCGAGGAAGCCCGGTCACTAATTCCAGACCTCATGGACCGGACCTCCTTGACTTCAATCCAGGCGCCGTTTATACTAGGGGTGTACTCGCTTCCAGATCGGGCACTCGGGTCGGCATACTCTTATATGGGATTGGCTTTGCGCAAAGCTGTTGCCCTCGAAATCCATCAGCAGGGGGATGATTCGCGATTCTCGGAGCACGAGATACAGGTACGCTGCCGAACATGGTGGTCGGTGTACTCTTTGGAGAGGTGGGCACTTATCACTTACTTTTGATTGGGAAACGTTCCTGACAAGTATAGGACTACTGCTATTAAGCTGAATCGTCCACGATCTATTGACCCTGCAGACATTACCACACCTCTTCCAGTGTCCTTGCCTTCCTTGGACCACGCGCAGGCAGTAGATAACATCCAGCACCAGATAGCATACGCGAGCTTGGTGATGATTCTGGATCGCATTGCTGACCAAGGGTGCGTAGCCCCCTCTTTGCCTCCTATAATACTAACCTCAGTTTTAGGACCAAAGCACGCCATGGTTCCCAAATCGATACATTGCAACTAGAACTAGAGACCTGGAAGCGCAACCTACCTCCAGCACTACGAGTAGAAAACATCCGCCCAAAAGATGCCGATTACCGTGCCGTCGTTCATCTACAACTCAACTACCTTTACGCCTGGATCGTCCTAGGCAAGGGCTCTCTCCTAAATACCATCCAAGCTCACGTCCGACGCCAACGGCCGGACGCAGATACAGTCACACACATAAGGACTGGGCCAAGCACAGTCCTCGACGACTTGGCGCTATCCTGCGTTGAAGCGAGCAAAATGATCCTGTCATTATGCGAATCCCTGTCACGCAACAATCTCACTTTTCGTTTTTCTTTTACGGACTTTCAAGGTTGCAGTATCGCAACCATAGTAGCTATTCTGGCTGGAATTGTTGAGCGAGACGCGCAGTACGAAGCGCGTGTTGCCTTCGGGTTGAATCATCTCCGCACTATGGCGCTCGGCAACCTACCGGCTGAGGTTGGGGTCCGATTTGTTGAGACCCTGCAGGCGATCTCGAACGAAGCGTTTGCAAAGCTTGGGAATGTCGGTGCATCCGGGGATGAACATTATGCGAGGGAAGCGAGGCACGAAGATCGGAATGCAGCTGGGTATAGCCAGTGGGCCCAATGGGTCTCATCGAAAGCCAGCCTGAACAATACCGATCAGGGGCGAGATTTGCAATTTGAGGTGCCGAATTCGAGTTTTGGACCGGTGTCCACATTGTCAACTACTACGTCACTTGCGCAGACTTCAGCCTCGGCGATCTCGAGCGATCATCCCCCGGCGCATCAGGATTTGTCGAATATGGTGGCGATGGACTCGCCGCTACCTCTTGACATCGACCCCCAAATGGTCTGGAGCCATGATGACCAGTTGGCGCTGATGGGCTTGACAGGGCTAGACATGCTCGAGTTCGATATCTCCTCAGTACACCCAAACCCATATACCTGATATGTCTTATGATTTGTCCTTAGGAGACTGCTACTTCCTAACTCGCACTGGAATATCCGCATCCTCCTTTAAACCGTCCCACTGACTCTTATACACTCTTCCCTCCTTCATGACACCCATGAGGCACTCGTCGGGCCGATCAAATATAGTCACATCTTCCAACGGGTTCTCCTTGAGGAAGAGCACATCGGCCCAGAAGCCCTCCTTGATCTGCCCAATGGCTTCAGCTTGCCCCATCATCTTCGCTGGGTTGATGGTTGCGCTCTGCAACACCGCCAAAGGACTCAGCGCCTGGGCTCTGAGTTTGAACTCGCCCGTCTGCGCCAGACCCAGCGGGCCTAACAGATCACTTCCATAACAGATTGTGACACCCGCATCAGCCGCAATCTTCAAGCTCTTTAACCCTGCACTTAACACCTCAGTATTCTTCGCCTGTCCATCCGCAGGCAGATACCCCTTCCACTTCTCTGAATCCATCTCCGCATACGAAATCAGCGTCGGCGTTAGGTAGATTTCCTTTTCGACCATGACCTTGGCAACCTCTTCCGTGACAAAATTGCCATGCTCAATCCCCTTCACCCCATTTTCGATCGCGTGCAGCATAGCTTTTGGCGTATAAGCGTGAGCAGTAACATATGTCCCCGCGTTCTCTGCACATTCCACAATCGCCTGCAATTCTTGGGTCGTGAACTGCAGCTGCTCCAGGCGATCGGTCGGTGTGGAGACTCCTCCAGACCCCATGATCTTGATAAAGTCCGCACCGGAGCGGATCTCCTCGCGTACAGCTTGCATGCAAGCTGGAACGCCGTCACATATTCGGCCCAGCCCATTCGTGTGTCCCGCGCAGCACTGGACGTGGTCGTGAGCTGAGCGGATATCCCCGTGCCCGCCGGATTGCGAGAGAGCGTGACCTGCAATAAACAGCCGCGGACCAGGAAACACGCCTTCTTCGATTGCCTGCTTGAAGGCCAGCTGTGCGCCGCCGCAGTCACGGACGGAGGTGAAGCCGCGGTGCAGCATCTGCGTTGCGACGTAAGGTTGGCGCAGGAGCGAGACGTCGTTCCAGTTCCCGAAGGCTGTGGCTAAGCTGGGGAAGCCTGGGACTGCGACGAAGTGGACGTGGGCGTCGAAGAGGCCGGGGCTGATGTAGAGACCTGTGCAGTCGACTGTGATGTAGGATTGGGGCAGAGCCGAGTCGGACGGACGAGAAGGCGAGACTGAAGTGATCTTGCCACTCGTTATCGTCACATAGTGGTTTTCCTTTATGCTGCCGGAGACGACATCGACGATGTTTGCGCTGGTGAGGAGGTAGGATTGCGGAGGTGGTCGGAGCCAGGGCTTGATGTCTGCTTCTGTTACGGAGGCCATTTTGCTTGAATTGAACACAACAAGCACTGAGATTGGGAAGATAGGTAGAAATAGAGAGGGGAGAGACGATAAGAGATAGTATTATAACACCAGCTAGTGTGGAGTAGTTGGGGTTAAGTGGGCTCGTCCTGGAGTCGGCAGTCTGCACCCGACATCGGCAAGCTGCATCCCGACTATCACTGGAGTTCTACAGCCTCGATCAGCGCCAATCACGGATCTCCATGCTTAGCGACTTCAATTACGCTTATCATTGCCAAGTCAGCTGGCCCTTTCAAGCGTTGGAGGAACTCCGAGTCGAGCGAGATATGGCGGTTCGAGTCAGGAGCGGCTGGTGCACTTATAACCGGCGCTTCCCATCTCTCGCCAGCTGGTGCAGTCGTCACTCACCAACGCCGTCGATATGGAGGCCTCTGACACAAAGGTTCGTCCCTCGGACGATGAGAAGAGACGCTCAAGCGAAAACTATGATGGGAATGGCACGATCGAGACATACACCGAGGAAGAAGAAAAGGCTCTTGTGCGCAAGATCGACATGGTCATCTTGCCTTTCGTACGCCCTCTACTTCCTCACTGCTCAAACAAAAGCACCACTAACAAATCCAGATGTGTCTCGTCTTCCTCCTCCAATACCTCGACAAGCAATCCCTCAGCTACGCCGGCGTCTTCGGCCTCATGACAGACCTCAACCTCAGCAACTCGCAATACTCCTGGTGCAGCTCGATCTTCTACATCGGCCAGCTCGTCGCCGAGTACCCCTTCATCTACCTCATGAGCCGACTCCCGCTCACAAAGTTCGTCGGCGCCACCGTCATCCTCTGGGGCATAACCTGCGCTTGTCTCGCGGCGCCACAAAACTACGCTGGCTTCGCGGCTGTTCGGTTCCTACTCGGTTTCACAGAGGGCGCTGTCTCACCTGCGTTTGTGACGATCACCTCGATCTGGTACCGCAGCCACGAGCACGCATGGCGCACAGGGCTGTGGGTGTCCATGAACGGAATCGCCCAGGTCATCGGGTGTCTGCTCATGTACGGGATCGGGAAGAACGGCAGTCTCGCGCTCGCGCCATGGCGCACCCTCTTTATCATCTGCGGAGCCCTGACCATCGGCGCGGGCGTGGCCTTCTTCACCCTCATGCCGTCCGGTCCAAAAGACGCATGGTTCCTGAATGCGCGCGAGAAACAAGTCCTCGCTCTCCGCATGGCGAAGGACCGCGAAGGCGGCGACAAGACTTCCTTCTCCACCCCACAACTCAAGGAAACGCTGCTTGACCCAAAAGCCTGGTGTGCGTTCTGGTTCGGCGTCCTGGTGACCATGCAATCTCCTGTCCTGACATTCGCAACCCTCGTCATTAATTCAATTGGCTACTCCCAGCTCCAGACGATGCTGTACACGGCGCCTTCAGGAGCCGTGCAGGTCGCACTCCTCTGGATCGGAATGGCGCTGTGCTGGATGCTCCCGAGACAGCGGACTATCGTCGTCGTAATCCTCTGCATCCCGCCCATTGTTGGCAACATCCTCATGCTCGTCCTGCCCTTGAGCGCCGGGTGGGGCGTGATCGTGTCCGCATGGCTGGCCTCCTGTATCACGGCCTCTTGGTCCATCCTCCTATCCCTCGTCGCGTCGAATGTCAAGGGGAACACCAAGCGCGCTGTTGTGAACGCCATGTTCTTCATTGGGTATTGTGCGGGCTGTATTGCGTCTCCGCAGCTTTGGACGAATCGGCCGAAGTACCTGGAGGGGCTGATTACGGCGCTTGTTACGTGGGGACTGCTCATTTTCACGACCATGGTCTATCGTGTGCTTTGCATTAGGGATAATAAGCAGCGGGAGAAGGAGGGCGGTCCTGAGGGGGAGGAAGGAGGGGTATCGTACATGGGTACGGATACAGATGTCACGGATAAGCAGGATAGAGCGTTCAGGTACAGTTGGTAGATAGGACACGAACTCGTAGCCTACCTTTTCTGGAAAAAAAAAAAAAACATAATATTCGGACATAGAACCAAACCAATTATGCATTGCAAAAAATCTCTCCAGTCTCCTTCACAGCCTAAAACCCGGGCAAGAATTTAAGCTCCTGCGCAGCCTGCATAGCCCTAACAAAGTCCTCCGTGGTCTCCACCGTAGCATGGAACCCAAACTTCCGCGCCTTGCTCACATCCAGCATCACCTCATGCTCGAAGCTCGCGCACCCATCCGCAAACGCCCAGCTCGCCTCGTAGAAAACACTTCTATCCAGTCCCTCCCGCTCAACCAGACGCTCCCAGGCCTCCCGCACGCGGCTCTCCTTGCTCCATTCAACCAGGCTATTCCGCAGCTCGAAGACAGTGTGTTCGTGCGGGTTCCGAGGATGTGGGGGGCTTGCTGACTTTCTTGACAGGATGAGGACCCGGCTTGTTAAGCGCGTCAAGCGGCGCCATGGGTGTGTTGAAGTGCGCTGCGACGGCGGGGAGGACAGAGGACCAGGTAGCAAAGTCGCCGTTAGCGATGTTGAAGGCTTCGTTTCCGCAGGCGGGTGTGAGGGCGCAGAATTCCTCGAATGTGGCGTTTAGGTGGGCGGATGAGAAGGCTAGAAGGCGTGGTATTTGGCCGCTGTGCCGTGCCAGGTTATGGGTCGTTGAGCTCGCGGCTGGCCGCGGCCTAGAGGCTAGTGGCTAAGCTGGACAATACCAGCGTTTGGATTAGGGTCTGGCAGGTTTAGCCTTGGGGTATGAAGGGGCTTGCGCGTGTTCATGAAGTTTTGGGACCGAGGTCCTTGGTGATGTCCTCCTGTCTAGGAAAGGGCGCAAGAAAGTGCCCACCTTGGACCCAATCTGCAAAACCAGCCTTTACATGCCTGGGCCCTCCATGGCCAGCGCGAAGTTTCTGAGTATCTGACCTGGATGCATCCAAGCCAGCAACGACCTACTACCTCTGTTAACCCAAGTAACAAACTCACTCTTATCACCAAAGCGTTCCATCTTCAGAACTCGACTCCTTATACGCGAAGAAAAAAATATACTCGATTTTCCCCTTCACACCGTCAACCGCCTGCTTGTTCTTCTCAAACCCACCCCATAGATCGATGGGTATATACTCGACAACACCCTCTTTGACCTTGCAGGAAAGGAGGACACCGGGAGACGGCGTAGATCTGTCCAGCGCTCTGGAGCCCACGCCAGGACTTGCAGCGTATAGTGGCCTGAGATGCCGGTGGCGCGACGACCATGGCGGTCTTGCTCTTGATGTCTGGGTACGTTGGGGCCCGCAGTAGACTTGGGTGGGTGACATTGTGGGTTGCTTTTGGTGGTGGTGATGGATAGCGAGGCTTGTGTCAATGGCTATATCGAGTAGGTCAAGTTTTGAAAGCCGGGGTATGAGACAGGGAATGGCTTTTATAGAAGAACTCAAACAGTGAATTCTTCTGTTATCGGCGCAAGGTAGGATGGGTAGAAGCAAAGTCCACTGTAACCAAGGACTCCGTATGTAGGTACCTACCATAGCTTACCTTACAAATTACATCCGCAGTCCACTTGCACACATCAGCGCTAAGTTATTGGGACTATGCCGATACTACCCAAGGCTCTTTATTTACTTAAGACTACTTGAGTCTCGTTCTGTTCTACGGCCTGCTGCTCGTTCGCTGTCGAAGAAGCGGCCTGTCTCGTGGATCAGGCGATAGGTTTCCGAGTGGATTGCCTCATTCCAGGTTTTGTGGCGGGTGTCGTTGTCGGAGGCGGATATGAGAGGCGGGTAGAGGAGGCCGCGCGAGGAACTGGATAGGGGAGGCAGAAGAGTCATGAGAAGATGAGGGTGTTGGAGGGGATCGGGCTGAGGCACAAACACGGATAGAACAGGGGCAATGGTACAGGTGGCGGCAGTCGAGGTTGTGGCCGCGGCAGTACCCACAGCGAGGGAGCGTTTTGTCGCATTGTTTCTTGCGCACTTTACAGATGCCACAGACGATCGGGGCCCTGGGAGGTGTGTCGGCCGCCATGGTGGGTGGTGAGTGGTGAGATGATTTGGGAAGCAAAGGCGAGGGCAAGACCACCGTAGGCTTGTGGTGGCCGCTCTGCCGCCAAATGTCGGCCGCCCAGCCCAGCCATCAGAAACTGCCCGCCCAAGCCATTGGCCTATCTGCGGACCTGAGTAGAGTGTCAAGTGCTGGATACAGTATAGGCTTGAGGAGCACAGAGTGAACGATAAATCTTTTGACTTTCAATAAGTAAAAATTGTAGGCTGGCTCAAAAGAAGGGTAAGTGTTCATTCATATATCCATATTTTACCCGAGATGATGCGTGTCATGTCCATCATTTGAAGATGCCATCAAGTATGATAGACCGTTTGATGGTGAAGCTATTGTACAGTAATATGATGGCCCAGGCTCCTTGTCAGCCTTCGCTGACATGGATCATTGGTTTACTTAGCCGTATTCTCCACAGTATGGGAACTCTCCAGCCAAGTTCCAAACTCGTCAAGCCGCTGGTTCTCATCCTCGTCTTCAGCGTCGAAGCCCTTCTCGGCCAGATCCTCAAGAGCAGCGCGCTTCTCATTAGTCTTGCGGAACCGCTCGCTTCCATCTGAGATGTATGCTTCGACTGCCGTGCCGCCGAAGAAGCGGCCGTTCATAAGCTGGGGATGGCATATGTCAGAATTATGGTTCATTGGGTGCTTTGTGTTTGTGAATTATGGTGAGAAGGGTACCTGAACACAAGCCTTAGCAGACTCTGGATTTGAGAATCGGACGCTGACAACGCCCGCTTCTTCCTTGTCGTAGAGGACGACGTTCGTAACCTCTCCTAATTTGGAGCACTCGTCGCGAATGTCTTCTTTTATGTCCAGTATCGCAGCCGGGTCCTCCTGTGGGATATCAAAGTTAGCACATATTATATAGGCGGTTGAGGAACAGAACGGAAGCGTACATCTAACTCGTGAAGCGTAAACATATGCTTCAAAATGACAACCTTCTCAAACTTGGAACTTGTATCCACCAGCGCAGCCGGTTCATCGTCATCCCAGTCGGCGAGTTTGCTACGCATACGCGCGTCAGTAGCTCTTCTTTGCCCAAAACCAGCAGAGCCATACTTATTGAGTTTCTGTGTCCTTTTGATAATCTTCTTCTTATCCCGCATGCTCGTCTTCGTCGGCGCCTCTTGCTGGCTCTTGAAAGAGAAATCCGCTGCCTGCACGCGCATGGGACCCTGCGGCCCTGTTACGCCCAGCCTAAAGTCCGAATCATCGAGCATTTGAATCGCGAGGTTGACCGATTCGGGCCGAAAGTAGACCACAAGGGCTTCGCCTTTGAACTTCCCATCGTCATCCGTGTACATTTTAATCCGGGGGCGGCCGCTGTCAATCTCCTCAGCGATGACGCCGCATCGCGAAAAGATGTCTCGGATTTCGTCGAATTCGGCGTCAAGGGGGATGGATGTGACGTAGACTGCAGTGTTGACGCGCTGCTTCTTGGGCTTTTGAGCATCGCCCTATCAAGCACAAAAGCATCAGCCGGAGAGTAAGAGTAGCTCGAGGACATGCACAGACGAACCTCCTCGCTCCCCTGTTTCCGTTTCTTCCTGAGCTTCTGTGTATCTTGCTCATCGTCGTCCACCCCTTCAACTTTATAGGCTTCTTGCTGTTGTCGCAGCAAGTCATCGTCAACCTGGAGGACACCCACAGGCGCAAAGCGGCGCCGACCCGCAATCAGTTTCACGAACCAGCCAAATCCAGCAGACTTAGCGGATCATCCAGAGTCCAGATCCAGCCGGAGAGGAAGTAAAGCGCGCACACACCGTCGGAATCCACCGCTTCAGTATCGTGTCGTAACTGTACTCTTGTCCATCGTCTGTTTCCAAGATGAATTTGTTGTCGAGCTTGGAGAAGGAGATTCGCGGGTCGCTGTCGAAGTCGGCCGGGTCTTGCGGGAAGTTGCTAAATTGGGGCGGGGAGTTTGTCGCTGTCGCGTTAGTTTTTGGGTCTTGTAGCGCCATAATCACTGGCCAACGGAAAGTGTTGATATGCTGATGGAAAGAAAAGAATTATGAAGGTTAAGTTCGAGGCCTCCGGCTTGCGGGGGGCCGTTGATGACACACTTACGTAAGCAGCGGGAAGCTCCCGTCAAGCTCTCCTCTCTCCTCTCCTCTGGCTCTTGGTGGTGGTGATAGATTCTCTCGCCGCCATAGTTGTGAGCAACCTGAATGATTGTTGAATTCACCGACGACAGAGTTCTGAGGATTCAGGAAAATATTGAAAGGATTGAAATATTACATCTGGAGTTTGTGGAGCTTCATATATATCAGAACACGGGTACTCCGTATCGTCACAGATTGAAAACCGGCTTAATGGAAAGGGCACCCGCCAGTTCGCGAGACCTTCAGCCCTTCCACCCCTTCCTCCTGTTGCTTTCTACCCTTGCCCTCGAAATACTTGGGCCCAACATCAGAGATGTAGTAGCCATTCGGATAGTACTTGTCACCCTCATCTCCCGGTACGGGGTGACCGAGTGCCCACTTGTACCAAGCCGACGGACCCCAGCGGTTCCAGATGGTGGGTTTGACATAGTAAGGATCACCATCCCATTTCGTGATGAATATACGCTCGTCTACAGATTGCTCCTCGGTGAAGGTGCGGTAACGCATAAAGTAAGGCCGAGGCAAAGCAAGGTAACGCAGGGCGAATCGGCGCGCAGACAATAGGAACGAAAAGAGCCTGGCATACGATGGCGGTGGTGCGTCGTAGCTGGGAAAATGTCAGCACTGCACAACTTCAAGTTGTGCAAAAAGACGAGTCTGCAGAACTTACAACATAGCTTTGCGGAGGCGGTCATCCATCATGAAGGAGACAAACTTCAGCCCGATGTGGTGGAGTGGCTTGGGGATCAGGTAGACCAGTACTGCCGTCGTCTCGTCGGCGACCTCGCGGTTTTTGGGATCCGGCACCATGCACTTCTCCTCGTAGGCGTCGCTCCAAGCCATGATCTCTTCCAACCAATGCAGGCCATCCCGGAAACCGGCCTTACCAGAAGGAAGCGCATCATAGCTGACCTCCAGCCCATCGCCGACACTCTTCCAGAAAGTACCGATGGCGCACTTTTCCAAGTCGGTGAGCTCGCGCCACTCGTACTTGTTGATGAATCTCACGGGCTGCACAGCGAACAGGCCAAGGGTATAGAGCATATCATCATCTAGGATCACGCCCGAGGCCCGGTAGCCACTGTGGAGGTATCGAGTACGCACGATAGCCGCCTGTCCACGTGCATTGGATGGAGCATGTCCTACAAACTCTTGAACCAGTGCGCTGGTGTCTGTGTATCGCTTGTATGATGTACTGGCATTCGAGAATTGGCTTGTTTTGGTTAAAGTTCGGGAGATAGTAGGGATGCCATACGTCTGGATGAGGTATTAGTTAACCGTAGCAGCAGACAGGTAGGGGCTGGAGCTACCCTGAAAAGCGCAAATTGCAAGGCCTTTGTAAAGAAGAAAGGGAACTCATATTGCACCAGGTTCTTCTGGATCTGGAAGGCGTCCTCGTCTGTCATTTGGGCAAAGGACTCTTGCGTGGGGTAATTGTATTTCTTATGGATTTGCTTCACATTCCGAAAGCGAAGCAGTGCGACTAGGACTGGATATGCCGCGACCAAGGGGACCACATATTGGAGGATTTGCTGGGGTGAAGCCCCCTTGATGATATTGACGATGGTTTGGGATAAAACTGTCAGCGATGAGCCAGCAGAGGGACCAGAGGCATCCCTGAGGGTGCTGGCGATCCTCCTGGACAAGACTTCCAGTGAAGAGGCCATTTCGACCAGTTCCTGGGGGAGTATCAGGAATGGAGGTTATTGGAGAGGTTATGGCCGCGGTCTCTTATGAAACAAAGGACACGCCAACCCCACTTCTCCAGGTCTTCGAGTCAGCGAGACTGATTTGCTTTTTTCTTGTCCCGGACCTCGGTCTCTTCTCCTCATCTGCTGTTTATTGCTCTTAAAATCTAACTAGTCTTATTCATCATGCTAAAGCAGCCACGCTCTTAGCCTAGCAGATCCTTGCAGGTCCTGCAGCTCGGCGCAGAAGCGTTGGCGTGCTTATGCAGAATTTATGCAGCGGTCAACAACACAGCAAGCACGATATTTACAAATCATACCAGCCTCTTCACTCGCCCCTCCATCAGATTTATGAGTCCCTCTGTTCCTTTTGGTCTCATGCTTAGGGCCGATCAACGCCCGATCATCCATAGCTCCAGCAATCTCAGCGGAGGAAATACAATTGCCGTGAACCCGAACCCAAGCCAGATCCCCAAATCGCACCCTCCAGCTATTGCTCCTGCAATTGGTCCGGTGTAGTATACTTGGTCCTGGCTATCGTTAGAATAGTTGCTCTGAGGAGGGGCGACGCATACCATTCCAACAATGGCACCTGCCCATCCGATCAGGAATGCCACAGTGGCCGCGAATCCCACAGGCAGTTTCTGCGGATCATTCCAAGCAGACCAGTCAAAATGTCTGCCCCTTTCGAATATCGTCGCTGACTCAACTATGATGGTGAACCAGATGACGACCCAGTAGCCGATTAGAGGCACGAGATTGCTGAAGATCTGGTATAGGGAATCCCGCCCGCCGATAGCACATGCCGTGTAAATGATTGTGCTGACAGTCGTGAAAACAGGACGCGGTATCTTACACCAGAAGTCCCCAAGCATTTGGAAGTTCATCGCCATGGAGTATGACCCGGGAGCATTGTTAGAGACAATCGTTAGCACGTTCAAAAAGGCGCAGAACTTGCCAAACCCGCCCAGTCGGTCATAGCCCGCAATCACGACACTGCCGGGGGTGCCGTCATAGATTGCCTCCCAACGGGGATTGTGAGTGATCCCAGTCCCTAGCCCAACACCCAGAATGAGGGTGATGCTCATGCCTAGGCTCACTCCTATGGTCGTCATTGACCATATCCTCCACGCCCCGGTATCAGGCGAGTAATAGACGTGATAGTCGGCAGCTCCTGGCACCCAAGATATTGCGGACGCGAAACAGAGCGAGAAGAACGCCAGTCTTTTGGCATTGATCTCCTCGCCAGTTCCCACAGATGCGGCCTTGAAGTCGAATTCCGGACCGGCCGATCCCAGTAGAAAGCAAAGCACCAGCAACTGTGGGAACCACGCGTACCTGCTACTATCAGCTGCAAATTTTGGTGGCATAGCGGGTGTGATTACCTTTCATAGTACTGGAAAATGTGCATCCCAAACGTGGCCACCACCAGGCTGACAAGCGCTACGATGATGATTCCAACCACGACAGATACAGCGCCGCCTGACAGTTTAGACAGAATCTGCCCCCCAACCATCGCGCTCATCATCCCGTAACCAATGTTTGTCAGCACATTCAAGAAGCAGCACACCTTGCTAGGGTTGAAGCCCATGAGGTAACGAGATACGATCTAGCAATTGTGAGCCTGTCATCTCTTCAAACCAAGACGCGTTGACCATACAAGGGTGCGATGTCCACTTCTCGGACCCCAGGTACACATATAACCCGTTGCCAAACAACCAAGCAGATTCCCAAACATCGCGCACAGCGCCGCATCAAGGAAGCTCAATTGCATGACGACGGTGCCCAGCGTCCCAACAACCATATTGTTCAGCGCCATTCCCATACTGAACCATGTGAGGAGGATGTGGAAAGATCCCGACGCGCTGACTACCTGCCGCTCTTCAACCGGCACCGGCTCGATCCCCCTCGTTTCGAGGCCTTTGACGTTTTGCGCCCATCTCTGATATCTTGACCTAAATCCGGTATCGCTGGCAGGGGCTTCGATTTCATCCTGTGTAACACTCCGCACAGAGGGCGATTCGCGCTCTTTCTCAATATCAGGACTCATGCTAGGCTGTTGCGACTTTGTGGGCGATATGTGAAGAACATTCGAAAGGACAGGAAATCGCCGACAGAAGTCACCCATCCCTTTCCATTTCAAATTCGAGTCTGAGCGCGACGGCGGGTCCATGCTCTTATCCAGGCCAATATCCTTACCGTTCTCCTTCAGCCGAACGAGCGAGTAACAAAATATGCCGTGCCGAGTATGGTGTAATGCGCCTAATTGAGTTTTATCGAGCGTCCAGCGAGCGTCCGCCGTCCACACATTCAAAGACGAACAACGGGATATATGTGGGCCGTAACGAAACAGATAGCATGGAAAACATAAGAGGGATCGCACAGCATTCCAACAAGGCAAGCCAAAGCAAGGCAGGTAAGGCAGGGAAACCAACGGCAGGCCACCTAATCCAATCTTATGAGCTTGGGTATCCGAGCTCGGGCTTCTGCACCCTCCAGGATATTGCGCAATCACTCTTTTAATGACCCGCTGCCAGGCAGGTGGCCGTTGGCCCGCAGCGGATGAGACAATGATGGTGTAACTGGATTCCGGAAAGCAAGCCCCGTCTCTCCTGAGTCAAAATTAAGCAGGTGATATCCGTCCTGTTTATTTACCAGTATGTATGTGCATGCAAGCTCTAGAGTGGCAGTCCTCGCACTCATCATCTGCTCGTGAAATCAAGAAACTGAGTGACCCTCCATCCCGTTCGTACTTTGGCCGATGATGCTAACATACCTAAGCATTTGGTGAAGTTTATGCGCCCACTGGTATGCGCTAACCCTACAAGAAGTATCACATTCCTTTGACAATCTTTCCAAGCTCAGGGAGCCTCGCACTTCCCGAGCAAATCACTTGTGCAGTCAAGCTTTATAGCCGGTTATCCGCGGTCAAATAAGATTCAGCATCCTTTTCTCCTAGGGATGCATTGTATCATACCGATCCTCGGCACTAGCACCATCAGCTGCTTCCTCATTCGGGGTCGATAGCGGATTACTATATACGTACAATCAATACGTCAGCTAGGTGGACTTCGCCGCCTTCTGGAACCCAGAAACGCTAGCTAAATACGTAGGTATGCACTCTGCTGCCTTTGCGTCCTTCTGGTTCCGTTATGCTTGCGACGGCCGAAGCTCGAGTCTCTACCGCAAACTTCTTTTAATATCATGGAGTGCCAATCCGTAGCTCATTCTATTACAGTAGCTGGTATCCACTAGTTGATAGCTACCAATTCACACAGTCGAGTACAATAGCTAGAGTCCATAGCAGACAGAGTAATCATTGGTATGTCGAATTACCACCTACCTAACCCGTGAAAGCCATAACCCTGGAATCCGAGCAATATTCTCATGCCCCGCTGCTGCGGCGCCGTCATATGACAGGCGATTCAGATGCTGCAACTCCGAGAATAGAGCCCGTTTCTCCGTCCGCCCGGTGAGCCTGTGGAACTTCTCTGAGCCCGGCCATTGCGGAAGTCAATAAGGGTAGGCGGCCAGATGTTTTCTACATCGGCGGACTCTCTACATGCCACACACGATCCGAGATGCCGTATTCACGGACAAGCCATTTCACCACTATACAGATTGAAGAGGAAGCGCACTGCTTCCAGGCCGATGAGGCCGCATGTCAGCCAGTCTACGCGGGGAAAGACCTGGGCGACGACATTGCTAATGTAGGCGTTGACACCGGCGACGAGGGCCTGCCGATAACCCTGTTTATAAGTGATAGTGGTGATGCTGGGAGTAAAATGATCTAACCGTCATGTAGTCACCAAAACATGATCAGCAACCATTGAGTTAGGGCACGGAATCCTCAAGATACTGTGAGAAAGTCGGCCGCCGGCGGCCGCCATGGCGGCCGACTCACTGAAGCTAGGAGTTGAATAACTTGCTCGATACCGCGGGTGGCAATCCGCATCTAGTTCGGTGCTGTGGCGGTTTGAAGGCTTCAGAATAGTTGAGATTGCTATTTGTACTGGCTACATCGCCCCTCCTCTACGCCCAGCAACTCGTCCGGCCCAGGACATCACGTACTGTGGGAGCTGGCTTTAATTTCAACGCTGGGAAAGGGCGGACGCGGCCGATGATGATAACCCCTGTGTGGGAAAGTGCCTTATCACGGCCAACCGTGCCCCTGGATAGCTTCATCCTCATCAACCCTCGAAATTTGTTCGTGCAGCGAGCTGAGGGATGTGCTGTTGCATTGAGATCGACCGCATGTGGCGGAAGCTTGGGCCTTGTGAAACACTATCCGGTGTGCGCGATGCTCATGGAATGCATCCTGCAGGTAGTTGCAGCTGGTTCATATCAAGATGCTCCTCGCCAGAGGGATACAGGGTCACCAGTTATCTTCAACACTAGCCGTAAAACAGGTAGGTTTTTCGTCTGGTCAGGAATATTGGTTCTTGGAAGCTCGCAAGGCTCCCATTTTCTGTGAGAACAGACTAGACAGTGAACATCCACGTTTGATTGGGCTTTCCAGGAAATATGAGTGCAAAGGCAGAAAGCTGATGAGACTGTTCGCCGACAACACCGCGCCACTTTACGCAACGTATGATGATGATGGACACGGATGAGACGCGATTAGGGTATTCCTTGATGTATTGAATGGTCTCTAGAAGTTTAGAAACAAAGTCTGCCGTCCTGAGTTCTGAGTCTTTGCTCTACTACTCAAGACAGTGGTTCGCGCAATGACCAAAGAGCGGTTCGTTCCTAGCAGCCCATGACTAAGCCTGCCGCTAAGCCGGTTTGGCTGGCTCCCCTTTTGTACCTCACGTGACTAGTGTTGTTGTTGATCTTTTTCTCCTTTATGGGGCTCCACTCTGTTGGTTGGTCTCGCTCCTCGCTGGCGCTTCACCGCTCAAATTCCCCCAACCCGACTTTGCGTCTTTCCTTCTCCCTGATCTCGCTCCTCTCTTCTCCTCCCCTCAATTCCGGCTGTTCCCCAGTCTTACTTCACCCACCTTCAATTCGTCTTGCAGCTTCTGCAAATAACCTTTTTTTAATCCTTCATACCCCTTCATACCCTTCACAATGCGTGAGATTGTATGTTGACACTCCCTCTTTGACGCGTCTCGAGGGGTCCCCTTCCCGTTAGGGACAATGAGGACCCCACCAGTTCTACACACCACAATCTCAGACATGCTGACCATGTGTTTCTCCATATAGGTTCACCTCCAGACCGGCCAGTGTGTAAGTGGCAGACATTGAGGAATTGGTTGTGCTGTGAAACAAAATACTGAACTTGGATGCGTGACAGGGTAACCAAATTGGTGCTGCTTTCTGGTACGTCAAAAATTTAAACGTCTTGGGATACTCTTTCCCCGACACTTGCTAATAAATTTATAGGCAGACCATCTCCGGTGAGCACGGCCTCGATGGCTCCGGTGTGTGAGTACAATCCGTCCAGAGTCCGATAACAACACAACGAGCGAACGGGACCTGATACAAAGCAGTTACAATGGTACCTCCGACCTCCAGCTCGAGCGTATGAACGTCTACTTCAACGAGGTCAGTGGATAAGCTGCAGCGGTGGCAATTGAGGCATCTCTGACTCTTTGCAGGCCAGCGGTAACAAGTACGTTCCCCGTGCCGTCCTCGTCGATCTCGAGCCCGGTACTATGGACGCCGTCCGTGCCGGTCCCTTCGGCGAGCTCTTCCGTCCCGACAACTTCGTTTTCGGTCAGTCCGGTGCTGGTAACAACTGGGCCAAGGGTCACTACACTGAGGGTGCCGAACTTGTCGACAACGTTGTCGATGTTGTCCGTCGTGAGGCTGAGGGTTGCGACTGCCTCCAGGGTTTCCAGATTACCCACTCTCTCGGTGGTGGTACCGGTGCCGGTATGGGTACCCTCCTGATCTCCAAGATCCGTGAGGAGTTCCCCGACCGTATGATGGCCACTTTCTCCGTCGTTCCCTCCCCCAAGGTTTCCGACACTGTTGTTGAGCCTTACAACGCCACTCTTTCCGTTCACCAGCTCGTTGAGCACTCTGACGAGACCTTCTGTATCGATAACGAGGTTCGTTGGCCCGGAATATGGTCTCGAAGACTTTACTGACTTGTCCAGGCTCTCTACGATATCTGCATGCGCACCCTCAAGCTCTCCAACCCCTCCTACGGTGACCTGAACCACCTCGTCTCCGCTGTCATGTCCGGTGTCACCACTTGCCTTCGTTTCCCTGGTCAGCTCAACTCTGACCTCCGCAAGCTGGCTGTCAACATGGTTCCCTTCCCTCGTCTGCACTTCTTCATGGTCGGCTTCGCTCCTCTGACCAGCCGTGGCGCCTACTCCTTCCGCGCCGTCTCCGTTCCCGAGTTGACCCAGCAGATGTTCGACCCCAAGAACATGATGGCTGCTTCCGACTTCCGCAACGGTCGCTACCTCACCTGCTCCGCTATCTTCCGTGGAAAGGTCTCCATGAAGGAGGTTGAGGACCAGATGCGCAACATCCAGAGCAAGAACCAGTCCTACTTCGTCGAGTGGATCCCCAACAACATCCAGACCGCTCTCTGCTCTATTCCTCCCCGCGGCCTTAAGATGTCCTCCACCTTCATTGGAAACTCCACCTCTATCCAGGAGCTCTTCAAGCGTGTTGGTGATCAGTTCACTGCTATGTTCCGTCGCAAGGCTTTCTTGCATTGGTACACTGGTGAGGGTATGGACGAGATGGAGTTCACTGAGGCTGAGAGCAACATGAACGATCTCGTTTCCGAGTACCAGCAGTACCAGGACGCCTCCATCTCCGAAGGCGAGGAGGAGTAGTAAGTTACCCAAAATCTCATCGTTACGCCCACAGCTGACTCGTCTATAGCGCCGAGGAGGAGATGATGGAGGGTGAGGAATGAATACTTGTGCAGTAGCAATAAATTGAGATCAGCTCATAATAATACCCCTGATGACCATGCGCCGGGCGCAAAGGTTCGGTTACAGTATGGGTTTCTGTCAGTCAACTGTTTTGGTTCGAGCGCTCTTCTCTGTTTCTAATTCTTTGGTCGCAAGACCTTAAACCTATTGAATGAATAGCACATACTTGTAGTCTCGTCAATACATCTGTGGTGCTTGAAGCTTGGTTTAGTGTTATCCAGTAGTGCCTTGTGATTATAGCAGGTGCATGGCTTCCATGCTCTGGGTCGACCCTGTCCCGTATTTCTCATGCTCTCAGCCCTTGTATTAGATAGACTAGGGGAGCAGGAACTTAGTTTTGTGTTCCGTTGCAAGGAGCATAGATTATAATCTGGCGATCAGCAACAAATGCAGGTATGGGGCTAAGATGGTTACAGAGTAGTGAAGGTGGAGGGGACAAGTTATTGATATTTACAATGTCCATCTCATTATTTTAGATGTAGTCTAACGTTAAAACACATAATCAAGTAAGGGTATCGGGTAAGACAATTCCAGCCATAGAGAGGACAAAGTACGGGAAAAAAGGGCCATTGACAAGCGTGAGCAGGTAAGAGCGTAGTGTAAGTAAGCAGGCATGAATATTATAACCGATCCGGTCAAAGAGAGATCAAAGAGAGACAATAAGGGAGTGAGATATGTACAAGCCCGTTCCTAACCTACGTAGGACCGGCGGGTGGAGACATCGGACCATCATGTGTGCTTTTGACGGCGTGTTCGTCCTTTTGTCCGGTACCTAGCGACTTCCTGTCAAGGTGATAAAGCGGTTCAAAGATTACGCCTTGAGCTCAGGGGAGGAGGATGGCTCGGCGGCGCCAGTGGGGGTAGTGCTACGCTTGGAGGCACTGTCCATGGGTTCGGTGGTTCCGTTGATGACATCACGGGTGAGCTCGACGTAGTCATACTATAGAGATGGTTAGTGGAGGTTTTCCAGGGAGAAAGAGGGAGGATACGTACAGCAAACTCGCCAATCTCGGCATCATCAATACCGAGAACTTCCTCCTCCTCCGGAACACGCAGGCTGAGGCCGGGGATCATGTTGATGATGAAGAGGATGAGACAGCTGCCGAAGAAGGAGTAGGCCATGCCGCTAACGGAGTCAGCAAGCTGGTAGCCGAGTTGGATGTAGTTGTGGTTGATCCAGCCGCCATCGATCTCGGTAGCGCCGTCAAGGTGAGCAATGTAGTCACTGCAAGGCATGTTAGTTGAATAGCAGAAAGGTTGACTTGGGAGTGCTTACGCTGCAAAAAGACCAGTGAGGAGGTTGCCAACGAGACCACCGATACCGTGCACAGCAAAGATGTCAAGAGCATCATCGACGCGGAGGAGGTATTTGACCTTGGTCGCGAAGTTGCAAGCGGCGGCGCCGACAACACCGAAGATGAACGCAGCCCAGGGAGTCACAAAGCCTGATCCGGGGGTGATGGCGACCAGGCCGGAAATGACACCGGAACAGAAGCCAACAGTCGACCACTTCCTCTCCAGGCGGTAGTCGAGCAAGCACCAGGTGACACCACCAACCGAGGCAGCCAGGTTGGTGACCACAGCAGCCATCACAGCACGCAGGTTAGCGCTGAGAGCGGAGCCAGCGTTGAAACCGAACCAACCGACCCAGAGGAATACGGTACCGATGACCACATGAGTAACGTTGTGAGGGCGGTAGTTGAGCTCGTGAGTTCCATGACCACGACGCTTTCCGAGCATCAACGAGTAAGCCAGAGCTGTGGTACCCGAAACTATATGGACAGGGGTGCCACCAGCGAAGTCCAAACCTCCCAGCTGGAACACCCAACCGGAGGCGTTCCAGGTCCAGCAGGCGACGGGGTCGTAGATGATAGTACTCCAGATGAAGACGAAGACCATGCAGGGGAGCATGCGACCACGTTCTGCAACCGCGCCGACAGCAAGGGCAACGCTAATACCACGTTAGGACTGATTTTCTCCAAGGTGTCTTCATGCAACTCACGTAATCGCAGCGAACATTCCCTGGAAGACAGCAAACAATAGGTCGGGGACCTTGGTTGAACCCACTGAGGGGGCACCCAGAACACCCTTGAACCCAAAGTTGTCCAAGTTACCAATGTATTTTCCGGCACCGTGGGAGAAGGCCAAGGAGTAACCCCAGAAGAACCATTGGAATGAGACGACACCAATAGACATCAACGAGAGCCATATCAGGGAAAGGGCGGACTTCCGACGAGCAAGACCGGAGTAGAAGAACCTAGTGGAAGCGGACTTGTCAGTGAGAGTAAAGGATGGTGAGGTTAGGGTTGTGTCTTACCCTACACCCGGAATCATCAACAGAACAAGGGCAGTTGATGTAATGACCCATGCGATATCACCAGACTGGAACATGTCAGAGGGACCTCAGACTAAAGATGCCACGCAGAAACCCACGCTGTAGAAAATGTTGAGATCCTCAGTGAGGGAATCTCCACCGTTCGCGCCGGTCCCATTGTAGGCAACAGGGTAAGTCGACATTGTGAAGTTGGAATCGACAGAAGTAAGATGTACCGGGTACCGTCGAGAATGAATGAAAAGAAGGTATCACAGTCAAGGATCCTACTGGTATCGGCCGGCCCCGTAGTTTCTGGAAGGGACAGCCGCGCAGGAGGAACTGATAGGGTTATTATAGAGTAAGACGCGCAAGAGCCCCAGTCAAGCCCCCAATGTTAGTCGAGGCAGTCTGAAAAAAGAAAAGTAGGTGAAAAAGAAAAGACAGAACATATGCATGAATGGGGGGCACGCAGATGATAAATAACAATAGTCGGCCCTATAGTTTGAGGGCGAGAAAGTGGACCTGATACCAGTCATATTGTCAGCGACGCCAGCTCCGTCTCCCTGCAGGTAACCAGGCAGACTCTGGCCTCACAGTCACCCAACTGGCCCACCATCAGACGCCAGGCGCACGCCGACCCACGGCTTCATCGTGTGGGATGGCTTCGAGGCGTCATGGAGATGAGCCAAGGCTACCGGGGGAGTATGGCTAGACGAGCTAACGTCGTGGTTGCTTCGATATCCGGCCCAGAGCCCGGATCTGTGGATGTCATCCGATCCAGAAATCGTCTTCTTTGTCCAACGGAGAGAAAGACGCTGCTATCAGGGAAAATTCCTCCGATCTCGAGCTGGAGAAGGACGAGCCATGGACGGCGTGCACCGTTTGTGATTGGATCGGAGGAGGGTTATGGCTGGTACTCACAGACCAGCCTGCTGGTAGCGGACGATAAGGGGACAATGGAAGGATGAGGCGCTAGGTAGAGTTTCCCGATGCACGAGATAACCTGAGATTGCGGTTTCACTGACTGATCGGCGAAAATAATGAAAATCGAGGAATGAAGGTGCTGGATAAGGCGGTTGCCAGGAGGAAAGTCAACGCTGACCAGAGGCTGTACCTCGACGCTAGTCCGGTTTGGGGCCTGACAGACCCGCTGATTGGTCGATCTGGGGAGCCCCGACTGGCCAGAGATAGGAGCTTGATAACGAACTCCCCTACGCTCAACTCCATTGTCTGCCTTCATTTACATGACGCTCGGAGAATTTCCACAAAGGCTCACTATTGAAATGAAACAATGCTGGCCGGATGATCATCGAGGAAGTCGACCTGTATATTAAGCTTGTTGCACTGCAATAACCAGAGTGGAGAATGCCGAGAACCCGGAATGAGAGCACCGTTCGGTATCACTACTATCTGGCCGATTCCACATGCAAACTCCAACTCTTCCTTAGTCTCCAAGCCTCCAACTTTGTGTACCCGATGCCTCGTGCCGGAGAACGTTCTCGACGCAGAGGACCTGCATGGAGAATCCATGGGAACACCCGGCTGACAGCAGAGCCAGAGCATGATCGAGCAGCATCGTGGCCGGGCCTTTGTCCGTGTGAACCCCGGCCTGGGCGCCCGAGCTGTTATCTATACACTTGCAGCCAATCACCACTGGCCGATGCGTCTTATCATCCCCGTTTCTCCCACAAATCGTTATTGGTTGATAGACAAGATCTTGGCATTCAGTATGCCAAGATCACATCTCTTTCTGTCTATGATGCTCTCTCATTCAGGTTCCGAGGACACGATGCCACGATGATGGGCATGTTGATCCCTCTTGGGAATGCTGCGGAGCTCTTGGCTTGACGCTCAAGAGTTAAGACGGTGATAACCACAACCCGGTTGGCTCCGTAGCTGAACGCCACGTTCCGTTGAACTTCTTCCGAGAGGCGTTATAGACCGGGTAGGGCTGCGAAGCTACGGGTACGGGGACTGGAGTACAGTCTCCACACTGATCAAGATGCGCGAACCCCAGTTCCCAAGATCAGTTCAATTATCAATAACAATAAGAAAAGCATTGCTATTCAGATAGGGTTCTGATAGCCGAGTCCGTCTGCAAGCTGCACGATCGTGGATTAGCTTTCGCCGAGACTCGGCGGCGCAACTGCACGTCTCTCAGGCGGCCAGGTATCCCTCCTTCAGGAAGCTGGATAAAGAAAGCCAGCTACTAGATAACCAGGATAATCGTGAACTTTGAAGTGGACAGAGTTCACCGGTGGGATTCTAGAAACCCTGCTTGTACACGTCTTTGATCGTGTGTAGTGGACTGAATCTTGAGCTTACCAGTTGCTGAATCTTTTGATCCTGCAATGCCTTTCGTTAAGCTCGAGCTGTCTTGGCTTATTTGGTTCCATGCTCGGGCTTTGTTCTATCGAACAGGAGCTTGTCCGTTGTTCTTCAAGATCAGTTCTAGACTACGACTTCGAGTGTGGACAAACAAACATAAGGTCCCAGGCGATCGGTTGAGACTAACTAAATACGGTTAGCCTATCTGGCTCGGCGATGGAAGATTAGTTAATGCGAGCTTGGAGAGAATAAGCAACACCAGCCACAACTAAGATACTCCGTACGTACTACCGCTCTGAAATTGCACTGCCCTCGTGCAAATTCTATGTTTGGCTGTCTGTGGAATTGGCAACTGCATAGTGTACGGGAAACTATGGCTTTACTGGCTACAGATGACCAAAACGGTCCGCCAGTGATCTAGATTTGTTTTGATATATATATCTATGCATCTTGAGACCATACGTCTAGGTCGATGAGATCTCAACATGGCAGACGGGACACATCTTGCTTCAATCGCCCCCGCGCCGGGTCCAAATGTTGAAGGGCAACATGCTTCTAGTACAGGAGTAACGATAAAGCGCTTCAACTGCCAATCTTGCGTGCGAAGAAAGATCAAATGCGACAGGACTGCACCAACATGCTGGAGCTGCAGCAAAGCAAAGATTGACTGCGTCTACCAAGCCCCGCTGCCTCGGCGGAAAAGGAAGCGAAGTCAGTCTGAAGACATTCATGCCCGTCTAGCACGGTATGAGCGCATCTTGCAAGACAATAACCTCCTTCCGGAATCTGGGTCGACCCCTGCATCCGCTCAAAATCCATGCAGGGATGGCCTAGCATCAAGGGCGGCCACGCGGTCTGGCCAACTTCTTTCTACCAACGGCAAGACACGTTATCTAGACAGCGTTCTCCTGCATGCTGGAGAAGGAGACCTGTGTGAACTGTCGGATTCGGAGCACGATGACCACCAGGATGACCTAGGAGTTGATAAGAGTGTCCCAAGCGGGCAGGAAGCAGCATCTGCTGTTCTAGGGGCCATGGCCGGAAGTCAACAGAGCCTCGTCAACCATCATCCCAGTCACGAGGAGGCCACAGAGCTCTGGAATACTTACGTGCAAAACGTCGAGCCTCTGTGCAAAGTTCTACATGTCCCAACGGTTGCGAAGATGGTCGACGTTGTTTCAAAGCAGCCGACTCTGGCCTCTAAGGACGATGAATGTCTACTTTTTGTCATCTACTATTTCGCCGTCTTCTCCATGTCAGACGCCGACTGTCTTCAAAATTTCAACAAATCCAGAGCCCACTTAATGTCGAGACATCGGGCCGCTTTCTACCAAGCCCTTGTCAATGCTTCATGGCTGAGAACGACGTCGATGCCCGTACTGCAAGCGTACACACTATTCCTCGTCGCATTGCGCACTCAACTAGATGCCAATACGTTCTGGATCTTGACAGGCATTGCGGCTCGCCTCGCACAACGCATGGGATTGCATCGTGACGGTGAGAACCTTGGACTGCCACCATTCGAGGTTCAAATGCGGCGGCGCCTCTTTTGGCAGTTGCTTCCGCTCGACGGCTATGCTGGCCAGGTTTCCGGCACTGGAATCTCCATATCGCCCAATAGCTGGGATACGAAGCCGCCGCTGAACATCAATGATGATCAAATCTTTCCTGGTATGACACAGCAACCTCAAGAGCTCAAAGGTGCTTCAGAAATGATCTTCTGCTTGTCTCGGATAGAGCTGTCCAACTTCTATACACGTACAGGGGTCAAAACGAAGGAGATTGGTGCTACAATAGAGCTCAAGGATGCCGATGAGACTGAGAGGCTCATTGACGAGGTTGAAGACTCCATTGAGACAAGGTTCCTTCGATACTGCGATATAGTAAATCCTTTGCACCTTCTGACCACCGGAGTCGTACGGTCTGCCACCAATGCTGTCCGATTGCGCGCTCGAATGCCACTGCTCATGAAGCAATCCATGACCGATGAGCAAAGACGCGACATCTGCTCACTCGCGGAGAAAATTATTGATACAAACAATACAATTTACGAGAACCCAGCCATAAGGAAGTTCCGATGGCACACGCAAGCTTTCTTCTTGTGGGATGCCTTACTCTGTATCCTGCGTACCCTCGCACTTGTCGGATTCCACTCTCCATCGGAATTAGACGCCACATGGGACAAGGTTGCGAAAGTCTACTCAAACCACGAAGAGCTTTTTATGAGCAGAAAAACCCTACACATTACCGTCGGCAAGGAAACCCTCAAAGCTTGGGATGCGAATCCCCCGTGCAATTCATCCCCCGAGCCATATTTCGTAACTAACTTGCGCGCAAAACGCGATGCAAAAGCTCGCAGGCCGCAAGAAAGTGCCAACGGAATAGGAATTGACAATGTTACCGTCGATTTCGAGTTTGACGGGCTTTTCGGTGGCGTCGATGGTCCGCACCTGAATCTCGACGGCGCTTTCGATCTCGATTCTCCCGACTGGACCTTTTGGAATCAGATAAGTTGAGAGTCAGTTTAGGCTCGGTCTTTTTTATTTTGGCTCAATGCATGGCTCTCCTAATGGTGCACCAGTGCAGCATGTAAGTCTCACTGTGCTACTTTGCGCACGTCATGGCTCGCTACTGCGATGCTAGCGGAATTCTGCCATCTTGCACGGTCACTTGCCCAAATCTCCGCATGCTATCAGTGTCGCAAGGAACGGCAGATGGCCGTTGTCCCGACCATCCGCCCATGTACTACAGACCGGCCCGTCTGTTAGGGTACTCCGGCCCCGAGTTCGGCCCCGTCGCCTGCTGATTGGCTAGTTGAACAAGTATATCAACATTTATAAAGCATCGAGACCCAACAACCAAGACCATGATTCTGCATGAGTCTCTTGAATATATCACAAAATGAGTGGCAGAAACCTCAAATTATCTGATCAGAGGATTCCGTCATGCCCTGGCGAGGAAGACCTCGAAGCCGCCAAAGTGACATCTCTCAACGCCGAAACCCATACGAAAGACCCAAATCTCGTCACTTGGAGTGGCCCGGACGACCCAGAGGATCCCAAGAACTGGCCTAATAAGTTGAAATGGCAGAATACCTGCGCAATCTCACTTTTCGTTTTTATCTCGCCCGTCTCATCGTCTATGATCGCACCCGCCATGCAGAATCTTGGAAGTGATCTTGGAATGCACACGGACATCGAAATATACCTTTCCATGGCTATATTCATTCTCGCCTACGCCATTGGCCCAATATTCTTTGGCCCTGCATCGGAGCTCTACGGCCGTGTGCGTTTGCTTCAGGTCAGCAACGTGTGGTACTTAGCGTGGAATCTGGTTTGCGGATTCGCCAAAACCAAGGCTCAGTTATTTGCGTTTCGCTTTCTCGCGGGAATCGGTGGCAGTGCGCCTCTGGCAATTGGAGGAGGTGCTGTCAGGTATGATGAAGCCATTAATCCCCAGGTACTCCGTTTGCTAATCTGCGCTGTAGCGACATGTGGAGTGCCGAAGAGCGAGGCAAAGCCATGGGTGTCTACACGCTTGGACCGCTCCTTGGACCGGCCATTGGACCTATTGCTGGGGGCTTCATTGCGCAGTACTCGACATGGCGCTGGGTCTTTTGGGCCAGCTCTGCCGCAGCTGTCGTGGTCCAGCTAGCTGGGCTCATCTGGTTGCGCGAATGCCACCCGGCTACCCTCCTACGAAAGCGACGAGACCGTCTCGTCAAAGACACATGTAACAATGATCTTTATGTTGAAGAAAAGGCTGAAACTCTCATCTACAAACTTCTCCACGCCTTCGAGCGGCCGGTACTTCTATTTACAACCCAGCCCATCGTCACCTGTATGGCTCTCTACATGGCCTACCTCTTTGGAGTAACATACCTCATGCTCGCAACTTTCCCGGACATCTGGACAGAGGTCTACAATGAGCCCCTCGGCACCAGTAGTCTCAACTACATCTCGATCGCTCTCGGCTCTTTTGCCGGCCTGTTCCTGAATCTCAAAGTGGTCGACAGCATCTACAAGACCCTCAAAGCGCGGAACAACAATACTGCCAAGCCCGAGTTCCGCATGCCTGCCCTCTTAATCGGCTCCGTCGTCAGCACTATCGGCCTCTTCTGGTACGGCTGGAGCATCGGGACCACGCACTGGATTATGCCCAATATCGGCGCTGCGATATTCTCCGCCGGCACCATTTCCTGCCTGCAGGGCATGCAAACGTACATTGTCGACAGCTACCAGACTTACGCGGCTAGTGCCATGGCGGCCTGTGCAATACTGCGCAGCCTAGCAGGCTTTGGGTTCCCGCTCTTTGCGCCTTATATGTACAACGCTTTGGGATATGGATGGGGGACCAGCGTGCTGGCTTTTGTTACGATGCTTATTGGGTGGACGGCACCGTTTGGTTTCTGGTATTTCGGGCCGAAACTTCGGGCTGCTTCAAGGTATGCTGCTGGGTAGCTAGAGATATTGCCACTACGACTAGGACGATTCCGTATGAGAGTAGGATGTGGCGGCTGGAATAGCATATGCTACTATGCTTTACGGGGTGTTGTGGCGAAAATCGTGGTTTAGTCGTTGGATTTGCAGGATGTAAACAACTCTCCTCAACGACAAGAAAAAAAAAAAAGATTCTGGCCAATGTCCGTAACAAGATAATGGATAGGTATTATTGCTTCGTGATAGTCAAACCGTCAATGATTTGCGTTTACCTAGTCCCGGGTATACTTCCTCAGCCCCAAAGTCTGTTTGTGCGGAGTAGGATGTAGCCACTTTGGCTTGTGATCTAGACCTGCCAGTAATCAGCTGATAGTTACAGACCATTGGAAGTATTATTCCATAGGTCTTGAAACGTTTCTGCCTGATCTTCATTAGATTCTCTTCAATTTTTCTGTTTGTTGTCGCCACACGCGATGCGGAGACGCACCGCCACAGGCCGTCTGGCAGCTTGGCATCTCAATTACCTCCGACTTTCTTCCCAAATTCCCCATCGAGACCACCCACAGCCATGGACCCTCAGCCGGTCCACGAATACCAGCTAATGGAGCGCCCCGACGTGGGACAGATAGACTCCGACGGTTCCGGCTCGTCTGATGACCTTATAAACCCTCCGTACGTCGTTCGACCAGGTCCCGTCATCGGCGAACCCTACGATACCCAAATGGCTTCAAACCCCATCAATTCCTCTCCCCCCCAGGCTCATCCCGCGCTTAGTTCCTGGGCAACCGCTACCCCGACGCGTCCGCGCGGCGCCAGTGTCGGCACGCCCGCTTTCGAGAAAATGTCTTCGCCGGTCATCGACGGCACGCCCCTCGTTGAGCGCGAGCTCCGCATGCAACAGCGTCCTTCGCACCCTGCCCGGACGCCCTCGAACACATATGCCCCGCAGCGACGGCCTCCCCCATACATCAGCTTCCAGGACGACCGCCAGCGATCGTCGTCCAGTAAACGTACCCCGAGGCGGAACCCCGATGCCCAATACCGAGCACAGGAGAAGGCGTACGTTCAGCGTATCCGGGAGGATCCGCAGGGGTGGTATAGCAGGTTTGAAGACAATGGGATGGGGATAACCGGTGATACGTCCGATCTTGAGGACCCGTCGCCCTCTTCGGAGATGCCGTTTGAGGATGACGCCTACGATCCTGACATCCAGCTTTTCATCGCCGATGACAACCAGCCTTCGGCGGAGGAGCTTAAGAACCCGAAGAACCAGGAACGGCTTGAGTGGCACTCTATGTTGGCTTCGGTGTTGAAAGGTGATGTCGTCAAGCAGGAGAAGCAACGTCTGCTTGGCTCCGCGGAACCGAACAGATCGGCTGCCCAGAACCACGCGATATGGCTTGGTGTACGGGCTAGGATGTGTGGACGGAGCGTGGCTTTGCAACGCAAACTCATTGAAGACCAAAGAGGCGCTCTTGGTCCGGTAATTGAGGATATCATCAAATTCGAAATCAAAGGTGAAACGGAGATCGGGAAAACGCCAATCAAGCAGGTGGAAGACATTGTCGACCAAATCGCGAAGTGCGAGTCACTGTACTCAACTCATAGAGAGCTTGAGAGTGCGCATCCCCGCGTGGCTTCGGAAGAGTACTGCTCTAGTCGTGATGCGGTGTTCGCCTGGCATAACACCACCATCCTGATCAATACGGAACTTGCTATTCTTCAGAAATGGGTCGGCAATGCCGAGCTGGACTTCAGTAAAGCCGGGTTTAAACCTACTAACAGCGATCTATCCGATGATACATCCTTCCTCGACCGCATTATGAAGGAAGAAGGCCTGAAGACGCTTCAGGGGGAGCATAACATGCTGAACGGTATAGGAGCTGTGATTCAGAAAGCGAAGAATACTCTAATCGAGAACGCTACTTCCTTCGCTAAACGACATCTACCGCCATATATTGAAGAACTCCTCATTCTCATCAATTTCCCTTCGCGTCTAATCCAGGAGATTATTCGTGTTCGACTTTCCTACGCCAGGAACATGAAGGACCCGGCACAGCAGTCGCCCATTTTGGTTGATCAAATGATCACGCAGTTTCAGATTTTGATGAGAGCTGCCGTTGACATCAAGCAACGGTACCTCGATATCGCTCGACCGGAGCCGGGCTGGGATCTCCCCCCATGCATTGACGAAGGCTTTGATACCGTTGTACTCGACGCCTTGAGATACTACTTCCGATTACTCAATTGGAAGCTGCAAGCGAATAAGAACACATTCAAAGAGGCTGAAATTCTGGAGCAGGAATGGGATTTCTGTAACGAGATCGGCCGTCAGCTTGAGAGTGGAGACATCGAAGTCGCTGAACAGTTCAGGTATGGTGTATCCGATCCTCATATTGCCAACATCCGACTGACCTGATATAGTGTATTGACTGCTCGGGCTATCCACCGCTTGCTGATCCACTTTGAGCGTGAACTCCATGTCCAAGAGGATGAGGACCCTGCCGAGTTGGATAAAAGATTTAAGGGTGTTTTGGATTCAACCAGAATTCGACAACGAAAGCTTTATCGATTTTCTCGATTCTTGCGCCAATTGTTCGAGAATGCTTCCGAATATAACCTTCCGGCCGATATCTCATGGGACTTCTTTGAATCCCTGTTCGTGTCTGATCATTTTTTGATCAAATGCAGTACATCCTCAAGTCAAAAGGGCGTCTATTACTTTGCGCATCACGCGCTATGGGATCGCCCGGAGGAAATTGCGGCCATTCTTGGCACGTCGTTCCGCGAGGAGGAAGTCGGGAAAGAACCTACCCATGTGCCATATGTGCTGGCTGTCCGTCCAGAGAAACCCTTGTCTTGGGCAGGCAAAGAAATGCAAGTCGAGCTTGTTGAGCAGCCAACTGACCTACGGCTCGGAAAGCTTCGTCTTATCATTGAGGGATCACAGCAGCGCCTGGTCAACGCGAGGGCTGAATTCAACCAATTGACTGGCATTCAACTCGACATGGCTATTGAGCAGCGTGCAAACTTAAGCCGTGTTAACGCAGAACTCAACAGGATCAAAAAGATATCATTCAAGCTCTCCATGACTATCATGGACAGTGTCGCGATCCTTAGAAGGCAATTGAAGGAGAAAGGGGTGGAAAACACCGAGCTCATTCAAGCGTGCTATGCCTTCGCTACCGAATTTGGTAAGCGTTCATCAAACGTTGATCCTAATCGACGTGCAATGAACAGCGCAAGATTGGCCGAGTTGGCCCTCGACTGGGTGTCGTTTATCTGTGATGATTGTGATGCTGCTGATCGGAAGACATTCAAATGGGCCGTGAACGCGCTTGAATTTGCGATGGCCATAACGTCCAGCAGACACCTTTTGTCGATGGACGATGCACATTTCGCACGACTGCGCCAGAAGGTTGCAGGGTGTATGTCTCTTCTCATATCTCACTTTGATATCATGGGCGCTCGATCATCGCGCGCAGCTCAAGCTGAGAAACAGCGTACGGATGAGAGCGCACGCTCATGGAGGACCGGTGCCGGCCGAATCCTGGCCGACGAGGACGCGATAAGACTGGTTCGTGAGCAGCGTATCATGAGCTTAAATAACATTGAGGATAGTAGAGTGGAAACGGATGCCAAACGTCAAGCTCTAGGAAGGGTTCTTGAGGGAACTAACGAGGCTGATAAGTCGCTTGCGGTGTTGTCTTCGTCCGCCACAAACGTCACCCTACGTTGGCAGCAGGGTCAGTACATCGGAGGTGGTACATTTGGTTCCGTCTACGCCGCGATTAACCTGGACAGCAACTACCTCATGGCGGTCAAGGAGATTCGTCTGCAAGATCCGCAACTTATCCCCAAGATCTCGCAGCAAATCCGTGACGAGATGGGTGTTTTGGAAGTGTTGGATCATCCCAACATTGTCTCATACCATGGCATTGAAGTCCATCGCGACAAGGTCTACATCTTCATGGAATACTGCTCTGGCGGATCCCTCGCCAGTTTACTAGAGCACGGCCGTGTCGAAGATGAGACGGTCATCATGGTTTATGCCCTCCAACTCCTGGAAGGTCTAGCGTACCTCCACTCATCTGGAATCGTGCACCGCGACATCAAGCCTGAGAACATCCTCCTCGACCATAACGGTATCATCAAGTACGTCGATTTCGGAGCGGCCAAAATCATCGCCCGCCACGGCAAAACCCTCTTGCCCATGGACGCCCTCGGCAATGGCGGCTACAAAGACGGCGGTTTGAACGCCAAAGAAGCTCAGCTTGCGGCCAACAACCGCGGCAAGAACCAGAAGACCATGACCGGAACGCCCATGTACATGTCCCCCGAAGTCATCCGCGGCGACACCAGCAAGCTCGTCCATCGCCAAGGCGCCGTCGACATCTGGTCTCTCGGCTGTGTTATCTTGGAAATGGCAACGGGCCGTCGCCCATGGTCTAGCCTGGACAACGAGTGGGCCATCATGTACAATATTGCGCAGGGGAACCAGCCAGCCCTACCATCCCATGACCAGCTCAGCGACTTGGGCATCGACTTCCTCCGCCGGTGCTTCGAGTGCGATCCCATGAGGCGGCCTACGGCGGCGGAACTCCTCCAGCATGAATGGATCGTCTCGATCCGTCAGCAGGTTGTCATTGACGCGCCTACCCCAAGCAGCGAGCATAGCGGCAGCTTCAGCAGTTCGAACTCTGGTAGTCGGCAGGGTTCGACCTTTGCATAGTCCGTTGCCCTGCTACCTGTTTTTCCTTAACTCTTGTCATGATGACCCAGACTGAGCCTGCTCTTTCTCCGCCTTCCATTATCCGCCAGATACCCTCGTCTCACGCCTCACGTCTCATCGCCTCCATTTCTACATTCTACTACCACAACCCTATTCCTCGCATTTGATACCCCGTCTCTCCAGCTTCAGCTTCGGTCCCGCCATCCATGTCAGCTATTCTCGTTTCGTCCATATTTATTTTATTCTCCTAAGCACCGCGCCGTCTTTCCTTCTTTCTTCTTTCCAACATGTCTTCTTGGTCTTTGGATCCCATTTCTGTCCTTAGCAACGAATACTCTTTATTTCTCTTCATCAATATATATACCATCCACTATATTTATGCCCTTTTTCCTCAACTGTTCTATACTAGCTACTGTATATTTGGACCATCTAGCTTTCTCTTTCGGAATCGTATGCTCAATTGCTTTTCTTTTCTCCTTGCTCTGTTCTATCGTCTAGGTGTCTGATACTCTATGAAGCAGTGTAAATCTATCTCTAGCAATAGTATACTCTCGCGGGATGCAGAATAGCAGTTTTCGAAGGAAGTCGAAGTCGAGTCGGAAAAATCCAGTCTAGTCGAAACAGTGCGCCAGTCTTATCTAGATAAATACAAATTTGGCACTTTATGCTCACCTGATGCCATCCATAGATTCGTAGAGATATGTTGAGGTTGTTAGAAGTTGGGTCCAGGCCGATATCGCAGTCTGACGGGTGTCGACGTTGGGTCGTCATTTTGACACAAAGGAATCCAGGTCTTCAGGTCCGGGAATCGGGGTCATGTGGCGACAACCTCGGGAGAATCAGGGCCAGAACCAGCAGCTAAGATTACTTTGTAGATACGGATGGAAATCAGGGAAGTGATGTATGTTTGGAGGATATGTGCAATGCTATATCCGAGACGGATATGCAGTGAGCAATAGAAACGATAATTTTATGACGGAGCACGCGCAACATAAAAGCGTAAAACGTAACGTAACAAGACATGTTGGGTCCGGATAGCCTGCAACCGGAAAGTTTGGTGGATCGTGATCGTCAAACACCAAGGCTGATTCATAGCTCGAAGGAAAAGCATAACAATAGAGCGGAGAAAGAACATGCATGCATAAACAGACGTTGGAGAGATTGGACCGCATCAGAGACAAACACCATATCGAGCGAGCTGATTAAGAATAGAACACCCCATTGAGTCAAGTGGACAGTGAAGAGGATAATGATGAGAGGACTAACCGGAGGCCGTGGAAGGGAGAATCAACACAAGTAGACCTTGACAACCAATGAAACGCCAATTGAAAAGAGATCATCATGAAGCATAAATGGTCGAAAGGTACTGGAAAACTGTACTTATAGCGTGGTAGAGATACGCACGTAGAACGGCAGCGAGGCGAAGAACGGCTAGACAACCCAGTTGCTTCCGAGTATTGTCTCACTAGGTTATATAGAGACCGATTTGACCGAAAGCAAATCAACGGAATTCGATTGCGGGAGCGCACCCGTGGTTTTCAACATGTTTGAGGTCCAGCTGCTGGTACCTGAAAATGATCGTTAGTGTCTGCAGACAATGCTGGTACCGACGTACTCACCTCTCGCTCTTCGAATGAAAGTAGATACCGGAAACAGTACCCTCCACTTGATTGAAGCAAATGTAGTAGAAGCCCTCAAAGCTAGCCCCAGAGATTGTCCGTACGCGGTGGTCCGGAACGAGGAAATGTTCCTTCCAGCGCATAAAGATATGGTCGCGCTCAGCATAATCCCAGTACGTGAAATCAGGCCGCTTTGCTTGTTTGGCTAACGGCCGCCAGGCTGGAAACCTGGCCCAGTGGTGCATGTCGGTCTTCTCTGAAGCGCCCCATGATTCGTTTCTGGTCTTGAAGGTATGCTTCGTTCCGATGATCTCCCCCTCAAAGAAGGTTGTCAAGGTAGGGTGGTCCTCGGTTAAGCCTGCAAGGATGCAATGTTAATCGCAAGTTTATTGGGCAAGAAGACAGGGTTCTACGAACCTTGAATGCGGAGATACCCGCAGAGGTATGACTCGGCCATGTCCACGTGCTTGATTTCCACATCGACATTGTAGACCTGCCGATCCGACTGCTGTGTGCCGGTGAACTTGCTACCCGGTCGCAGAAAGGATGAAGTATAATTTGGGAGAAGCTGGTGACGTTAGCTGAAAGCACATGGGCTTGCCACTTGGTCTGAGGTTCACATACACGTATATTAGAAAATTCGTAGCTCAATAATGATGCGTTTGAAGGCGACGAGGTCACCGCTGAGGCAGGGTTGGGAGAGCGTCTGGGCGGGCTCATCCCACCCATGGCGGGCTCATCGTCCGACCTAGACATATTGCTCGGAGAGGCACTAGTATCCATCTCCACCTTCAGCGGTTCCGAGTCCGCACCGGCGATCGCATCGTCCGTCCGCATCAGGGCGGGCTGGGGCGAAGTGACACCGGAGGAAAGAGCATTGTCGGGAGTCGAGCCACGTTCGGTCACAGAGTCGGACTCCAGCTCCTCTCGCCAGGACGGCAGGCGCTCCGGTTCAGGAGGGCAGGTCGTGCGAGCGGAGATATCCTGGATGACCGACGAGGCATTCAAGCTAGGCGTGCTGTCACTCGGAGTCGGCATTGAGACGAGTTAACGAGGGGATGACATCGGATCGAACTGACTGCAAGGTTGGTGGCGAACGAGGGCAGGCGAGTGGACAGCCAGACAATGCATACAAAGAGCACAAAGACAGAGTGAAGGAGGTTGTATTAGGATGACAAGAAGGAGAGTGAGGGGTTTCAGATCTGCAAGAAAGCGAAGACGAGGAGTTTAGGCGCAGAATAATAAGGCTAGAAGACGGATCGAGGGACTTGATCATGGAGTGACAGAGCAGTGAGCGCAGGCCTCCCTCTGCCCAAAAGGGATAGGCGGGTCATTGGCCGCGGTGGCCGCGCTGGGTCATGCGAGCTGCGGGGGCGGCAATTCAGGCAATCAGGCATCCAGGCATCCCCCGTTCTTTGTGCTACTTTATCATTACATCAAGTCTATCATGATGGTTCAATTTCATTAGCTACTAGGCAAGTAATTTACTGCCTTGTTCCACGATTCTGCGAGTATAGCCAGAAAGCGGTGAAGGGGTTTGCCTCTTTAGATCGGCTTGATCTATATAGTTGTTAGCCGATACCTTTCGAGAGCACATTGGACAATGCTTCTCGACGCCGGCGCTTACCTTGAAATGGAGCGATATCAGAGAAAAGATAAGCGCCTTCAGATCCTGTACGAGGTAGTAGAACACTCGGAGACCTTCCGGGTCTGCCGATTCCGTCACATCCACAAGAGAGCCGATTTTCGCAGTCTGCACTGTATCAGAAGCGAGCCCATGAAGCGGCAAGCAAAGCACGCACCTCGAACGAGATATGTTCATTCCCTAGCCGGATTTCCAATTCTTGTCGTCCGTCTTTGTTCTTCTGCGGCCACTTCGAATCGTCCTCCCTAACTTCGTATTAGACGGATTGTGTCCTCACATAAGGGCTGGTATGCGTACTTCAAGATTTCACTGTTCTTGATTATGCGCTTGACTTCCTGGATCATCGCTGAGCTCACACACACTGTACCGCCCGCCGATTAGCAATCGCAGCCACTATTGAAGCGCCGATTCGGAACTCACTCTCTTTGCGGATGAGGGAGTCATTGCGGTAGTTGGAGTTGTTCGCATATCGAACGGCCGCGCTGCGTCCATCGCCGAGGGTGCGAAAATCGAACTCTGCCGTAGTTAGCAAGCGTACTGTTTTGGGAGGACCGGGCCAGACTCACCTAGAAACTCATGACCGAACCGCCCAGAGTGACCTGAGCTGCGGCAGCGTCAGCAGCGGAGGAAACCTGGGCTCAAGCACAGATCGGCCTTACTAGTAGCGGAGATAAAACTGCTCGTTTTGACCGGACATTTTCAATGCGTCGTCAGTCGACACCAGATGAAGGGAGGCTTGCGGCGAGAAATCGAGTCCCGCTCTGGTGGTGGGCCAGACGGGCTTAGTCATCCACACACTCCGGACAGCTTGCGGGCCCGCGCAAATGGCCAGGTTGAATGAACATCATAAGTCAAGCCTCCAGATTGCAACGTTTGCGCTGATGAATGCTAGATAGGCGAGGGGAGTTAATTGCTTGAGACTACTATCTTCCGCCTGCTGTGTGTTCCTGGGGAGTGCTTTTTTGGTACGTGTTCACCCATTGTCCTCGACTCGGGGCTCCCTCTCCCTAAAGGGCCCAAAACAACACCTGGTTCCCCGTACTGACTGGCCCCTTCAAGTCCTCCTCCTCCTCCTTGTCCTTCTTCTATACGGCCGCTCGTTAACTCTCGTACATCATGGCGTCGTTTCTGGAAAATTCATACAGTTTAGTCCACCTGGACAACACTGCTGATCAGCCCTCGCAGCAGGAGCTGAAGTTGCAGCTGGAAAAGGGCAATGATGAGACCAAGATGGACACAATGAGGAGGATCATTACGATCATGCTCAATGGAGACCCCATGTCGGGGTTGTTGATGCACATTATTCGCTTCGTTATGCCATCCAAGAGCAAGCCCCTCAAGAAACTGCTATACTTCTACTACGAGATCTGTCCGAAGCACGACTCAAGCGGCAAGCTGAAGCAGGAGATGATCCTCGTGTGGTAAGGACCGATTCGGTATTTATCTCATATGATTTGCATGTCTAATTGATCAATTTCTCTGCAGCAATGGCATTCGTAACGATCTCCAGCACCCCAACGAATATATCCGAGGCAACACTCTGCGATTCCTTTGCAAGCTCCGAGAGCCCGAACTCATTGAACCCCTCCTTTCTTCTGCACGCTCATGCTTGGACCACCGACACGCATATGTACGAAAGAGCGCCGTATGGGCCATCTCGTCTATCTTTCAACACTCGGAATCTCTCATCCCGGATGCGCCAGAGCTCATCCAAGCATTCCTGGAAACGGAATCCGACGGTACTTGCAAGCGCAATGCATTTGCGGCTCTTATGTCTATCAGCCACCAGGCAGCTCTCGAGTACCTTGCCTCTACCTTCGACAGCATTCCCAATACGGACGAGTTGCTCCAACTTGCGGAGCTCGAGTTTATCAGAAAGGATGCGGTGCAAAACTCTCAGAACAAGGTGAGTTGCTGGGAAGACTCACAATCACGCTTTACTGACGGGAATAGGCGAGGTATCTGCGTTTGATCTTCGATCTTCTCGACGCGTCCACGAGTACTGTGGTATACGAGGCTGCCACATCCCTTACAGCACTTACAAGCAACCCGGTCGCCGTTAAAGCCGCTGCAGGGAAATTGATCGAGTTGAGCATTAAAGAGGCCGACAACAACGTCAAGCTTATCGTCCTAGACCGAGTGGACCAGTTACGGATTCGCAATGAAGGTGTTCTCGACGAACTCACGATGGAAATCCTCCGGGTTCTCTCTAGCCCAGATATCGATGTGCGAAGGAAGGCTCTCGGTATTGCCTTGGAAATGGTCTCGAGTAAGAACGTGGAGGAGATTGTGATGCTATTGAAGAAAGAGCTCTCCAAGACTGTGGACGAACAATATGAAAAGGTAGGCTTACGGACTTCTTGCCTGATGGTCATACTAACTCCATGCAGAACAGCGAGTACCGGCAACTACTCATCCAATCGATTCACAACTGCGCTATCAAGTTTTCGGAGATTGCTGCTAGCGTTGTCGACCTGTTGATGGACTTTATTGCCGACTTCAACAACAACTCCGCTGTCGACGTGATCTCATTTGTCAAGGAAGTAGTCGAGAAATTCCCCAAGCTTCGTGCATCCATTGTAGACCGGTTGGTCTCTACTCTGAGTGAAGTCCGGGCAGGAAAGGTTTACCGTGGTGTTTTGTGGGTCGTTGGTGAATATTCGCTTGAGGAGAGGGATATTCGTGAAGCATGGAAGAAGATTAGGGCAAGTCTCGGAGAAATCCCCATCCTGGCTTCGGAGCAACGTCTTCTCGAAGAAGTACCTGAAGACACCTTGCCTAAGGAGCAGATAAATGGCCACAAGTCGGCCCCGAAGGTGTTGGCAGATGGTACCTATGCAACAGAAAGCGCCTTGACCAGCCAGTCTGCGGCTGCCGCTCGTCTACAGGCAGTCAAGGCGGCGCAGAAGCCTCCTCTGCGCCAGCTAATTCTGGACGGCGACTACTACTTGGCTACTGTTCTTTCTTCCACATTGACCAAGTTGGTAATGCGACATTCCGAAGTCTCTGAGGATTCTGCTCGGACCAATGCCCTGCGCGCTGAAGCTATGCTGATTATGATCTCCATCATCCGCGTGGGTCAATCGCCATTTGTCGCTGCCCCGATTGATGAGGATTCAGTTGACCGTATCATGACCTGTGTCCGTTCTCTTGCTGAGTTCTCCGAGAGGAAGGAGCTGGAGACGACGTTCCTCGAGGACACGCGCAAGGCGTTCCGCGCCATGGTTCAGGTCGAAGACAAGAAACGCGCCGCGAAAGAAGCTGTGGAGAAGGCTAAGACTGCCGTTCAGATCGATGATGCCATTCCGATCCGGCAGTTCACGAAGAAGTCTGCTCTCGAGGGCGCAGAGGAGATTGAGCTCGATCTAGCCAAGGCCACAGGAGGTGACTCTACGGTGGAAACCGTGTCGTCGAAGTTGAGCCGTGTCGTGCAGCTCACCGGTTTCTCAGATTCCGTGTACGCGGAGGCATATGTTACAGTTCATCAATTCGACATTGTTCTAGATGTTCTCCTCGTCAATCAGACCGTGGAGACTCTTCAGAACCTGTCCGTCGAATTCGCCACATTGGGAGACTTGAAGGTCGTAGAACGGCCGACTACTCACAACCTCGGCCCTCGTGACTTCTTGAACGTGCAGGCTACAGTCAAGGTGTCATCAACAGATACAGGTGTCATCTTCGGTAACATTGTGTACGACGGTGCTAGCTCGACAGAAACTCACGTTGTCATTCTCAACGACATCCATGCCGACATCATGGATTACATCCAGCCCGCCCACTGCACCGAAACCCAGTTCCGAACAATGTGGACAGAGTTCGAATGGGAGAACAAGGTTAACATTAACTCAAAGGCCAAGACTCTCCGTGAGTTCCTCAAGCAACTCATGGAGAGCACTAACATGGCGTGCCTCACGCCCGAGGCGTCGCTCACCGGCGACTGCCGGTTCCTCAGTGCTAACCTCTACGCTCGAAGCGTATTTGGTAAGTTTACATTATCATCCCGCGTAAGTTATCTCATGCTAATACTTGGCGCTTTTAGGTGAGGATGCTCTAGCGAACTTGAGTATCGAGAAGGAAGGAGACGACGGGCCGGTCACTGGTTTTGTCCGGATACGAAGCCGTTCTCAAGGGCTGGCTCTCAGCCTGGGCTCACTGAAAGGCCTCAAAGCCTCGACGGCATGATTAATAGATCACTGGATTTTTGTTTCTCCTTATACTCGAATAGTGATCATACTTATTCCATGATCATATTATGCTTGTCTGTTTTTCTTTGCAAGCCCTTTGACGGATGATTGTTTTTGAGGATCTGCTTCTTGTACTGTGTGTTGGCGGATGAGAAAATATTCCTTTGAACGAAATAATATATTTACAAGTTCCACAAACAGAACATGTAGTAACGACGGATGTGCCGGATCATACATACTGGCAGTTCACTAAAAATTGAGAAGGACAAAATACTAGATGCATGCGTCGTATATATAGGGCTTTCTTGGTTGCTGGAGGATAAATCCGCCGCAACCGGGAATTTTGTCCTTAGTGGACTTTAGTGCTCACCTCGTCTCAAGTTACCGTACTGCTCCTCGGACAACTCCTACTTTACTTTTCTCTCCTCTCTTCAACTCTCGTTGTATTTCTACTTTCTTGTTCTTGGTTCTCTTCTTGTTTTCCTATGCTATTGTCTCTCCTCGAAAACAATGGCTTTCAATAGCTCTCCCTGCACGAATCAATCAGATGCCCACCTCCGCTTACTCGGCCATGATTCGACCTTGATGGTGGGACAATCGGTTTCCCTCACATTAGGCGGCGATTCGCTTCTGATAGTTGGTATGTCATTTGTCCGGTTGTTGCGGTTGTCCGCTGGACTGACCGATGCGCGTTTTAGACGAGCGCGCAATGCGCAAATCGGACCGTACATGTTGTGGAATGGTTCCCAAGCCTAGTACGTGCCGATCGCGTCTTTCGTATTATGATGCGCTACTTGAGAGTACATTGAGCTGACCATCCATCAGCGAACAAGGTCACACATTCAATTTCCCTCTATAACATCCTTGACACCAGCGTATCATCGGCCGGCCTGACTATCACCTACGCGGAGCCCTCGGGCAACGATGACGTCTCCGTTACCGCCCTGCAATATCCCATCGCCGCTGAAGAGAAATCCAGAGTCGAAAAATGGACGTCCAAACTCCTGGACCTCGCGTACGGCAGTGCGCAGCGGTACAAGCGGCTCAAGGTCCTGATCAATCCTTTTGGAGGCAAGGGATCTGCGGCTAAAATGTATCGGACATATGCGGAGCCCGTCTTTGCGGCTGCGCATTGTGAACTTGACGTGCAGGAAACAACTCATGGGGGCCATGCCACGGAAATCGCGGAACAGATTGATATCAATGCGTATGATGCCATCGTATGCTGTTCAGGCGACGGTCTACCATATGAAGTCTTCAACGGCCTTGCGAAGAAGGCAAATGCTGGGGAAGCACTCGCAAAGCTAGCCGTTGCTATGATTCCATGCGGCTCGGGGAATGCGATGGCCTGGAACCTCTGCGGGACGGGAAGCGTTTCCATTGCGGCACTGACCATCGTCAAGGGTGTGCGCATGCCGATGGACCTGATGTCCGTCACTCAAGGGACCACTCGCACTCTGTCATTCTTATCCCAGTCCTTCGGCATCATCGCGGACTCAGACTTGGGCACAGAACATATCCGGTGGATGGGAGCCCACCGCTTTACGTACGGCTTCCTAATGCGTCTCATGTCTCGAGCAGTATACCCCTGTGAGCTTGCCATAAAGGTGGTGCTGGATGGCAAGACCTCTATCAAGAATCATTACAACGCATACGTTAACAACACCCCACCAAAGCGCTCGCGTGAGGACTCCGATGTCACTGAAGGCCTTCCGAGGCTCGAGTTTGGTACCGTTCTCGACGAGCTACCGAAGGACTGGACTGTCGTGCCAGGAGAGACGATTGGCAATTTCTTCGCTGGAAACATGGCGATAGTGTCCAAGGACACCAACTTCTTCCCGGCGTCGGTGCCCAACGACGGGCTCATGGACATTGTCACGATCGACGGCACTACTCCCCGTACTCGAATTCTGAAGATGATGAGTGAAGTCCCTCAAGGTACATTCTTCGATATGCCTGAGGTCGATATCCGCAAGGCCCTCGCTTTCCGACTCACCCCGCGCGAGAAAGAAGGATACATCAGCGTCGATGGCGAGAAAGTACCCTTTGAAGCCTTCCAGGTCGAAATCCACAAGGGTCTAGGTACTGTGCTCTCCAAGTCCGGGCACCTCTATGAAGCGGCTGGCCCCATGCCTTGATTCTACGATGGCTCTCATGGCCGGGCTGATATGCCATACTACACACCTAATTTTCGTTTCCCCTTTATATAGACACCTACGCGTTTGCCGCCGTCGTCTATCCCTCCCTGTGATGATACCCAACTGGACGATGACTTTTGTGACTTACGTAGTATCATGGTCTTTGCTTGTTTTGACTGTTCTTGTATTCTTATGTGGTATTGATCTTGGATCGGCTTTGTTTGGGGTTCGGTTCAAATTGTTAGACCTGGGTTCCAATTGTGTACTTTATATCCGAAGACAAGAGGTACCTAGAGATATATACCTATGCATCTTTTCGATCTCACTCTACTGGCTTTGCAACGTTATTACCCTCGGAATCAGAACAGATAGGCATGTTCCAAACACACTGCTTTTAATAATGGATATAGATACATACAGCATGTTCTTCGCCGGCAGGGTTGGGATTTCTATTTCCGGATTCGGCCCGACATGGCGCCGCTTTTTGCTCAGTGACTGGCGCCGGGATGTGGGGTGAGCATCCAGGTGCGTGCACGGAGTGCTCAGGAAGTAATCCCGGATGAGTCCGGGAGTAACCAGGACGAAGCTGTGCAATCCCTGAGCGCTCCCAGCTTTACTCTAAGAAGCAATTGCGCGTAGTATACGTCATGTTCCATGGGGAGATTGTTCGGCCCGATCGATCACGGCTGGTGCTGGAAGAGTGAACCCACCTAGCCGTGACACCCAAACTGCATCAATCGCCAAATCAAAGGACGTATATGTATGTTTTCCCAGTGAATTACAGTATGCACTAATCGAATTGTGCGCCTTCCGAGGACTGGGGAAGATCAGTGGACTCATTGCAGGGATCGGATGAGCGGCCGGGCCCCACTTGCGAGTCGCAGCTTCGACGTCGCAAATGCCCCACAGCGAACCTTCCACTGGTGCCCTGCATGCCCGACCTCCCATCCTACTTGTGATAACTTATAAGGGCCCCGAGCCCTGGGAAGATCAAAGCATTGCGTTGGCGTAATTCATTGTGGACTCTCTCACAAAGTCACACTCACTCACTCACTCAATCCTATGGCAACTCACTCAGTACTCATCACCGGCGTCTCCGGATATATGTAAAGATGAACACTCCTACCATTCAAGAAAGTGGTTAACTCATATGGTTACAGTGGCGGCACTATTCTCTCTTCAATCCGGGAAGCCCAAGGGCCATGGACAGCACAACTAGAGCTTGCAGCCCTGGTGCGAAGTGACTCTCAGGCCGACACGGTCCGGAAACTAGGAGTAAAGCCCATCATGTTTTCCAGCTTCGATGAGACAGACTTGCTGGAAAAGATTGCTGCGGACTTTGACGGTAAGGTTGCGCAATCTCGCCCTAAAAGGGGGGAAAAGATATCTGATGGATTTTTTACTTACTGTACTCCCGCGCAGTTATCATCCATGCCGGCGCCGGCTGGCACACCCGCTCAGCCAAAGCGCTCATCACCGGCCAGAGCATGAGGAGGAAAGTCAGACCTAACACTCCCGTCCACTACTTCCAGATCTCCGGAACGTCGAATCTGAGTGATCGGCCCCACACGGACGGCTACACGGACACCCACTGCTTCTCCGATGAGGAAGACATCTATTCCTTCGAGAAGTACCGCGAGTCCCGCGAGGTATACCACCAGCGCACCACGGATATTGCTGTGGTCGAGACCGGCAAAGCGGTTGGTGTGACCACGTATATCATCATGGCGCCCACGATTTACGGCCAGGGCACGGGGCCCTTTAACCGCTACTCGATCCAGCTCCCTGCTATTATCGCCGACGCGACCAAGTCCGGTGCGGTTAGTGTTGTGGGCAAGGGAGATACCATCTGGAGCCATGTCCACGTTCGGGACGTGGCGGGGCTCTTCCTCACTCTGCTCGAGAAGATCTGCTGCAGAGATGGTACCCCGGCCGCGAATCTCCCGTCTGGCCGGAGAGGAATCTACTTCTGCGAGACCGGCGAGCATTCACACCGAGAGTTCTCGGAGCGGCTCGCCCGAGCCGCCTATGAGCTCGGGGTGCTGCTCACGGCGGATGTCAAGGAGATTACTCTCGAGCAGGCTGGGGACAAGCTGGCCCTTGGGAGTGTTTCCAGGGCCGAGCTATCCTTTGCCGCAAAGTAAGTTTTGCTTGCTCCTTCGTATATATTATTGGCAGAGATGGCTTGCTAACTCATATTTTCTTTCTTTTTTTCCCCCTCCAGCGCTCGCACCAGTGCCGTGATAGGACGAAAGCTGGGTTGGACTCCGTTGTATGGCGAGGAGTGGGAGAGTATGTTCCGCACCGAAGTCGAGGCGTTTATTAAGTGTCCCCCGGCTCCAAAGGAGGTGCCCGGGTTTCTCAAGAAAAAGTAGAAGTGCCTATTATATGGACTTCTTAAGAGTAATGCCTAAGAGGAGCTGTCAGCTCTGTTGAATTGATGCACTCATGTAAGTGGCGCTGTCGTGGCGGAGCTGCGCCGGCACTGCCAACGCTCGAAAACTCCTGTAACACTACGCAGGCTACCAGGCTAGTCCAAATGAGAAAGAAGAGACCGAACGAGACCTACAGGTGTCAATAATCGATTGAAAATCCGTTTGCCTCGCTTAGATTTCTGTAGAGCAGGCGATCCAACATCTTGCTAAACACCACCTGGCCAACCAGCGACATCAATCCAACACCACTGTCCGATTATTAAGTTTTATAATGCGTCACTTAAGTGCTGGTGGCTGCAGTTCTTCGAGTCTCATTTGACAAGCCTCCAGCGACCACTCCAGCCATTCCGTTCCCGAATTCAGATGCCAGCTGTTCAGATCGTGGTATCTCCTCTCGAACTCCGCAGAGAATGATAACGTGTCGGTCATGACCTGTTTGTGATACACATCCCGCAATTCGAACGGCCACTCAAACCAGATGCGGGTGCTAAACAACGCTGCGCATTTCTCGTCGACGTATTCGGTACCGTTGAAAATCCAGTGATCGCGGAACTGCGGCCTATATAAAGAAAAATCAGCAAATGCGTCAAGACCCATTGTTAGGATGGATGCCTTCGTGCTGCTCACCACGGAAGGAAGTCTAAGAATGGCTGGTGCAGGATGCTAGCTTGGACCGGGCTTCGTAGAATCCTTAGTACGCTGGCCATGTTTTATTTAACACGCGCAAGGCAAGGTCGCGCTTACGTGGTTAACATGTAATCTGGAAGAGGTGGAACTTCGCGGGCAACTCCAATTCTATGCTTCAGGCGAGTAAGCAGAAAGACGATTTCTGGGAGGTAGTGGGGGGTGGTGAGGCATGATCACAACAAAACTCACCAGTAGCATGGATCTCATAATGCGCAGCAGGCCGATTCTTGTAACAGGGTCAGTCCTGGTGCAATACAAGCCCTCGTCCAATGTTCGAAGAAGGCTCCAGACGACATCGGCTTCGAATCGAGCGGTGGCTGCTTTCCAGCCGTCGACGACCGCACGAATGCAGAAGTCGTCATCGTCGGAGACTGGGGTCAGCGTATGATTATTATTATCATTATTACCACCTGAAACCTCTGACGCAAAGTACTGAGCCAAGCTTAGGGCGTTGCCCAGCACCGCGAGGTAATTCCTCTCCCGGTCCAAACAGCTCAGGTCGATGCCAAAGAAGCCATTATTATTATTGGCCCCGGGGGGCGCATCCATTATTGCACTGGCTGCTGGTGTTCCTTCCTCGCATGTGGGCTGACTTGTTGCGTCCCGGGTATGCTGGCTTGACCTTTCAGGAATGGCGGAAGGCGGAAGACTGCCTGCGCCATCTTGGGCGAGATTGACTATCTTGCGAAGTGTTTGCTGCAGGTGATTGATCTGCTCTTGCTGCTGAGCCAGTTGGTGGCCTAGGCTGGCGTCCCCGTTGGATGCGGCAAGGTCTTGGATGGTTTTCTCTAGGGACGCAATGTAGGCCTTGGTGCGGGCGCGGTTGTGTCGCTGGGTCTCGCGGTCTGCAGCCCGCTTCTTCTCCTTTGCTGCACTGTTCATCGTCTGGTGGGCGGGACAGTGGGTGCCAGTTAACCAGCTCTTGCGTCTGATGGTTAATGCAGCCTGCACGTTGCCCTGCTAACTAATTGCCAGTCATCTGTCGCCATGTATCTAGACTCCAGAGCGGGTGGATTGATGCAGCATGAGAGAGGGTGAGGAAGGTGGCTGGCGAATCCAATCGAAGGTTGGTGGCTGCAGGGGGCCGGCCCGCATTTTCCCGGCATGTCCTGCTGATTAATGGCAGTGCAGTCAGGTAACTAATAACATGTCATGGACATATGTTATGTAAGCTATTTTAAAGGCTTATGTGAGTATTACCCCTATTTATTAGTAAGGATTTCTTGATAATGAATGCTCACATAAGCTACTAAAATTACATAAGCTATATAAGACCTTGTAATAAAATACTATTTTTATTTTTATATTTTATTAATAAAAAAATAATAAATAATATAATAATAATAATCTATAAATTATATATATTAAATGAAATATATATTTAAAGTAAATTAATTTTTTTTAATATATATATTTATATACCTGTAATATATATATAAATATATATATATATTATAAGTTAAGAAATATTTTTTACTTAACTAAGTAATAATAAAAATATTTATTAAATAAATTTTTATTTAATATTAATTAATATTAATATAATATATTTTAATTATGTCAGGGCCAATGTTCTTCTATTTAATATTACCAGAGCTATCCTAGTAATACTTTAAAATTAGTACTGTCAGGGCCAACGTTATTTTATTTAATGTTACCAGAGCCAGTTTATTATTACTTTAAAGTTAATACCTTAGGTAACCTAAGCTTTAGCCTTAGGTTATTAAAGCTTAATATACCTTATAGTGTTGCATTGGGTATAGGTTAGGTAAGAGTTTTTTTACCTAACCCATGGGTTAGGTTTTGTTTTTTAAAACTTAACCTATAGGAAATAAGTTTAGGTAAATACTTATATCTAACTATTATTACAGCTATGGTGTTATAACTGTGTAATATTATAATAACATAATCTAGCAGCCTAAGGCCGCTTAATAAAAAAAACTTTAGTATTAATCTAACCACGCGCCAAGGTAGTGGTTAGTTATATAATATATAAAATATTAAGTTTAATTTAAAACTTTAACTTAAAAAATTAATAATTAATTTTTATTATAAATATATAATACCTTTTTATTATAATAATTTATATTTTTTTAAGCTTAGTGTAGTATATAAATATATTTTATAATTTTAATTACTTTTTTTTTTTAAAAAAAAAACTTATTTTATATAATAGTTAGGTAGTAAACTTAATCCCAGGGGCTAGTAAATAATACTTTAAAAAAATAATTATAATTTTTGACTTAATAATTAATTAATATACTTAAAAAATTATAAACTTTTAACTAAAAAACCCTAAGGGTATTTTTACTATTAAATTTTAAATTGTAAGGGCGCCCTAGCACCCAAATGTTCTTTACTAATAATAATAAAGCTTGGCAAAGTATCTTTAACTAATAAGAATAAAGTATTTAAAACCTTAATAAATTTAACTAAAAAAATTACTTAAAAAACTAAATATATTATAATTTTTAGCCTTTTTATATAGGCCTTGCCTAAAGGCCTAAGGCCTTTAAGTAATTTTTTAAGCTATTTTTATTTAAAAAGTAAGTAATATTTAAATATTTTTATATCCGCGCCCTTTATAATTATTTTTTAATTATTAAAATAATTTAGTATAAGGCATGCCTTTAATTTATTACTTAAATAGTACCTAAAACCTAAGGTTCCCAAGCTAAGGTTCCTGGTTAAAGCTAATATTATATTAAGTTTTATATAGTAATTTATAATAATAAGGTTTATTAAGTTAAATAAGTGCTTAAGGCATCCTACATAAGTAATATTAATACTTTATAATAATATAACCTAGGTGCCTTAGGCATTACTTAATAATATAACCTAAATTAATATTAGCTTTAATAATTTTTTTAAAAAAAAAATAAATTATCCGCGATCTAGCGCTAGCCATCTTAAAAAAATAATAAATAAGTAATTTATAATACTAACTTATTATTATATTATAATATAATAGTATTTTTTATTATTATTATTTTTATTATTTATTATTTTTAGTTTAAGACCTTAAATAATATTTAATACTTTATTTAAAATATTTTATTACCTATTTATATTTAAAATGGCGCCTAACTATAAAATAGCTTTTTTATTAATTTATTTTAAGTTTAGTTTTTTTAAAACTTTAAACTTTAAATTACTTTTATATAACTAGTTTATATAACTTTATTCTAGCTCCTATTTACCTTTTTTACCTTATTTTTTTTAATTATACCTAAGTAAAACTATTCTTTTTTTAGGGCTATATTATATTTAGTTAATATTAAAAGGCGCGGCTAGTAGCTTTTTTTATTAAAAACTAAAAAAATAAAATTTAAATAAAACCTTAAGGGGCCCTTGCTTTTAAAAATTATTTTTTTTAATTATTTACCTAATTTTTCCCCCGCTAGTAAGTACCCTAAATAATTTTAAATTAAGCTTTTAAGGCTTTTTTTAAGTAATAATAAATAGCTAACTATAAATAGCGCCTTTTTATTTTATTAATTTTAAAAATAATTCATTTTTTAACCTGTGTTTGTATATAAGGCTTTACTTTAATAATAAGTATTTTTTTATTTATAATAACCTATCCAGAGGCATTTTAGTAATAATATATTAATATTAAAATATATTAACTTAAAACTTATTAAAATAATTTATAACTTATTTTATTATTATTTTTTATTTTTTGTTAGGCTATTATTTATTAGCTTTTTATTAATATATATAATTATTTTAGGCTTTTTAAGCCTAATAATATATTTTTTATTTTTTTTTAACTTATTAAGTGTTTTAAATAAAAATATTTTAAATAATAATAATAATAATAATAATATTAATAATACCGCGCCCTTTATAATTACCCCTTTTATTTTTATTTTTTTTATCTTAACTTTTTTTACTTTTATTATAGCTAGTCCTACCTTCTTAGTAAAGGTAAGTTTTTTTTATTTTTTTTAAATAGCTTTTAGTATAAATAGCTAATAGCTTTTAAATATGCCTTTAATATACCAAGGTAATTTTTTATAATAATAAAAAAATAAAAGGTAAAAATAATTAGTAAATTTTTATTATTATTAGTAAACTAAAGGTATTTCCTAAGAAAAACCTTTATAAGCCTTATTATAATTATACTTTTTAGGGTCTAGGGTTAGCGTGTGTTTATTATTATATTAATAATAATAAATATAAGCTTATCTTTATTTATATATATAATAATATTAATATTTTATAATACTTACCTATTAATAAAAGCTTAAAAAAATATATAAGCATGTAAAAAAAGTTTAATAAATATACTAAAAATATTATTAAGGCTTTTAATAAGGTGCTAGTAAAAAATTAGTTAATAAATAACTTATATTATGCTATTTTCCTACTTATTAATAAGCTTTGCTTATTTACTAATAAGTTTTTAGCTACTTTTAATAAAGGGTATTAAAAAATATATAATAAAAATATATTTAATATAACTAACTTTATTATTATAATAATTCTAAATTTTATTTTTTAAAAGCTTTTATATTTTTATTTATGCCCCTTTTTAAGGTTTTATATTTTTATTTATGCCCTTATAATATATAGCTAGCTTTTAGGTTAATAGCCTTGTGCTACTTAATATTTTATTTATTTTTTATTTTTAAAAAAGACTTTTTTTTCTTTTTAATATACTTTTATAAATATAATTTATAAATTTTGGTAGTCCGGAGCTATTTAAGTTATAATTTATTAAATTTTAAAATTATATAAAATAAAAAAAAGGTAACTATTTTTACCTAGGTTTTTAATATATAAGTTTAATATTATTAAGTTATAGGTAGTCTAAATCCTGTTAAAAGGTGTTTTATTTATAATAGTAATTTATTAAACCTCTAAACCTTTTAAAATATAAAAAAAGGTAATTACTTTACTAGTCCTTTAGCTTTAGTAATATAAAAACTTAATAAATAAAAAATTATTATTACTTTTTTTTAAACCAGGGGTATTTTAGCGCTATTTTAGCTAGTTTATAATAATTTTTTAAAGTTTTTTATGCGTGCTTAAAATTTTTAAGTAATTTTTATAAGTTTTTATAACTAGGCTAGCCTTTTTATTTAATTAAAAACTAGTTTAGTTTATAAGCATGTTATTTAATAAAAATAGCTTTAACTTTTTATTCTTGCTTTTTATTAATAAGTTTTATATTAAGTATTTTTATCCCTTTTAAATCCAGGTTGCTTGGTGTAAGGCTTTAATAAAAATATATAAAATATTAAATAAATTTTTAACTAAGTATAATAACTAGTAAGCTAGAGCTAATATACCTGCTTTTTAATAAATTTAATAATTTTAAAAAAATTATTAAACTTTTAATTAAGTTTTTTACTTAACTAGATTATTTTAATATTATATAGTAATAGTAAAATATTATTCCTAACCTTAAATTTAATAGGGGTATGCTTTTTATTATAGTAAAGGGCTTACTTTTTTTAAGCCTTATTTATATAATTTTATAATTTATTTTATAACTTTTATAATTAATAAAGTTTATTTTTTAATAAGAAATATAATATTTTTTATAGTTCTTTAGTAAGGGAATAATAAGTTTTTAGCTATATAAGGCTATTTAAGGTGCGTACCTAGTTATATTATACTTTAAGTTATTATAAGCAAACAATATAACTAATAAAAATATAACCTAGTTATTTTACTAAAAGTTATAATAAATATATAGGTATATTTTAAGTATTTAATTTTATTATTTAATTTAATTATTTAATTATAAATGATACATAGTGCTAAGGCATTTTTTAATTTATAATACTTAATAAAATAATTATTAATAACCTAAGGTAAATAATAAGCCTTAGTTAATAACTAGGCTTTTAGGCGCCCTTATATTATATATT